TCATCCGGCATCCACTCGCCCGTCAACATGTGAGCGACACATCATCTCATTGGGCCGAGCAGCTCTAGTGCCTGGGAGCTAAACAGCAGAAGAGAGTAATCACTAACGGGCGCGTGGCTGGGGGATGATGACTCTATTGGTCTGGCGGCGCCGATTTGCGGGTGTGCCCCACAAGTCGGACTCGATATCCTCATTTGCTGCATGTGCCTCTATTCACCAAGGTATTGTACAATTCTGCACGTTTGACAATATAATGAAGTATATCACTCCTCCCGTTTTTCCGTATCACGCCCGTAGTCCACCTTCAACTGGTTATCCTGCGCACCCGCCAATGATCTTGTCTCCTTTGAATCACCCGGCTTGCTGCCCTCCTCAGCAGCATGTCCAACCTCGGTCTCAGACTTCACAGGCAGCTGCTTTTTCTTGACAGTACGCCATTCCATAGTCACTGCACCCACGGTAGCAAGGCAGGCCATCACGAGACCAACCTGGAAGCACACCCGCAGTGAGTCGTTATAAGCCTCCAGCGAGGCAGCGCGGTCTTCGACGGGAACGTGGTCGAGAAGCTGGGTGGCACCCGAATTCTGGACCATTTGTGGACTAATCACTAGACGCTTGGCCAGCTGGTTGCTGAGCACGTTCTGGCCGACCGATGTAAAGACAGCGCCAAAGAGTTGTTGAGCAAAGAACATGAGCGACGCGCCGATGGCCACCTGCTCACGAGGGAGCACTGTCTGCGCCGCCATGTTCGGTATCTGGTTGCAGGTGCCGTGACCGAAGCCGTACAAGACCTGAAAGCCGATCCACTTGGCCTTTGATGTGTGGACCCCGAGAGTGGTAAGTAGTCCGGCGCCGATGGAGGAGAGGAAGATCCCGAGCATCAGAAAGGGCGTGTAGTAGCCGATGCGGGAGACTAGCTGGCCAGTGAGAATGGATGCTACGACCACCGGGAGGAGCATAGGAAGGAGGCGGATGCCGCTCTGGACAGCCGAGACGCCGTCAATGACCTGGAACCAGATGGGAAGGTAGTACACTGTTGTCGGTTGGCAAGCGGATCACAACCTAGGTTTGACATCCCAGTCGACTCACCGAACAAGATGGTATGTGCGCCGAGACAGCAGCTCGCCCAGAAACCGGAGGCGATGCTCCGTTGCAGGAAGATGCGCGGTGGCAGCGTCGCCTGCTCCGGCTTCCACACCTGGATCAAGACGAACGCGATCAAAAGCACAAAGGCCAACACCAGCAGCGCGACGATCCGACCCTCGCTCCACTAGACGCGGTCAATACCACCGGCGAACAAAGGCAGCGACGAAAGCAGACTTACCGCGTACTTGGTTCCACCCCACTGCAGAGCCAAGCAAAGACAAACGATCCCAGGGATGATGGCAAGTATTCCCAGACCGTTCAGCTGACGCAGCTTCTCCTTCAGCGGCTTCTGGGTGTTCGGACGGTCGGGAATATCGAGAAAAAGAAGAATGACCACAACTACCACTGCTCCTAGGGGAAGATTGATATAAAAGCACCATCTCCAGGTGACGCTGGTGGTGAAGACGCCGCCAACCAGCGGGCCAGCCACCGAAGCAACCCCAAACACAGCCCCAAAGAACCCTTGATACTTGGGCCGCTTGTGCAGTGGAAGTGCAAACACGATGATGGTCATGGCACCTGAAGAAATGCCTCCAGAACCCAGGCCGGCGATGGCTCTGCCGAGAATGAACCCGATCGAGTTTGGAGCCGCGCCGCAGAGGGCCGAACCGATCTCGAACAGGGCAATGGACGTCATGAAGGTGGCCTTGATGCTGAAAATAGTGTATATCTTCCCAAACAGCAGTTGAAAGGCACAGTTGCTGAGCAGGTACGCCGTGCCATACCACCCAATATCTCCTGCTGAATGAAACTCGTCGGTGATCTGGGGAATCGCGGTCGAGATGATGAGCCGGTCCTGCAGTGGTCAGTATAGACAGTCGATCTCGACCGGGGTATGATTCGACACACTAGAGAAACCAGGAACATGCCAATGAGAATGGAGATCATCAGCAAAGAGAGCTTGAGCCCAGTCGGGTAGACAATGTCATCCTTGTCCTGGTCGTCTTTGGCTGTGTCGATGGGCTTCTTTTGGGACATCGTCGTATTTGATTTTAAGCAATTGGCGAACAATTGTGAAAAGGTCAATCACCTTACTCGAGCTGAGGGCACAATTTGAATGATCTGAAAATAGATAATGAAATCGTAAAAAAAATATATATATATGAGTATATGTGTATATCCACTCGCGGCTCGGGCTCAAAATTATTTTTTTTGTTTCCGAACCCCGACCGCTGTTTCTGCTCTTCGTTTTCTTCATCTCACCCCGACACGTACCTTATCAACGCAGAATATGCAATAATGACTCGTTGTACAGACGGCGGCAATTTTAAAAGCTACTCTTGCTTGGCCTGTCGGCAGCGGAAGGTCAAATGCGACCGGCGTGCTCCGTGTTGCAACTGCGTCAAGGCCAGCAAGCAATGCAGCTTCATTCCCCCAGTGCGCGGGAAACGTAAAAGAACCAAGCCTCCCCGAGAGGGTCTGCACGCGAAGCTGGAACGGTATGAGAAACTGTTGAGTCTGCATGGCATCAAATCTGAGCCATCCGACGATCTCGATGACTCCGACTCCGAAACTGATGCGTGCATGGACGAGGATGCTGATGCCGTCGACACCACACTCGAAGAGACGAAGCCAAAACTCATCGTACGAGAAGGTGTATCCAGGTACTTTGACAGGTGGGTTGCGTCTATTCCCTTCTGCCCGCGTTCCTAGCATCTGACATCGTGCAGTGCACCTTGGTCTATTTTCGGCGGCGAGGTAAGCACAGTCCTCGATTTCCTCCTGGCAGCCTCGAAGTCTTGTCTAATATCGTTTAGTTTCAACATCCAGAGGTCGGTGGCCCTGTGGATGAATCGTTTTCCGACGAAAATGGGTTATTCTTCGGACAGAATGAGAAATTCGAAAATCTTGCAAGCCTCCACCCCTCTGTGCAGATACTGCCAAAGCTAAGGGATATATACGCCGACCGTGTTGACCCTCTGGTCAAAATCCTGCATCTTCCGACATTCTCGACTGCGTTAGCAAATGGACTGCGGCATCCAGCGGAGCGATCCAAAAGCTTAGAGGCTATGATGTTCGCTTTCTACCTCGCGGTAGTTAGTACTCTCAACGAAGACGAGTGCCAGGATCTATTTGGACTCTTGGAATCGGTAGTGTATTCCCGCTATAGACTCGCAACTCGGCAAGCTTTGGCCAATGCCAGATTCCTGTCGACTTCCGATCCGATGACTCTTCAGGCATATGTATTGTTCATGGTAAGGGACAGCTATCCAGCCCTGTTTCACGGCGAGTCTAACGGATGAAGATGTGCGTCCGAAAGAGTTACTCGTGCGACACCTTATTTGTCTTGTCCGGCGTCGCCATCCGGCTCGCACGCAAAATGGGACTCCACCGCGATGGTTCATTTCTCGGGCTCTCACCATTCGATGCAGAAATGCGAAGACGGCTATGGTGGTATGTGGTCCATGTGGACTTTCGCGTAGCCGATGTGCTGGGGACCAGACCATCAATGGATATTTCCTGCGCGGACACCAAAACGCCACTCAATGTTGATGACGAGGATATCTATCCAAACATGACTGACCTGCCGCCTGAACGCAACGGCATTACCCCTATCTCCCTTTGCCTGATCAGATACGAGATCATGATCTCCTTGCATGACTTCAAGACATCGTCTGCTGCCGACATGCGCTGGGAAGTACTACTGGGGCCCAATGTGACCCCCGCCAAAAAGGACAATATCATCAGCCAAATTGAGGATCATTTAGAACAAAAGTACTTGCGGTATTGTGACCCAGCAAACCCGCTCCATACTTTTGTATCGATCATGATCCGGTTCTCCATATGCAAGATGAAGCTCGTTGCTCATAATCTGCGCCAATTCGCCAGGAGTCCCCCGAAAGATGTTCAAACTGAGCGCGACATTGTATTTACTAATGCCACCAAGTTACTGGAATATGTAACCTTGGTGCAAGGCGGTCATCGCGGTCTGGAGAAGTACACATGGCAAATCGGCACAAGCGCGCTGTGGAACGCAATGCTCTACGTGCTTATCGAAGTTCGACATCGCAAAACCGGGCCGGAGGTGGACCGGTCCTGGCAGTTGATCGGAGATGTGTTCTCTTGCCCCCGCATCTTTGGCAGAACCCCTGAACCCGTGGATACGGTGCTCCGTAAGTGGACCTTGCAGGTTTGGGACCACTATGTTGCCGCTTCGAAGGCTGAGGGGCTGCCGGAACCATCGACGCCTGAGTACATCAATGTGATTCGTGGTAGGACCAGGTCAAGCAGTGATCCATCTCGAACGGAACATCTGTCTGCGAACCGTGGTCCTGTTGATGAAAGTTCGCTCGGCTGCAAGCAAATACAGTACGATGGACATGAATATCTTCCTGGCCTCGGACCTATTGAGTCGTACGAGTTTCCTGATATCCTGTCTTTTGAGATGGACCCGAATGAATGGGTGCAGTGGGAACATTTGGTTGCGGAGGGAGGCCGCCCCTGAATGCGACTTTGTATGGATTCTAGGGGTCACCTAATGCTACTCGGAATAAGAAGACCACCTTTGTTTATCATGGTACTAAATACGTAGCAAGTTCAGTCTTGCCTTTTCGCCCATGTAAACCATCTGCAGGGGTGTATGCCATCATGTACATTCTGCAAACCAAAGATATGAGAAGAACGCAGAAAAATACACACAACAGCATTATACCTCAGTGCTTCATCTGTTTTTTAGAGGTTACTTACTATACGCATTACCTTTGGACTCTCATTTTCTGATTATTTAAGAATATAGCCAGCACTGATCGTCCTATTCTGTCGAGTTTCCATCAAGAGATGCGCATTGTATTACTCCTTTTCATCAGATTCTGGCAGCATCCTCATAGTCCTTTATACGAGCTTATCTTACCATTTCACTTTGTGTCTCCTCCTGCCGAATGCCCGTCAAATGTCTCCACAGTAACGACACTTCTTAGACTGACAGCAGTGTCTTCGGAAGCCCGGAAGGGAGGACAATCACCATCCATGAGAGATACACTCTCGGCATCGATGAGTTCTGGAGACGCCTTAAGAACAGCCACACCCGTCTCCTGATCTTCATCCATGATATGATCATTCAACTTGCAGGAGCACCGGGAACAGAAGGCGACACTCTTAGGCCGAGACATGCGGGCTAAATAAGCCTTGTATCTGTTTATAGCAGCCATCAAGGTTGCATATGCATGGACAAGTCTGCAGAGGTTTGCATTAGCCTCAACGAAGAAGAACGATAGGTAGCTATGGGACACTTACCCTGAGACAAGACATGCTAGGTTGCCATAAACACAAACCACATGCTTGCCCACGGCCCCGACAGCGATGAGCATAGTCAAGTACACCACCGTGAGGTAGGTTGCGAAGAGAAGGTCGGTGATGATCACCTTCACACCACCAGTAGATTTTGACGATGCTCGATCTCGCCGGTACCGATAGAGCAATAGAATAGATGATAGGCCAGAGCTACTAAGCTAATGGTAAGGTATCTTTGGTTACCATTATATCATGAAGAACAGGAAGATAAAAGATGGCTGTACTTACAGCCACTAGCTGGTTGATCGAAGCAGTCTGGGCATTTTCAGTGAAGATGCCAACTAGGTTGAAAGGAAAAGAGACGATGGCGATGACAATGAGGGTGATTCGAACATTGACAAAAGAATTATCTTGTCGATGATCAAGTTTCTCCATCATGGTAACTGATTCACGGTGTATATCATTGAATGTTTGCGAAGCAGGAGATCTCTGGTCGACATTAAATTTAATAAATAGTGTTGCCTAGATAATGCTGAGTTGCCAAGTCAGTAGGCGCTTTATGCATGTTTCAGATAGCAAGGAATTAGAGTCAGAACTGACAGATCATTGCTTTGTTCATTGCCAAGCTTGGGCTTAGACTAGGCTGATCCTTACCATAGTAATTGTAGATCAGAGGGCCACCAGCCTAAGTATAATCTTGGTAGATATCTCTAGTATGGTGCGGCCTTAAGTAAATAGTTTGCTGTGCAATGAACGTTAGCAATAGCACCATCATCAGGAAGGCAATTGTTTACTTGGGTTACCATATCAGAGTTTGGTTCTATAGCATTACACCCTTAGTCATTCCTTTATAGCTATGACTTATTATTTGACATTACAAGCCTATAAATTACTATAATAACATATGTGGTGGTCATATCTGTTGCAATAAAAGTGAATTGCTCACCCACATCGACTCTGATGACTATAGGGGGTTTCGAATCAGAAGGAGGTCAAGAGGGCGCGACGACTGGGTGTATAATAGAAATGAGATGCTCTGACTTGCAAGATTGACTGTCACTTTCATTGATAGCGGCAAGATTGACTGGGAAGAAGCCTATTTTGCTCAATCGGCCATGGCCGTGCCTCGCAAGATTTATTAACGATGGCACGACATCAACTTGCCTTTACACCCCTACGCGTTTTCCAACGCCCATAAGACATAAACTATGATCACATCTACTAACGCATTTCCCGCAGCAGGGTAGAGCATGCACCAATATTTCTGGTATGAGGTGGATTGTTTCTTGGTTGATTGGGCGGAGGGCATCCTGCTTGTGGGTCATGTCAGTATCAAACTTTCAAGTCGAATCTGATGGTGCTTCCAATTAATTCAACAAAACCAGTCAAGAACACCCAGCTCTGCCAGTCGCTATGCCAAGGCTAATTGTGAAGTCTTTGTTACTGTGTTTTTCTTAGAATATGGATAGATCTACAGAATAATGCGAGCACCCATGGCATCCGCAGCACATCCACGCGCTCGTAAATTTGCCCAAAAAGTGACGCCAATCAGTTATTAACTTATTTCCAATGCCAGCGTCTTCTGGAAAATCGATCTTGTAGGTTACATTAGTACAAAAAACGAAGGTCCTAGCCTTAAGGTAGCAGTGTCCTGGTTTTTAACTGGGATTACAGATCCTTTTAGGTTAATACCGCTAGCTTCATGAAGCCGAGATCCATCTAACCTCGAGCTTGGGCTGGTAGATTACAGTCCTCCTAACATTGGAACAATCGATCCAGCATGGTCCTGCAGACAGGCAGGCAATAACAACATGAAGTGCGTCGATTCTGCCCAAGGTACTGCAGCAGCCTCGTTGGATATGGCAGAACCATCCGACCTGGAACTCCTCTCGTGAGGGGCAAAGCATGGCTATGGTGGTCTAGGCAGGACGGAGCTACGAGCTGCTCTAATGTTGCTGGCAACTGATGATGTCCCAAAGAAGTTGGAGGCTGAACAGAAGCCTGTTAACTTTAACTCTACTCAGGCAATATGGAGAGCGGGATGTATCAAGGTCGGAATCTAGATTGTATTCGGCCACCAGACTCAACTTGTGCTGGAGATGAGGCACGGAACGGGGCTGGGCGGCAAGAGACGAAATATCATTGGCAATATGACAGGCCCCATCCGCGTCGTCGCAAAGAAAGCCAACCAGAAGCTTCAGCCCCTGTGCCTTCTGGGTCTGGTCATGCGCCACAACTTACGCCCTCTGGTTGTTAGTCCCATATGTTTTACACCCATGGGTTTGAGGAGGCGTTCAAAACGAAAAATAGAAGCGATACTATTTACGCGTGCGGCTGAGCTGCGTTGTGCCCAACACCCGCCAGATTCTCGAACACGAGGCTTAATTAGCAGCTGTGTCTGCATCCTGTCTCTTTTCCTTCTCCCTTCTCATTAGATCACTCGCAATTATACCGTTTCCTTTATCTCGATTCAGTCCCTCCCCCCTCACTGGAGACTCTGTGCTGAGTTCTCTGAATCAAAGTAAGGCTGCCTAGCCTCGCCCTAATCACCACCGACTAAACAAGCATACACATTCAGATCGAATCTCCGAGTTCAGATTACTGTTGTACGCGAGCCTGTATAAACGAGACGTCAATATCTCTCAACTCACAAGCCAACAACCGCATCGCCCGAAACTACAACATCCAGACAGATCCAAAAATGCCGGGAGGGCACGGAGGGATCGGCGATGACAAAAATCCTGCCTCTAGGAAGACAGATAGTAACAATACGGACTGCAAGCCTCGTTCGACGGAGCTAACGCACAGTGATTACACTGTGGGATGGCTCTGCGCGCTGTCAAAGGAGCAGACAGCAGCAACAGGAATGCTAGATCAGATCCATTCTCCTCTACCAAAGCCATCAAATGATCCGAACGCGTACACTTTAGGATCCATCGGGAAGCACAACATCGTCATAGCCTGCTTACCAAAAGGTAAGTATGGCACTATTTCAGCGTCGATGGTCGCAACCTGGATGGTTAACACTTTTCCATCCATCAAAGTCGGCCTGATGGTTGGTATTGGCGGCGGTATTCCGCCCAAGGTTAGACTTGGAGATGTTGTGGTTAGTGCGCCCGTTGATCAGTTTCCTGGAGTGGTCCAGTGGGATATGGGCAAGGCGGAGGGGTGCGGCAACTTCAAAAGGACTGGTGCCCTGAATAATCCCCCGAGCGCGCTGCTGACAGCGCTGACAAAACTGGAAACTCGGCATGAGATGCATGGCTCTAAGATACATGATTATCTTAATGATTTCGGAGGGAAATATCCAAGGCTAGCATCGAAATATACTTGGTCCGATGCCCTCAAGGACCCGCTATTCACCCCAGAGATTTCTCATCGCCCTCGGAGCAGATGGCAAGTCATATTTTCTATACTCTTGGAGAAGATCTTGGCTCTGCTCGGGTGCCTCTTAGGCTGGTGGGTGTTTGCTCCCATGGATCGTGGCGCGGAGCAGGTTACAAGTACAGCACATGTTGAGTTGTCCAGGACTCGGAGCAGACCTGGGAATACACGCGTGCATTATGGTCTGATCGCATCTGGTAACCAGGTGGTCAAGGACGCTGAGTTTCGTAACAGACTTGACGAGAGTCTCAGCGGGAATGTGTTGTGTGTTGAAATGGAGGCAGCAGGGCTCATGAATGATTTCCCATGTATTGTTATACGGGGTATCAGTGATTATGCCGACTCGCAAAAGAACAATGATTGGCAGGAATATGCCGCAGCCGTCGCTGCCGCGTACGCGAAGGAACTTCTTGAATATGTACAGACGAGTGATGTTGACGGAGAGCGCCCCGTGAAGGACATTCTAGGTCAGGGTTAGTAATTCCCAAGACTGTCTACCACGCTCATACCAATATTCTAATGGTATGTGTAGTTCTTGACACTGTGCAGAGAGCTGGGGCCAATATTGAAACATTGAGGTCTAGGTTGGACCGAAAAGAAGACCTCGAGGTCCTCAATTGGCTAACGCCGGTCGATTATGGTCCTCAGCACAGTGACTTCCTGAAAAGGCGGCAATCCGGAACTGGTCGATGGTTTTTAGACTCTGCCGAGTACCAGACTTGGCTAAGCGCAAGAAATCAGACGTTATTCTGTCCAGGCATTCCTGGGGCAGGGAAAACAATTCTGACTGCAATAGTCATTGACGACCTCACTACACGGTTTCTGGATGATCAATCCATTGGGATTGCGTACATCTACTGTAACTTCCGCCGGCAAAACGAGCAGAAGGTTGAAGACTTACTTGCGAGTCTACTAAAGCAGCTGAGTCAAGAGCAGCCTGCCCTACCAGACAGTGTGGGCATTCTTTACAACAGGCATAAAGGCAGAGGGACTCGACCATTACTTAGTGAAATTTCAGAAGCTCTCCGGTCCGTCGCGGCTAAATATTCGAGAGCATACATTTTCATTGACGCGCTTGATGAATGTGAAGTAGATGGTTGCCGAACGAAATTCCTAGCAGAGATCTTCGACCTCCAGGCAATATGCGGTGTAAACATCTTTGCCACTTCCAGGTTCATCCCGCAAATTACCGAGAGATTCAAATATAGCATGACATTGGAAATCCGTGCATGCGATGAAGATGTGCGAGAATATTTAAAGGATCGGATACTGCAATTGGAATCGGCCATTTTGGTCCCAGTCAGCGAAGAAATTCAAAGCGGCGTCATGAAAGCTGTAGATGGGATGTAGGTGAAACTCACATCATACTCTACTCAGAATACTAACTATGCGCCAGGTTTCTACTAGCACAGCTTCACTTTGACTCAATAAAATCAAAAAAATCAATAAGAAAAGTCAGGGAAGCTATAAACAGCCTTCCAAAAGGGGCCGAAGCATACAATCATGCATACAAGGATGCCGTGCAGCGAATTGAAGGGCAGGGTATAGATTCTCAGCAGCTTGCAAAGAATGTTATATCATGGATTGTCTGTGCAAAAAGACCACTCACAACTTTGGAACTTCAGCACGCCCTTGCTGTGATTATCAGCGAGACTGAACTTGATCCTGAGAACTTCACTCCGATTAATGAAATGATTTCCGTTTGTGCTGGATTGGTTACAGTCGATGAAAGAAGTGACATTATCCGATTAGTCCACTATACAACGCAAGAATACTTCCAGAAAGCACAGGAACATTTGTTTCCAAATGCAGAGACAGATATCACGAAAGTCTGCGCTTCTTATCTCTCATTTAATGCTTTTGAAACTGGGCCTTGTCATTCATTTGAGGGAATTCAGAAGCGGCTAAACCTATACAAACTCTACGACTACTCTGCAACGAACTGGGGACATCATGCTCGCAAGGCCTCCATTTTATGCCCAGAAGTCATAAGGTTTCTAAATTGCCAGATGAAGCTAGAGGCATCAACTCAGGCACTAATACGTCCGCTCACTTGGAGGAAACCGACATATCGGACTCGCCAGATGGAACCGCGAATGACAGGGGTACACTTGGCGGCATACTTCGGAGTGGAGGGAGCGGTTAATACTCTCCTATCCGAAGAGGTCGCATCAACCACACAGACCACTGATGATCAAGCAATGCCAGGAGCTAGGCTGGACTTAAAGGACCATTTTGGGCGTACACCGCTGTCGTGGGCCGCACAGAATGGGCATGAAGCAGTCGTCAAGCAGTTACTTGACAACGGTGCTGATATAGACACAAAGGACAAGTATAATCAGACGCCGCTGTCGTGGGCCGCACGGAATGGGCACGAAGCAGTGGTCAAGCAGTTACTTGACGACGGTGCTGATATAGACACAAAGGACAATTATAATCAGACGCCGCTGTTGTGGGCCGCACAGAATGGGCACGAAGCAGTGGTCAAGCAGTTACTTGACAAGGGCGCTAATATAGAAACAAAGGACAAGTACAATCAGACGCCGCTGTCACAGGCCGCAAGGAACGGGCATAAAGCAGTGGTCAAGCAGTTACTCGAGAAGGGTGCTAAACCAGTCTTAAAGAACCGCAGATTTCGGATACAAAGCAGTGGTCAAGCAGGTACCTAACAAGGGCACTGACCTGGATTAGGGGAACAAGCTACTATTCACTAGGGTCGGCGTTCACGTAGACTCCAAGAATAACAACAAGGGTGATACCTCTTTTGTGGATGATACCTTTGTCCTCTCCGGACAATTTTAAAAGCTATCATTTTTTGGAGTGAGCATTGTCCTCCACTATGCATGAGAGAAATTCACTCGTCCTAGCCTGGAGCTGGAAAATGAATGCTTAAGGCTTACTTCCCTGACTATTAATATATCTGGGTGGAGGCTTTGTGATGAGTTCAATGATATGGAAAGACGATGGGGTTTAATGTTTTATGTGTTTTATTTAAATGTATATGACTAGTAGAGCTAGTACGTCACTCCTTTATCTATTATTTTAATTCAGCTTATGAAGAAATTCACTGTTATTTTAAGGACATGATAATATTTTGGCTATTCAAGTCATGTGTAATTTTGTGTCAGATTTACTGTTGTAGAATCCTTGAGATTCAGCCGCAGAGAGCCTGTACGGCGGACTATTAATGAGGGCTGCCCATCATTGGTCCAGAAAACCTAGCCCAGTACTAAGCAAGCAATATTTCACTAGGGGTTGAAAAGCTCACCTTTTGATTCACCTTAACGAGGGTGATTTGAAATTTGATGAAAGAATTACCTGGTCGATAGTCAAGTTTCTCCATCATGGTACCCTATTCGAGGTGTATATCGCTTAATGTTTATCCAAATTGGAGGTCTCTGTTCGATCTTTAATTCAATAAATAGTGTTACCGGCTGTAATATTGGCGGATGTGCTGTGTCAACTGTCAACTATAACTGGTGGGTACTTAAGTGAATGGATTCCGTTATGTGATGAGCTTGGGAACAGCATTATCAAAGTCAGGGCGACTATCTGCTTCTTCATGAACGCCCAAGGTGCTTCAGGTGGTAATGACAGCGGGCTGACCCTGTTGGAAGAGGGCTCATGATTCAAGAGGATCCTCGTGCATCTGGTCTTATCACCAGGAAGTTTTCAGAGATGGACGCTCCAATTCGTGACAGTCTACGACCCATTTGGTCGGGTCCGAATTTGTGTGTCGCTGAATAAGACCTCTGCATGCTAGATCGACGACTGCGGCCGACTCAGAAGAAAGGTGTATACAGATGTGTTCCTCAGCCGTTCCATTCAACAGCATCCTCAGGACGTGCTGACTGGTCCCCTCATTAACAAGGTGTTTCAGAAAACAGTCAAATTCCCACTGAATCTCCAAAATATGTCACTTGACGTAGAAGGCGAATAAAAGAAGGCAGTGCTTCTAGAGTTTGACAGTGTTTGAAATCATCGTCAGGACTGAAGATGACACGCCCAAGAATAGCGCAGATGCACTGACAAGGCCACTCAGTAACAATGTTTTCAATTGGATCTAACGAACTCACGACGATCCCGATCCCAAATGAAAATATGTCTGTCGGCTTATTAACTTCATCTTTGAGGTGCCCCTCAGGGCTTCGCCAACTGTCATTGCTAGCAAGCATACCTTTAATACATCTACATTCAAGAAGTTAAGCAGCATTCTTAAGGTCAAAAATCTAAACCAATTCAGCCATTTATCTTAACTATTATGCAGGCGATTGAATCTGTAGCTTGATATTGGGATATAATTTGAACTCCAAGGGATTAAAATGCTATGTAATTGGGAGTATCTAAATAAATAATATTTAGGCAGTTAAACCACTCCTTGATAATCTTTGGATCCTCGCATTGAGCTCAGCTATAATTATATTGTTGAGCATATCGAGATTTGATCTCCTCATGCCGAATGGTAAAGGTAGAGACCCAGTTCTTGTCAATAGGTTTGAACCTAGAGAGATCATCTGCTTGGAGAAGGATATTGGCCACCTCCTGCACATGAGATCCCCCAGGGGCACTCCGCGCAGATCCCTAGATAGCATCTATTCCGATATGATACTTCCTCAGGTGGAGAGATAGCCGGTAGCCATCAGCGCGTATTTCGATTCGATGTTGGCATCCGTTAAGTCGGCCACGAAGGGTAGGTCTACGCACAGCACATCAAATGTCGCAGCGCGACAAATACTTGAAACTTGTTGCCCATTTTCAAAAGGAGAAACTGCTAATTGAAGCCGTACCTCTTGCTCCACCAAATTGTGAGAGTTGCAACGCGGTTTTGGTGGCATAGTAGCCGTTTGGATAGCCTCAAGATTCAAACGCGTCAAAATTTGATGAGGGTGGGTTCGCTTTGGGCAACACGTTAGCATAGAACAATTAGGTAAACACATAATCCTACTCTATGTACATCACTATATGTCTCGAGACATCGGGCAGTTCAACGTTGCAAGCTAATCGGGACTGCCAACACTAGCTTCGTCGGCGTCCCAATTAGGAAGCCGAACGGAGTCCGCGGCTTGGCCACAGTTTAGTATATATATAACCCTCAATAACGCCTTCAACAAAGCATGACTTTCATCATTGCAAAAGTCTATCCCTTCTTCAAGAAATGACGCCAACCATGTTCTCAAAAAATATCTCCCTCCACCCCGCCCTCCCCACAGATGCCCTCACTCTCGCAAAACTCCACAACGCAGCATTCGCCAATGACACCCTCATGGAGATCATGTACGGTCCTCTCACTATGGAAGACCCGCTCTTCGTGGGCGACCTGGAGCAGACCATCCGCGACGACCCCCACGCCCAACTCATGAAAGCTGTCGATGATGAATCGAATCAAATTGTGGGCTGGTCGTGGTGGAGTATCTACCAGGATGCAGTGGCCCATGCAAAAGCAGAACACGAGGCACATGAAAGGCATACCACACCTCCGCCTAATTCAATTTGTCCACAGGCGTATTTTGATTACGAGGATTTGAAGGCGAGCGCGAGGTCAAAGTGGCTTGGGGAGAGGCCAGCAGCCAGTGAGTTTCTGCTTTCATTGTGGGCTTGTCAACATGAGCGAGTGAGTGTCTGACAGCATTATAGTCCTACAAGTCTTGGTTGTCCATCCAAAGTACCAAGGTCGGGGCATCGGGACAAAGTTGCTGATGGTCGGGGTGGTAGAGGCACAACGTCTCAAGCTGCCCGCATGGGTGGAGGCTTCTCCGGCCGGGCAGATGGTCTACAAGAGGTGTGGGTTCCGTGATGCGGAAAGGCTGGAATTGGACTTTGCTAAATATGGCTTCAAGGGGCTGATGCTTATTTACTGTATGTTGATAGACGACGTTAATGTTGATAAGTAAACATGATTACAATAGCCCAGGACGCCCTCTTTTGACGTACCCCAGCCCAGTATTCCCTACGATTTGACCGACTCCAGTTCATTTCCAAAGTTATCTTGAATGACGATTCCAGCAGCGTGGGTACGATGGGACCAAAGGAGAGGCGAAGGGCTTCCTTAACACAGCCAGTCTAGAGAGCGTCAGTAGTGTAGCAATGGCCAAGTATAGATGAAACATAATTAAAACTTACGAGAAATGGCAGGCGCTCTAGCTGCTCCAGAGTCCAAGTATCTGGAGATTGGCCCGGGGGGGACAGCTGCAGCGACTTCCGCGCGCAATTTGGTGATGAGAGTCTCATTTTGGATAAGATAGAACAGTCCGACGGAAAGAGCTCTGGCGAATGTTTCTGTACCGGCAATGGTAATGACAAGACCTTCGTCAACCAGACGCTTCATACTTCTCTCCTGTGCGGGGATTCGCTCGTTAGCCAGAGATTCAAGGATGGCAGACTTGGCCGTGGAAGTGTCTTTCTTTTCCGCTGCAAGGATGGTCGCCATTTTTTTCCGTGATATATTTCTCCAAGATCAGAAAGTTGGCAACCTTGTCAAGGATACAGCTGATGACAGGGATGGGTAGTTTCCTCAGAGTTTGAATGAGTCGCGGGGCGAAACGAGACAGATGGAAGATCAAGGAAGCTCCAAAAAACCCGTCACGAATGGGGAACTCAAAATTGGGCTCGTTGATGTAGTCATAGTGTTGGCCAAAGAACAGCTTCAGGATAATATCAGCTGTCATGGCGGAAATACACCTGTCAAGAGACAAGTGACCACCTTCCACCGCTGCGCGCGGGAACCTGCCAGTCAAAGCGAAAATACGCTCATGGATCTCGGGCTCAAGAGCAACGATGGCTCTTTTGGAAAAGTAAGGGTTCATGTAGCCCCGTCGAGGGCGGTGGTGGAAATGGTCAACCGTCGCTGCCACAGAGTTTGGAACGGAGAAGCCTGCCACAGTTGAAGGATCCTTGTTGACCTTGCAAGTGCCACTGGTGTAGATTTGAGGGTAAAAACTGGGATCCGCGATGTGAATCTCATTCGGGTTGACTCGAATGATAGGGCCTTCAGGCGAGACTTGAGAATATTAGCCAATCTGATGAGACTTAGCAAAGTTCGGGGATTGTCAGCTTACCATATGTCTCATGCATCTCCTTGATCTTCTAAAGACAATTCCCCCAAACATCATAATAGAACTCAAACCAGGAAGTCATAGCAGCCAGCCTAGACCCTGGAATCTGCCGCAATGAATGAAAGTAAAGGTTATAAATCCAACGAAGAATTTTGTTGCTAAGGATCATGTGTGATATAATCTTGGAGCTATGCAAGATACCTATAGCTTGTGAAGAATTTAGACTAGGTGATGGTGTGTGGTTTGATAACCATGCTAACGCTCTAGATGAGGTTGAATAATTGGGAATGGACACCTGGCCCTCTAGGCCCAACCAATTCACCAATCATTGTGTTGATAGTTAATTAAATACCTTACTGACTACTGTTGCCTTCAGTGCAGACTATACATAAAGGATTTTGACCAATGGATTTTTAGTAGGAAATTGTCAAACCAGATACTATACTAATAGATGGACTGGAAAAGCAGAGGTATAATGCTGCACAGCTAGCTAGGTCTATGGCTGTTTAATAATTCCATGGGATGATCTAATATGGAGTTGGATGCTCTTCTATCATGAATGGTCCTATAGATATATAACTATGGGTGCTATTTAATGATCAAACCACTTTATACTTTGATGTAGGTGAGCCTGATATCAATCTATATGCAGACTTTAGAAATATTTCAGGGCTATAGACCAGGGTTAAGAGAGCTTTATACTCTTATCTAATAAGTTTTTATAGTCCTTTTCATAATTAGGCCTAGTGGAATGCTGCCAAAGCAAAGCTACTGATTTAGTATATAAGTATCCGAAAACAATAGATTCCAAACGATGATCTCGGTTCAAACGCTAGATTTCAGGCTAGATACATCCAGATGACATCGATCAGGCGAATGCTTTGAATGAATTCACGAAACTAAGAAATTTATAGACTCAACCTAAAGGAATCGACTCGGATCTTCAAGTAGAGCCAGACCTCGGCCTAATTATGAGACAGATCGCGGATTTGTTAGCCTTTAACTCCGCTTTAATTTGGAGCTGCCCTCGATTAACTCCGGTGCGGAGCATATAATCAGCAGTGTTGCTATGACAAAGTGAGCTAACAATGAGCTTGACTGGTAGATCAAGACTCCTCATTTGCCGCACCTATTCAGGTTGTTCGAGAGATCATCCAGAATGACTGGTCGTCCGGACTTAATCAGTTAACTCCGTCCTAGGCGTGTTGGGCTTGCTATCGGTAACACCAGGTGAAATTAGTGTAGGATAAGAAATAAAGAGGTTTCTCGCCCTCACCTTCAACCTGCAGTTCTAATTTATCTACATGTTTCGTGACCCTTGAAGCTTCCTAAGTCACAACTCTACCACAATTTCTCGCTGACCAGTACTACAATATTCGGACAAATGGAATACGCACGGTAAGGTTCTCTGCATCCACCTTGGTAGCATTGACCTAAGCGCCTTTCAAAGATTGTTCAAGATCTAATTGCTGACCTACGGTGACAATATGACACAGACTGGGGGATTCGGGCCTCAAGGTCTCAAAGGTGATACTGGGTACCATGGGATACGGTGCCCCAGAATGGCAGGGCTGGGTGCTGAATGAAGAAGAATCTCTTCCACTTATTGAACACGCCTATAAGAAAGGCATCAGAACCTGGGATACTGTAAACAGAAATGCTTGAGCAAACACGCGAGTTCTAACCGATTTTTACCAGGCCGATATGTACTCCCACGGCAAATCCGAAGAAATCGTGGGAAAGGCTCTGAAGAAATACAACATCCCCCGTTCCCGAGTGGTGATATTGACCAAATGTTTCTTTGGTGTGGACGATCAGGGGAACTTTCCACCCCCTCTCTCGACTGGGAGACAGAACGCGGGTGACTTCTTGAACCGCGTCGGTCTTTCTCGCAGACACATCTTGGAGGCCGTTGATGCCAGTGTTGAGCGACTGGGAACTTATATTGACGTGCTCCAAATCCACCGACTTGATCGTGAGACACCACGCGAGGAGATCATGAGGGCGCTGAATGACGTAGTTGAGAGCGGCAAGGTTCGATACATCGGCGCTAGTTCGGTATGCTTCACCCTCAACAATCTGAACAAGCAAGCACTAATACCTTTCTTTCTTGTAGATGGCCGCTTGGGAATTCCAGACCCTACAAAACATTGCTATTCGCAATGGCTGGCACAAGTTCATCTCCATGCAGAACTACCACAATCTTATTGCCCGTGAAGAGGAGCGTGAAATGATCCCTTACTGCCTTGACAGCGGCGTATCTCTTATCCCTTGGTCTCCTGTCGCACGTGGAGCCCTCGCCAGACCTTGGGCTTCTCGCTCTACCTTGCGCGAAAACACCGATGTTGGGTTAAGTATTTTGGTTCGTGACCGCGAGTCTGAGTCCGACAAAGCTATTATTGACCGTGTGGAAGAATTGGCTGGCAAGAAGGGAATCAGCATGGCACAAGTTGCAATTGCATGGTCACTGAGTCACCCCAGCGAGTACCCTATCGTTGGGTTGAATTCTAAGGATCGCATTGATGAGGCTGTTGCGAGTGTCCAGGTCAAGCTGACGCCGGAAGAGATTCAGTACCTTGAAGAGCCTTATGTCCCTAAGGCTATCCATCCAGGGGAACGATAAATTTGTGATGAGTAAAGCCATACAACCGTGATGCGAATTTGCTTGTATACCAAATAGCTTACTGGAAATGATCATATCTAATTTGAGTCTCTGGGTTCATGATAAGTTCGACTGACTTATCTACTGCAATGCTTACTATGAGCATAGTATAGTACATGTACAGTTATTATGGCTTAGATCTTCCTTGCTAAGAAAAACTTCTCATATCGCGCAAAGCAATTAATAAAATGACATTCAAGGACATTTGAAATCTTAGAAAACCTTGTCATATAGCTCCTCCTTCGACCTGTGCACAAATGTCCGGTTCAAGTCTTGCGATGTATCAACGGGTGTTGGAAACATGAGAGAAGGTGCTTGGGCGCGAACATCAAAAAGTGGTGGATGTGGACGTTGCGCCCAGGGATTCCAGTCCTGTGGCGCGCTCAGTCCGCCGTTGGCAGTGACTGGTGCAGATGCAATCGCCATGTGCATAGCCTATAGGGAATAGCTGGCATATTCTGCAGAGCATCCATTTATAATTATAACAATATTAACTTCTATGTCATTAGTAAGCAGTCTCTTGATGAGCAGTGTGAAGCTTATTACCCAAATAGGTAATTTGAGGCACACATTGCTGAAAGAGGAAATGTGCTATTTGTCATGCAGATCAAAGTCACCCTAATACTGTCAAATGACCTGTTCATTTTTAGCGCCTTACAATATGGATATGGACGGTCAAATCCACTCAAGGTGTATACTTGCCTCTCCATCATGCTCTTGACCATACCCCGCATACTGATTTCCTCAAGTCTGCAGCGTGCATATAAATCATCATTCTTATGAAGTGCACTAAGTTCTCTCTAATTTCTTCTCATAGAAATAACCACTTGAACTTTCTCCTTTCAAGATGGTCTCCTCTCTCCTCACAGAATCAAGTTCAGAGGAGGTAGTCGCATCGACGAAATCCCCATCTAACGATCCCCAGATCATCCAGACTTCGTTTCCCAACCCATCATTGCAGGTCACAGCGAACCACCAACTCAAGGTTGTTGAAGCGCCAGTGTACGCTCCCCGACGCGGAGAAGTCCTTCTTCAAATAAAGGCTACTGGAATCTGCGGGTAAGACGGTTCATCAGCCTGTACAAATCACGTCCTGATATTTGGCAGCTCTGATATCCATTTCTGGAAGGCTGGTCGAATCGGCCAGCTAGTGTTCGAGGGCGATTGCATTATCGGCCATGAAGCGGCCGGCGTAGTCTTGAAATGTGGTGAAGGGGTCACCCAACTCAAGCCCGGTGAGAGCACAAGATTCCAGTTTATGAGTTACATACTGACACTTCCAAGGCGACAGGGTAGCCGTCGAGCCCGGCGTTCCCTGCGAACAATGCTTCCTCTGCAACGACGGCCGGTATAACCTCTGCGAGGATGTACAGTTTGCGGGTGTCTATCCCTACGCGGGGACGTTGCAACGATACAAAGTCCATCCTGCGAAGTGGCTGCACAAGTATATTGCCTACTTTCTTTCCTCTCCAAGCTAATCTTAACGTATTTGCAGGCTTCCGGGCAGCCTCTCATACGCCGAAGGAGCCCTCCTCGAGCCCCTCTCTGTCGTCATGCGCGGCATCCAAGTCGCTCGCCTCAATCTTGGCCGGGGGGCCGTAGTCTGCGGCGCCGGGCCCATTGGCCTCATTGCTCTCGCTGCGGCGCGCACATCAGGCGCCCACCCGATTGTCATTACCGACGTTGAGCCGAGGCGGCTTGCATTCGCGAAAGATTTCGTGCCGAGCTGTATTACATACCAAGTTGATCCTGCAGAGGATGCGGAGGGGAATGCGAAAGCTATCAGGGCTCTCTTCGGGGAGAGCGAGTACGCGGCGCCAGAGACGGTGCTAGAGTGCACAGGGGTGGAAAGTAGTGTTTGCACGGCGGCATATACTGCGCGCCGGGGTGGCGTGGTTGTTGTGATTGGTGTTGGCAAGCCGATTATGAATAATCTGCCGTTCATGCATATGTCTCTTGCAGAGGTGAGCTTGCTTTGGGCCTTGGTTGAATTGTTGCTAACGATGGCTATATTGATCTGCGGTTCATCAATCGATATCGGGACACTTGGCCACCGGCCATTGCGTGTCTCAGTGGTGGGATTTTGGACCTGAAGAAGTTAGTATCGCATGTCTTTCCCTTGGAGAGGGCAAAGGATGCTCTACATTTGTGTGCGGATCCTCGCAACGGGAGTATCAAAGTGACGGTGGTGGACGAAGTCGATGCAAGTCTGTGACCTAAGTAGAAGGAGAACGATATAGACTGTTTCTCCTCCAGAGAGGAGCACAAGGGTAAATGCTCGTTACTATAGCTGTTCTCCATGTCGGCGTGTAGAACTTGGTTATATTACTGCTTGTTAGTTGTCCAGGAGGAACAAGAGTAACGCAGAACGAGCGTACCATGTTCAGTAAGCAGTATTTTATAATACAATGGCTCGTATAAGCCTGTCACCTCTTGCTTAGCTCCGATGACGAGATTATGCTCAGACTGGTCCGTCTAGCTGGTACTAAATACGCACGCCTGCCTTGATAGACTCATCTCCAAGCCTTACACATCGCTCCACTCTGCGCGTACATTCATTGGAAATGAGACTTTGAGTATCTTGTTGGGAAGAATTAGGAAATCCTGAGTCTAAAGGTTCCTCCGTCACTTTTAGAACTTGTTCGACCCTACTCACGTCTCCCAGACTCAGTATCCATCATCATATTCAATTCGAATCACGCCGAGGAGACTTAATGAACTCCTCATCTGAGACGCCAACTTCCTTCCTTGCCTTCTGGCTGAATTGAACCAGTTTTCTAGGAGAATCTTCGGTCCTTGTCAACAAAATCGGCCGGTGACTTTTGTGATCTGCCGTTACACCAACCCGAAAGTAGCCGATGTTTCGGGCTTTTATCTATTTGCCATTCCTACCTCAGCATCGGCTCGGCGACATAAGAAATCAAGGGAAACGAAAGACGGATCATCGACTGATCTCTCGTTTTGCTCAAGACCATGTCTCTGATTTCGTATGTGTTGGTAACCCAAACATCTCAAAAAGCCGACCGGGTTGAGATTCATGGCCAGCACTTCAACAATGATAGTGCTGTGTTTGGTAAATACAAAAGAGGCTACTTGAATAAATCATTTCTAAGAAGTAAAGCAAATCAAAAGTCTTTCAGCTTATCCACTGGAATACCACGATCACGTCTGGGAGGAGGTGAAAGTACTTTATGGGCCATCGCTTAGCACATCCATCACATTCAAAGCTGTTAGGTCCCATACTACAATTCCTATGCCCAGATATCGACGGCGCTTGTCCATGCCTTGCCAAAGTAGACCTCCGGACTCCTATATGTTACGAAAGTGACTTCACCTCGGTTCGGCACCATACCTAGAAGGGGTGCTATCACTGGGAGCTCTTAAGCAGTAAGCGTTGGCTTTGTCTGGCTCTTATCAGATCCAAGGTCTGCCAACTTGGCCTTTTTTTTTCAAGGGAGTGGCCACATCATCGCTAGCTGGATCTCTATTTTTGAATCCATTTGAAAGAACCTTTTCCATCTTGATGTCTGTTCATATGAGCTTGTTTCTGCACTGTTTGCTCCCTTGCGGATATATGCATAGCCCCAATTAAATTAGGGGGAAGTTTGCCGAAAGGGGCACATATCTCGTTGAATGGATGCTTCGTTTCTGAGCATCCCACAGCCAAGCAGATGCACCAAAGACCTTACGGCATCCACCCTACATATGTATCCCCGTTCCTTCATGACTAGTAAATATTCCATGATTGTTCTTCAACCTTAAAATGCTCAATGACCAATCGGCGCCTGAGGCACCGTCGCCCCAATCATGAATCGCAGTCGCGACGTGAGAGGAACATTTTGTCTGTACATTAGACTAGGCGCATTAAACTAGTTTTTAGCTAGCGCCATGGTGCCCGCTGCAAATCTCTCTTCTTGAAGTTGGTACGTGGTGGAGCTTACGTTTGTTGAGATGATGACGACGCCGGCTTGGCTGCTGTGGCTGGTTGGCCGAACGCCCGTTTTTAAAGTACTATGAGTACTCACTCTCGGGTTCCTCTTCGTCCTTTTATTGAATGCTAATGTGTTTTATCTCAGTGATCTTCTTATGATCATCTCCATTCCAGAAAGGGGTCACTCCACGGTCTCCGACAACTTCGTTTTCTTCTTCTCGGACTATTAAACCGATATGGACGATCAAACTGAGTTCTCCTCCCGAGTGGAGTCGTGCAATTTGCCGACGCTTGAGTCGTGGCTTAGAGGACTCGTGGCCGGCGTCATCAGCCGATGTTGATCACCCAAATCCCGAGACGGCTGTCTTGGGGAGTGTGGAGTATTCAGAATCTTCCAAACTGATTTGTTCAGGATTCGATGCTCTATCAAATAGTCTTTGGACTCCGCAGTTGCCAATTAGGGGAGCTAGCCCGCTGTGTCTTTCACAGACGCTATAAATAAGCTTGTCGTCCGAGGGAAAGATTCACAGACTCCTGACGATGAGAGGGGGAAACGAGTATGATAAAACTGCTCGAGCACCTCCAGCACTTGACCCTCTCCCCATGAGTTCGAGTCTCATATTAAACGTTAACATGTGAATCTTCATTCCGTTCTCTCCTCTGCAAGCTCTTCATAGACCTCTTCTCAACGTTGGTCAGCCGTGTCCCAATGTCCTCTTGGGCTTGGACTCCTGCCTGCCTTCGCCGCCACTTCTCAAGACGTCCTGAGCCTTCTCTCCAATCGAAATCGCGGAGCAGGTCCTCCAGCCTGATTCCCACCGTTGCTGGTGTCTCCGTTAGTCTCCTCTACCTGTTCAACGTCTTCGCCGTTCCTCAGCTGCTTCGATTCCGCTTTCGGCTCGATCTAAGCCCGTATGATCTGGGATTATATGGCTTCGGTCCTTCGCGTAGCTACATATCTTTCGAGTATGAATCTCCCATGGTAGAGATCGCAGAGTGGGGTTCAGGATGCGATCCGCGATACACATTTCTTGCTCCTCGTGGTGATTCGGTCGCCCACCCCGGGCCCGTCATTCTGGACGCTGAAGGCGAATTGGTGTGGATGAAATATAATTGGGATACAACGCAGGACTTCAAAGTACAGCGATACAATGGTGCAGATTACTTGACATACTGGGAAGGGACTGAAGTGGAAAGTCGTGGCTACGGGTCATGGTATATGGTCGGTGGCCTGCATCCAGTATCCTGGACGATGAGAAAACAAGGAAGCTAAGCTCACCATTTGCAGCTCGATTCGACCTACACCCAGAAATACCAGATATCCCCCGTCGGCAACTTCGGGGGCGGCGATCTGCACGAATTCCGCATCACAGAGCAGGGGACAGCCCTTGTTACTGTCTACGACCCCGTTCCCGCGGATTTGACTTCCATAGGAGGACTGGAGCTGGGTTGGATCCTAGATGGTATTTTCCAAGAGATCGACATCGAAACGGGCGAATTGCTTTTCGAATGGCGCGCGTCTAAACATTACCCCGTCAACAGCACCTACGAACCACTGGACGCAGCGGGGAAGGATAGGAATAACGCGTTCGATTACTTTCACATAAACAGTGTCGATAAAGATGAGCAGGAGAACTATATTGTTTCTGCGAGACATCTCCATTCCGTCAGCTATATCGACCACGTCACTGGGAACGTTTTGTGGACTCTGGGCGGGAAGTTGAACGAATTCACAGACCTGTCTGACGGACAGTCCACCAATTTTGCCTGGCAGCATGATGCCCGGTGGCACGCTAACAACACAGTCACGCTGTTTGACAACGCTGCGCATTCAAGCAGCGATCCCGACAGTGAAAGTCGCGGCATGGTCATCCAACTCGATATCTCTGGCCGCATAGCCGAACTACTCGCCGAGTACTACCATCCTCAACAGATGAGGTCCGTATCGCAAGGCAATGTCCAGATTTTGGACGAAAGTGGTCGGGCCCTGGTTGGCTGGGGCCACAGCGCAGCTTTTACCGAGTATACTGCCGACGGGGACCTACTCTGCGATGTCCACTTTGGAGCTTCGGCGTTCTTCTCCTTCGGTCGGGTCGTATCTTATCGCGCGTCCAAGGGTACCTGGGTCGGCAGACCACTGACAATCCCCGAGGCGGCGGTCATGGGCGACCATGTGTACGTGAGCTGGAACGGCGCAACGGAGGTTGTAGCCTGGCGACTGGAAGTCTGGGACACGCGAGCTATTGAGGAGAGCACGTTTGACGTGGTCGCTCAGTTCGCGAAGACTGGTTTCGAGACGGGGATTGAAATTCCCGAGGAACTGGGAAGCCCGCTTTTCCGCCTGGCGGCTTTGGATGCCGAGGGCAATGTGTTGGGTTACACCGAAGTCCTTCAGAAGGAGCAGGGTGCCGATGTGGATGAACTTCTTGACCTGCATAACTGGATCGTGGCTGCTGCTTTTGTTGTAAGTGGCGGGGGTCTCTTACTCGGTCTCTACCAGTGTTGCAGCTGTCGTCGAATCTTTCCCCGACGCCATCGTCGTCCGAATGAGTACCAGCTCGTGGGTTTTGGTGACAATGATGAGAACAATTCCGTTTGAGACACGAATTTCCTGCTTGGTCTACTCTAGACATCTCACTTATCTAGACTTGGTGTTCCTCTGGTAGATATCACTCACCGCACGGTATTCCCATGCTTGCTCCTATTTATACATATATTAGACAGATCGATATATACAGGTACATATATCAGATAATCACACCCCAGCCACTGTAGCACCACTGATAGTAGTGAAAGCTGTTCGCTCAGACTGTCCTCGGCGTTACCCCAACCCTTCTGGTGTACCAAAGCACTATCAATGTTCCTGGACACTAGCATCAGACGAGGAATCAAAGTCAATCTCCTGGGTGGCAATATAATCCGTATACCAAGTCTTGCCGTTATCAGTCGTGGCAAAGCCAGCGTCAGTAGACGAGTAGAGCGCCATAGTCTTGCCGAATGATTCATCAGCAGCGCTGAGGGTGACCGTCAGGTTGGTTATGTCTGCCAAATTAGCTTTCTTCCATGCCGCAGTACTTACCAGGAACTACTTACCGTAACCTGGCAAAAGGCCGCAGTTGCCTGAGCCGGTGTAGCACTCGTTCGACGAGTAGAGATATTTAAGGCCGTTGTCCAGGGCTGTGGCGCCTTCAGTTAGTGTCTATTAGCTGACAGACGGATCATGCTTACCGTCCGATTGCTGCGAGATCACCCCGCCGTTCATGGTGACAGTCTGGTAGACCTTGTTGTTCTCGACGGAGACTGCGCCGGTTAGTGTTCGTCTAGCTAGCTGAGCTGCTGCGAAACACGTACTCTCAAAGTCGAGTTTGGTCTTTGGTGGCACAGGTACATACGCCTGCCCGACCTGACCGTCTGTACGCACTCAGCAACCAAGCCCAGTTGATACTCATCGGAAAGAATCTTACCGGGAGTGTACGTGCTAGCAGCCACGCACCACTCTGTGTTGTTCGCGGAACAGCCCCTATTACCTATTGTCAGCTTAATGTCTAGTATATGAAGTGAGAAACATACTGAGACTCTTGGTCTGGAGACCAGTTTAGCAGCGGCTGGTACAAGTTCGCGTTTGCGTCGCCGTTCGTGGAAGAGGCTCCCACCCAGACGGAGACCCAAACCTGGTCGGAGGGTGAGGACACCTTCACGCCGGATGGGACATCCGGTGGGACGAGCGAGTAGGTCGCCTTCGTGATGGAAGCGCCGGTTGGAGGACCGAGGTAGAAAAGGCTGTTGCCAAAGACCCAGGAGTCCGCGGGCATGGAGGCCGTAGCCCCCAGGGCTAGGGTTAAGGGAATGGAAATGTATGCGTAGTGCATTCTGGATATTGTTGCGGAAATGTCAAGATAGAAATGAATGTAACGGTACTGAAGAAAGAAAGGATGTAGATATCCAGATCTACTGTGATTACAAGAGCGATGATCGGAAAGAGTGCGAGAAGCCGGTATATAATTATCACCGTCGAGATGGCAATGCAGAAATAGAATCTGCACTAAGCTCCATATTAAGTCAATCTAGTCGGCCAGTCTGCTGATGACCGTCGTATCCGTAAATTTTTCCTGGAATTGTCCATTGTTTATTGTATTTTTGTACTTAGTGCGAGACTCCCGAGACAAATTCATCACTCTGAAACTGAGTCCGCCGCTTCTGACTCCATTGCGGTCAAGATGAAACAAGCTTAAGCTGTCGGAATTCGGCTGCTTCGGAGGGATGATCTTAAGCTATATTAAACTCGTCTTCTGAGGAGGACGTATTTCGTACCCCTAACGATAATATTATGTTGCCCCTCTCCTGGGTTTTTGCGATGCATCGGAACATCATAGCAAATCCTTCCCCAACCCCTTTTCTCTGGTCGGCCGTGCTTAGCAGTCTGGAACAACTTAATGCAGATTGACGACCATTCTGTCCACATGGCGAGTCAGATTGACAATTTCACACAGTTGTATTGATTGTCAGCATAAATAAACACCAAAGAAGGACTTAACCATCAGGGCCACTGTCAACCCCGCTTTTAGCGGGATTGACATGCTGCAAGTATGCGCCTTAGCTTTTGACACTCGGACACTTTCACGACGATAACGATCGTCCCGACTAATTGGGCTGAATAGCCAATGAGTGTTGCCTGCGTCTGATCACATAAGCGATTGGTGACTGCAAGTTGCAGATGTCCAACCGCCCCTGTCCCTCTGAGTCTCTCGTCTCTCGTGGTTTGGACAGCTCTGGGCGGTGACTCGACAAGAGAAAGAATCTGCAGAGTACTGTACGACAGCAATTCCGCAACATGGCCTCAGCCGAAAAGAAGTTTACCGTCGCAATTGTAGGCGGCGGAATCGGAGGCCTCACGCTGGCCGCAGGACTCTTGCGCCGCAATGTGCCTGTTCAAATTTATGAGGCCGCTCCGGAGTTCAAAGAAATCGGGCTGGGTTTGACGATAGGACCGGCGGCTCACCGTGCGATGCGGTTGATTGATCCCCAGATCCGCCAGATATACGATTCACTCATCACGACCCATGCCGACAGTCCTGGGTATGAGCGTTTCAAACAGACCTGGTTTGAAGTTGTCTGGGCGACAGGTCCGAAATCTGGGCAGATACTTATGGACTTGAAGGCCTTGCCGTCAGGGCAAACCACGGTACGGAGAGCGGATTTCTTGGACGCCTTGGTTGGGCTGGTTCCACCTGAGATTGCGCATTTTGGAAAGAGGTTGATCAAGCTAGTTGAATCGCCGACCGGGGTGGATCTGTCCTTTGAAGATGGTACCTCTGCAACTGCAGATGTGGTGGTCGGTTGTGATGGGATTCATTCAAGAGTCAAGGAGTTTATGCTACCGGACGAGTATGAGCAGACCATGCCACGGTACAGCGGAATGTACGGATATCGCGCAGTCTTGGACATGGAGACCATGGTCGAAGCGGTCGGTGACCACCGTGCTCGAGTAGCGACCATGTATGTTGGCGACGGTGCATATGGGATCTCGTATCCAATCATGCACGCGAAGAAGGTTAATGTAGGTCTCTATATCCTGCATGATAAGTGGGAAGACGAAGCTTGGGTTCGTCCGGCTAGCAAGGAGGATATGCGGAGGGACATGAATCATATGGGAGATTATGTCAATCGGCTGGTCGAGGTATGCGGGAAATAACATCCAGTTTTTTCAATGTCTCCAGCTGATAGTGTAACATGATAGTATATGCCGGATCCCTCGCAGTGGGCTATATTTGATCATCCGCATTTGTCGACCTTCGCAAGATCGCGTATAGCGATTCTCGGGGACGCGGCTCATGCTTCCACCCCACACCAAGGAGCAGGAGCAGGACAAGCAATTGAGGATGCACACGTACTGGCAGAGCTTCTTGGGGATCCCAGAGTAATCGAAGCAAGAGACGTCATCGCAGCATTCCAGGCATACGATGCCGTACGACGGCCGCGCAGTCAGAGGGTGGTAACCAGCAGCAAAGAGAACGCATTCCTGTTGTGCTTACGCCTGGATGGAGTAAAAGATGACGAGGAGAAGTTGAGATCGACCTTTCAAGAACGGTTACGGTGGCTTTGGGATATTGATACCCAGGACCAAGCGGAGAGGGCAAGGCGGATCATGCTGGAGAGGATGGAACAGATGCAGAACAGACACAATTGGGTATCAATGAGCGAGTAAGGTAGAATCTCTGCAAATGCACTTGTTTGAAGATGATTCTCTCCAACAAATCCAGTTTCCTTCGGCAGCTGACATGTTACGATCACCGTAGCTGAGACGATTTACAAGAAGAATTGACCAATGAGCGGCTGCCTGAGGATTTCGGCACCAAAACATGCGCCAGGCATCCAGGCACCAACGCTCGGCTACCCGCGGCGATTCTCCAGATTCCCCGCATGATGAAATGAGAATCCCCCAGCCTGAGAGACTGCCGTATAAATCGCCCAGGGGAATGTTCCAAGAAAGTCTTTAATTTTGACCTCTCGCGGTCATTTTTCTGTATTTCCACCCTCCCTCCCAACTTCCCGCCTACTACCCATCCAGAAATGGCTTCTCTCCGACCCTCTGTCAAGAGGTTATTACGGCAACCGCCCTGCCGGTTGTACTCGGGCGCTCCATCATCCTCATCACGGCTCAATCTACCCATCGACTACAAATCCACGCCTCTCCTGCACCATACCTCGTCCTCACTATCAAGCGCTCTAGAGCTCCCCGGCTCGACGACCAGCAAATCACTCAATCTATACCAAGCTATCAATGCCGCGCTGCGAACCGCCCTTGCTACGGATAACAGGGTGATGCTTTTTGGCGAGGATGTAGCCTTCGGCGGAGTGTTTCGGTGCTCGATGGACTTGCAAACAGAGTTTGGATCTGAGCGTGTATTCAATACCCCGTTGACGGAGCAGGGTATTGTAGGGTTCGCTATTGGAGCTGCAGCGCAAGGCATGAAGCCTGTTGCCGAGATCCAGTTCGCAGATTATGTCTTCCCTGCATTTGACCAGATTGTAAACGAAGCTGCAAAGTTCAGGTATCGAGAGGGAGGCACAGGCGTGAATGTGGGGGGAATGGTAGTCAGAATGCCATGTGGTGCAGTCGGACACGGCGCCCTGTGAGTTGAACCCGCTATCATGTTGCTGCCCTGTAGCGATTGCTAATACAGTCTCGGAGTACAGATACCATACACAATCTCCCGAGTCGCTTTTCGCCCATGTCCCCGGTGTCCAAGTGGTTATGCCTCGGTCTCCCTCACAAGCAAAGGGCCTCCTCCTGAGCGCCATCTTCCAGAGCAACAACCCAGTCATCTTCATGGAGCCCAAGATTCTGTACCGCGCAGCAGTTGAGCACGTCCCAAATGAATTCTACACAATACCGCTTAACAAAGCCGAAGTGGTCAAACCAGGAAATGATGTGACAGTCATCTCGTACGGTCAACCAATGTACCTCTGCTCTGCCGCCATTAGTGCTATCGAAAAGGACATTGGCGCCAAGGTTGAACTCATCGATCTCCGAACAATATACCCTTGGGACCGACAAACTGTCCTCGACAGCGTGAAGAAAACCGGACGTGCTGTCGTGGTGCACGAGAGTATGATCAACTACGGCGTCGGTGCTGAAGTTGCTGCTACCATCCAAGACGGCGCATTCTTGCGCCTGGAGGCTCCAGTGAAGCGAGTGGCTGGGTGGAGTACCCACACTGGCCTTACATTTGAGAAACTCATCTTACCTGATGTCGCGAGTAAGTGATCTCCAACCCCCTTTCTATTTATTCATAATGAGCAAGTCGGTTGCTGACGCATATCAGGAATTTATGATGCTATTAAGCAGACACTGGAGTACTGAGCGTTTGCATGGTTCCAATAGAGAAATAGAGCATATATGTGCCCTGAGAATGCTTTACATTTCAACAGCAGAATAAGCCTTAAGGTTCTACCGGAGTGCTTCAGAAAGAAACAGGAATCGATTGAAGTAGTTCCAATACCCCCCTATACCAGTGGGTGTACGAAATATATACTCGTCTGAAACCTACCTTGACATCTTAATTCGAGAGATGTTCAGAAGTCGGAAAACCTGCAATGGGGCTAAGTAGATTACGTATAGATTTCTTAGAACAATTGACTAGTAAAATGAAACTTTCTGGGCAAGTGTTTTAAACGGCTCCGTCTCTTGTACAGCTCTGTATTGTCGATCGTATTTTCTCTCCCGACCCCCTTGCTGTCCATTGTCCCCCCTTAAATCATGTGTTATTTACCAAATATGCCAAATTTGGAAGTCATCTTTGGCCAATCATCGGCAAGCCTTTCAAGCTAGCAATATCGCTGCCACAGAATCCTGGACATCCCGACCTCCATGCCACACTAGCGACTTTCCTTTTACGGTAATCATTCTCGTAAGTATTTCAGAGCCGTCGACGACGACACTTCACTATTCTTTCAAGAGCCTAGCATATCCTGAAGCTAGTAAAAAAAATATAACACCTCATAATTAATATATTCATCAGAAAGCAATCATATCTATATGATGTATCGCCAAGTACTCGCTCAAATGTAGGATATCGCAAACCGTAAATACAACGCCCCATAACAAAATCCCAAAATCGCTACAAAATATCATGTCTGTAGCAAGAAATGACTAGAAACTGAAAAGCCCACTCCGGCGCTTTCCAAACGGGTATACAACTAGCGCCGCAATGAACAATCCCACAGTGATACCGATCGCCACCTGGATCATACCGAAACCTAAGCTAGCAATAGATGTATCCTGGCTGGGCGTGTCGGTGCCATTGCCGCCTTTATGCAGATTCTCCCGGACTTGATTAGCATAGTTGATGCCGGCGATCAAGGAGCCCGAGGAGGCCAAACCCGACGGCACGAGGACGAAGATACCCGGTAGAATGGCGGTGGCCGCGTGACCGTGCCATAAGCGGCTATAAAGATTGCCCAGGATGCCGAGGGTGAATGCACCGACGGTATTGGCGACTTCAGAGCGGGAGCCGAGCTTGGTGGTGCTGAAGTAGTTGGTGATGTAGCCACAGGTTGCGATGAAGATCATGACGGGGACTTGTTTCCATTTGGCTTGGTTGATGACAGCGAGGCAGATGACGAAGACGGGGATGAAGATGAAGTGTTGTATGTACTTGCTGCCGTAGATGGAGAGGTCGCGGCAGGTTGTTTCGGAGGTAGCATTGCCGTCAATGAGGCCGTAGACGGTGGTGCCGACTGTGATGCCGTAGCCGAGGAAGAGGGAGTAAATTATAGCGAAGACCATGCGGATGGAGCCAGCAATCATCTGGTGGGATTGGAGTTCAAGACTGCTGCACAGGACCATGAAACCGGGGAGGATCAGGGCGATGGAGGATTGTGCCAGAGCGGAGAAGCAGAAGAGAGACTGTTTTTGGCCGTCCACAGTTATACGGATCGAGCCGAATGCCCGCGCCAGGAACGAGGTCAACACTGCTGCTGTCACTTCAAACACATTGGAATAGAGAGTAGATCGGGGAGATATGACGTGTTGCATCAGACCGACGAGCGACCCAAGAATGAAGATGATAGGCATGTCAATGGGCCGGGCGTCGAAAGCGAAGGGGCCGACCGCGGCGCCAGCCAGACCGTAGACTGGAACCAGGACCCATTTATTAAAACGCGGTTTGCGCTTCATGATTTCGTCAAGTTCCTGGATGGCTTCTTCGACTCCGATCAGGTCGTGAACGACATTTTTGTAAACATTGTGCGTTTCAGCCAATCGTCCTAGATCGACACCTTGCACCGAACGAACCAGCTTGACTTCGGCTGTTCGAGTAACAGGGTCATCGAAGGACATGATCATACAACCAGGCAGATACAGAAATTGTCCCTCGACCTCCAGGACCCGCGCCGTCATGGTCATGTACTCCTCCAATCGGTGCGTCGGCGCGCCATACCGCATTAACGCACGGCACAACTGCATGATATACCGATGCCGTGCCAGGATCTCTGCAATATGCACGGTCACTTTGATTTCATCCTCCAACCGGTGCTTGCGATATGGCTTCTTCCTCCCCCGCTTCTGCTGCTGTGTCATTGACAGAACGTCGGCGGAGGATGGTAGGGTGGCCCGACTTAAGTTCATCGATGCTTCCACAAGGGAAGCAGTCGATCGATGGTGTGGTTTCTTATACCATTTCAGTTTCTCCTTCTTAGGGGTGAGTGCACCCGACTTGGGAGTTGCCGATCCTGACTTGGGCGTTGTGGCTCCCGAGGACATGGGAGAGCCATCGTCGGAATCATCCGTGGCCGACAGACCATCCTTTTCATTCTGCGCAGCCTGCAGCTTAAGCAGTTGAGACAAAATGCCGCCTCCTCCACTAAAGGAGAGCGGACGGTACGAATCATACCACGAACTGGGACGCTCGGGAGTGCTCTGGCCAGAACGTTGGTAGGCAGGTTTCGGTTTGCGATGGCGCAGATTATTGCGTTGAGTCATCCGTCGAACAAGACGGTGCGCCTCCGCACTGGGGTTGGGTCGGTTCTCGTCGTCCGTATTGTCGCCCATAGGCATGCGGTACTCGCTATCAAACCTGCGTATCGGCATCCCCTCTTCCAGGTCCTCCGGTAGAAGGGAGACTCCCAGCGCCTCACCGTCATCCAGCGGTCTACCCAGGCGTTCTCCCAAACGGACCGTCTTTTGCCTAATCAACTGGCCTGCCTCCTTCCATCTTTGTTTGACAGACTTCGATCGGTTCGCTGTTCGCTCCCTGGCTGTGGAGTCTTCGGAGATGCGTTCGGGCGTAGAAGGCGGATATTGGGCGCTGGAGTAACCCGACCCATCATATCTCGCGGTTATATCTGTCTCATCATCGAACTGCTCTGCTTTTAGCATATCGGTAACATCCGTGGATCGTGGTGCGGAATTGAGCAGCGTCCGGGAGGAGCCGTCGGAGGTATTCGAGTAGACTCTCTCGGTAGTCTCGGTATTGTCGGCATCGCGATGTTGGCTGAAAGATCGAAACCTCACTCGATGCGGTCGTGAGAGTTCGCCAGGTAGTCCCAGGTGGTGACTCCCGGCGTTGACCGGTTGAGAGCGACTGCGGGCATGACCGTTGCGGTCCTCAACGGTGTTTCGCTCTACAGACTCTGGATTCGTGAGCAACTCGTAACTTTCGTTATCATGATGAGTCTCCGACATTGGGAGGCAAATGCACTCCAGATGTCAATTATCGTTGCAGTAAAGTTTGATGGGAATGCCAGGAAGAGAGTGTACGGGGCAGAAGACCATGAACGAATGTCTGGATGAACGGTGGAGGAACGGATAGAGATTAAAGGACTAGTCACCGTACAAATACATACGATGGATGGCACAATGAGATGACAAATTGAGGAATGCAGTGGTGTAAATGGGTTAACGAAAGGCAGCGAGAAGCAGAGAGGGCTGGCTGAGTGGAGAGAGGAACCAGAGATAAGACTGAGCGGAAGGACGTGGGAGAGGCGAACCAAAAATAAGTCGAGTCTAGAACAGACTTTCTTCATCCCAAAGATAGGAAAGTTTTGCAAGAGCTGAAAAGAAGCCATTGACTTTTAAAGAAACAAGTCAAGTCTCGGTGCCGAGCTCATTGTTGTGAGGTTGACGAGATGACAAGAAGACGATGATCTCATGGTGGAGGGGCATGATTGCCCTGTCAGTGTTTCGGAGGGGTCTTGGACAGATGATCCTTATCAATAGCACTCTTACTATGGTTTCTCTTCTCGACAATTTACAACAGTTTCAATGCGGCACAAGATCGCTATGTTTTACTAAACTGGTGATTGTTGATTAAGGTACTGTTGTAGAACCCAACCAGTCTACTACCTATCCTCCGTTCCCAAAGAGGCGGCTCGATCAGCAGTGTCAAAGGACTCAATGCTCAAAGACCCAAACTCAATGACACTGCAATCCACGCAACCGGTGGAGAACTATTGGCACAATCATGATACGTAGATAAAGATGAATAAGATGCTCGGCTGTGGGTCGGGACTCGGAAGTGGCGAAGATGACAGAATCACAACGAATCACCGACGCTGTGTGGAAGCTGCATAGAAAATCTCTGACTCCCGAGTCTTGCGCCGTGGCTGCAGCGGGCTCGACCGGGAATGTGGACTGTTTGACCATCCTGATGGGCTGTTGAAACCTTGTCAAAATCCTAAAAGGTAGCCAATTTACCCGTCAAATTATCCACCTCAAGCAGATCACCATGTCCACAGCAAAGAGTCCAGACTCCAGATCCGTGCTACCTGCCTATGGAGTACTCTCGCAGGATCAACGAAACAGATCAACTTTGCATCAAAACGTGTTCTATTTTCGTCCAACACTCGGCGGAATACTACGGATCGCATGTGAATGATTATTATTAGACTATTATGGCCATGGGGTACTGGACTCCGCACCATGCAATTACCGACCATCACGACTGTCAAAATCCCATCTGTTCAACCACCCAACGCTAACATTCAGGTACGTCGCAAAGCAGAGCCATCCCGCATATGGAAGCATCATCCAAAATGCAGTGCGATCGATATCCCACCACATTGCCATCAGTTTCCCGACCGTACCGCCCAGAGCTATGATATCCGCAAGGGCCCACCCAGGTTTCCATACACCGAAGAACAACGGCATCCAGAGGTAGTTGAGGACCAGCTGCGTCGTGTACAGCGTCTGGGACGAGGCTACTACCGTCGTGGGTGTGAGGAGGGTCGCGGAGGTTGTTGCGTGGTGGGCCGCGTAGCCCATCATCCCGTAGAGGACGGTCCACACTGGCCCGAAGACCCATGCGGGAGGGCGTAGGGGCGGTTGGCGGAGACGGCTGTAGAGGTCTTTTGTGCGGCCTAATTCTGTAGAGGTACGGAGTAAGTATCGGCCAGTTTGGCCTGCCATAAAGGACTAGTAATATCTTATCTATCGCCGATGAAGGGGCAGCATACTGTTGACCAGATATCCCACCAGGGATCCAACCCCAATAGGCGTCGCTACTGCTAGGACTGGCGAGGTGAAAAATTCTTGAGGGAGTGCGAATGACCACGGCATCGTGATTGAGGTTGAAAAATATTTTCCGAGTAGAGTGTTTATCCTTGTTCTTCGGAAATTTTACGAGTTTCTCTATCACGGAGTGTAGGGGGTCTTATGTACTCTGTTCAAGTCCTTCATCCGATCGATCGATATGCACCAACGTCATTGTTCGTAAACTCCACCTCGCTGAGAAGGGGCGCTACGAAACACAAATCCATTGAAGATGCGTGACAGATGTTTGTGGAATATGGAAAATAATCATCGAGCTCGAATATAAGAGAGAATAACATAGCCAGCAGAATATCTGGAACGCTTTCGCGTCGTCAAGCGCCAGTGACTGCAGTGAAATATATAACACCAAACAAAGACACAAAAAACCAACAAAAAGTCAAATCCCACCCAACCAAAGGAGCTTGCATGCCGACCAGAAAGATCAACGGTGACATGGAATACAGACTCGCAAAATATGGACACGTTTTATCAGTCGTACTAGCTTGGGGACGGTGACTTTTGAATGGGCAGCTGCATCTACGTCCAAGGTATCCTGGCATCCAGGGGACGAAAGAACCGAAGTGATTCAGGGCACTGTTTCGATGTCCGACAGAATGTTGTAGAAGGAAAGCTGAAGTTGTTATAAAGCATCGCAATGCTCTCCATCAAACCAAGCCAAGTCATGATCGAGTATAGGCGGCGAATTTAGTCCAGTTAAAAGACCAGCTAGAAAATATCCCATCTGACAGTCAGCCACTATGCCACTCAAATTGCTTTGCCTGCATGGTTGGGGCACGAACATCAAGGTATGTGACACGAGCACTCCATCCTCGTCCTGCTCGCTGACATTGTGACAGATCTTGCAATCTCAACTGAGTAGGTAGCACAGCCCTCAGCTCTGCTGCCACATACTGACGAGACAGGCGGGTTGATGACCGAACTCCAACGAGACAACACGGCGACATTTCATTTTGTCGAAGGCGACATTGACTCGGTGCCGGGTCCTGGCATCGCAGGATTCTATGACGGTCCCTACTACAGCTACTACAAGTTCCCCCGGTCGTTTTTTGACCCGGACGGCAGCGAGGACGAATCCTTGCACGAAGCATACAACCTCCTCTATGACATCATCGATGAGGACGGTCCCTTTGATGGTATTCTAGGCTTCTCGCACGGAGGAACCCTGGCTTCGGGCTTTCTCATCCATCATGCGAAGACGTATCCGCATGAACCACCTCTCTTTCGATGCGCTATATTCATCAATTCCCTACCACCGTTCCGTATGAGCCCTGGCGAGAACCCTGTAATCGACCCAGATCTTGACGGCTATATCAAGATACCGACTGTAAGCATCGCTGGGGCGAAGGATCCGTTGTTCAAGTATTCGCTTGCATTGCACAGGTTGTGTGATCCGTCAAAGTCCACGTGGATAGTGCATAGCAAGGCCCACGATATTCCCAACGATAAGAAAAATGTCGCTTTGATGGCTGCTGGTATCCGCAAGTTGGCCATTGAAGCTTTGGCGATATGGTGACAATACCACGGCTTTTCTCTCTGTCCTACCTTGCACAGAATAGAATATTCCGCATGTCTATCCTGCATTCCTCGGTTTCAATGCCGGTTTCTCTCAGTGTACTGGTACGGAGCATTCTTTGGATGATGTCGTTAGATCGCGAATTACAGGTCTGAAAATCGGATAATAACCACGCGACGTATATGTTTCTGCTCCTTCCGCAACTTAGTGATTATCTTGAACCCTTGCCGAATCTCTGTCACATGAGAGTACGTCAACATTGTCATATGGATGGGCCATTCGTAGTCTTCCACCATGGCTGTCAACTCCTTCGAAGGGACTGGAGTACCCGTCCAGCTCCCTTCTCCCTCTAATGTCCACTTAGAAGATGAAGCTTCAAACTCGTTGGATGACACATCAATGCCCATTGCCATTATTGGCATGGGCTTCCGAGGGCCCGGAGATGCCAGCAACGTCGAAAGGCTATGGAAGATGATTCTCGAAGGTCGGGAAGCATGGAATCAGATACCCGAGTCGAGATGGAACAATCATGCGTTTTACCACCCAGATCATGCGAGGCACGGCACTGTAAGTCATGATAAACGCACAAAAGACATTTGTGATAACAGTATCTGCAGATCAATGTCCAAGGCGGCCACTTTCTGTCAGAAGACGTATCCCTTTTCGATGCGCCCTTTTTCAACATGACGAGTGACGAGGCAGCGGTTTGTAGCCTTTCAACAAAGTGTCTGTGCAATTGGGTCCTATCAAGCTTATCATATCACTTCTCAGGCGATGGATCCCCAGCAGCGATTATTGCTCGAAGTGACCTATGAAGGACTAGAGAATGGTCTGTTTGCCACAGCATAAAGGTTATCGGATAGCACTCACACCTGCCAGCCGGTATACCTCTTCCCGAAATCATGGGAAGCGACACATCATGTTTCGTTGGTTCTTTCAATGCGGATTACACAGATCTCCTCCTGCGCGACCCCGATGCTATCCCCATGTACCAGTGCACCAATGCCGGCCAGTCGCGTGCCATGATGGCCAACCGAGTGTCATACTTCTTCGACCTAAAGGGCCCCAGCGTCACAGTTGATACCGCTTGCTCGGGAAGTCTAGTCGCCCTTCATTTGGCTTGTCAGACGTTGCGCACCGGCGACGCTGTGATGGCAATTGCGGCCGGAGTAAACGTGATTCTCAGCCACGAATTCATGTCCACCATGACCATGATGAAGTAGGTTTGCATGAAGCATTTGAATGGCATCAAATTAAACAGTATCCAGGTTCCTGTCACCGGATGGACGATGCTATACCTTTGACGAGAATGCCAACGGATATGCTCGTGGCGAAGGGATCGGGTGTTTGATCTTGAAGCCGCTCAAAGATGCCATCAGAAATAAAGACCCTATCCGGGCTGTCATCAGGGGTTCTGGGTCGAATCAAGATGGCAGAACTCCAGGCATCACTCTCCCGAGTGGAGCGTCACAGGAGGCTTTGATTCGCCATGTTTACAGCATGGCAGGTCTTCATCCACATGATACAGAATTTGTTGAAACACACGGCACAGGAACTCAAGCAGGAGATCCAATTGAGACACGAGCGCTCGCGAGTGTGTTCTGCGCTGAAAGAAAGTCAGACAGGCCACTGCGCATCGGGTCCATCAAAACAAACGTGGGGCATCTGGAGGGAACAAGCGGAGTCGCGGGCGTGATCAAGGCAGTGTTGATGCTCGAGAACCACACTTTTCTCCCCAACCGCAACTTCACTTCCCTCAACCCACGCATCCTGCTAGACGAGTGGAAGCTTAAGGCATGGTCTCTTATATTGTGTCCCCTGAGTGAATAGCATGATAATGATTTCAGGTTCAACTCGATCCGGAGCCATGGGAAAGCACAGGGCCACATCGCGTGTCGGTAAACAGCTTCGGATACGGGGGAAGCAACGCACATGTTATCCTGGAAGATACGCACGGATACCTACAATCGCACGGTTTACAAACGCTTGTTGGTAAAACTTGTACGCCTTTCCTGAGGAATGCTCTTGGGCCATCGCAAACTCCCAACGGCCGGCACAACGAATCTCCCATACGGGCGCGTCTCTTTATGCTGTCCGGTTTTGACCATCATTCCGTTGCAAAGCAGATAGAGAATATCAGAGGCTATGTCCTCGAAAGGCAATCGATAGTTGATGATCCGTTCATGAGCAGTTTGGCGTTCACGTTGAATCAACGGCGTACTGCCCTGATGTGTCGAGCAGCGGTTACTGGCGACTCAGCTGCCAGCGTGATCAAAGCTTTGGAAAGCGGTATCAAGATTAGAAACGTCACGAGAAAGCCAGCAGTTGGTTTTGTTTTCACTGGCCAAGGAGCGCAATGGTGTGGGATGGGACGGGAACTGGTGGGAGCATATCCCGTTTTCCGCCAGTCAATGGAACGAATTGATGCATACTTGATCCGATTTGGAGCTCCTTTTTCCGCCCTAGGTAAGGGCACAGTCCGAGCCATTGACTCATGGTTCATCCCGAGTAACAAAGAATCTCTGCTAATTGTGCTGCAACAGGTGAAATTCTTGAGAATCAAGACGCGTCACGGCTCAACCATCCTCTTCACAGTCAAACAATCTGCACAGCACTTCAAATTGCACTTGTCGACCTTTTAAGTGCATGGAAAATACAACCAGACTCGGTTACTGGCCATTCCAGTGGCGAGATAGCAGCAGCGTACGCCATCGGAGCGTTAAGCATGGAGGACGCTATATCCGTTGCATATTATAGGGGTGTTGCAGCGAGCAAGCTATCGCACAACAAAACAGTGAAAGGAGGGATGCTCGCTGCCGGGGTGTCGCAAGCCCAAATACAACCGTTGCTGGACACGTTGAAATCTGGGAAAGCCGTCGTGGCATGCATTAACAGTCCGTCCAGCGTTACTGTCTCGGGAGACATTAAGGCTATTGAAGAGCTTGAGAAGGTAATAAAGGAGAAACAATTCTTCTGCCGACGTCTGGCAGTTGATGTTGCATATCATTCCCACCACATGGAAATAGTTGGTGAAGAATATCTGGACCTGATATCGAATATTCGACCACGGATTGGAAGCAAATCCGGAAAGCATCCCGTCTCCTTTTTCTCTTCGGTGATAGGAGCTGAGATCAAAGCATCTGATCTTGGCCCTCAATATTGGACTAGAAATCTTCTCGGCCAGGTCAAATTCGTTGAATCCGTCAGGGCGCTTTGCTTTGAAACTAGTACTCAGAAATCGATGTTTGCGGGCTCTAATAACAGGCGCACCAGGCGACCGAACGGTACGCGCAAGGCCAACGTGGATGTCTTGCTGGAAGTTGGCCCTCACGCAGCATTAGCGGGCCCGATCCGTCAAATCCTGAAAGACGACGATAAGCTGGAGGCGGCCGGGATCCAGTATGCGAGCGTTTTGACTCGTAAAGTCGATTCTGTCACGACGGCATTGGAGGTTGCTGGGACCCTTGCCTGCCTTGGTTCTCACGTCAGCTTTTCAGCGATGAACGACCCGTTAAACGAGTCACCAGATAACCATGTCCTGATTGATCTTCCTCCTTATGCATGGAACCACAGCAGATCATACTGGGCCGAGTCGCGCATCAGCACAACATACAGAAAGCGCAAGCATCCGCGGACAGATCTCCTAGGTGCTCTCGACAGAATGTCGTGTCCGTTCGAACCTCGTTGGAGAAACTTTTTACGCGTATCCGAAATCCCATGGCTTAAAGACCATAAAATACAGTCGAACATAGTTTATCCTGCAGCGGGATACATTGCAATGGCTATAGAAGCTGCATCTCAACACTTGCCGGAGCAGGAGGCAAACAAGCACATGTCAGCGTTTATTCTCCGTGATGTTGAAATAAAAGCCGCTTTGGTCATCCAGGAGCACTCTGCAGCTGAAGTCATGACCTCACTACGAGTGAGTCAAGGGGGCACGGAACACTCCGAGCATCTTTACGAATTCAACATCTATTCTGTGACAGGTGAAAATCGATGGACCGAGAATTGTCGTGGCCTAGTTGGTGTCCATGATATGTCCCTAGACACCGAGGATGAGTCTTGTTCCCAGACGCCAGAAAAAACTTCCGACCTCAGCGTCATAGACATCTCAACGTTCTACCAAAAGCTAGCCAGCAATGGCCTCGAATATGGCCCTTGCTTTGCGAATCTGACGCACGCTAATGTTGCTGACAACTTGTGCTTTGCTGAAGTTACTATCCCTGACACAGCAGCTGTCATGCCAATGAATTTCCAGTACCCATACTTGATCCACCCCTGCACCCTTGACAGCATATTTCATTCAATGTTTGTTCAGACAAACTTGGGAGATGATCCCGCTATTCCGGTTCATATAGACCAGCTTTGTGTAGCTCGGAGTACAGACCATTCACCGGGTACTAAAATGCAAATTGAGACGAACATTGACAAGCGGACGAGAAAGGGTACTGTAGCCTCAGTTGCAGTTATGGATAGCCATGATACTATTGTTATGTTGATTGAAGGATTGCGATGCAAGAACCTCGAGAACAGCGCCCCCAAGAATACAGTCAAACTGACCGATCGCCTTGGGTATATGCTTACTTGGAAAACAGATCCCGACCTACTTTCAAGACAAGACTTGAGTTCTATTCTTAATGAGAACAATCACGATGGCGAAGAATCGGCAAAGAGAGTTTTGTTGGAAAGTTGTGCGTCCTACTACATTCGGAATGCCATCCAAGGTCTTGAATCCGTGGACAAGGTAGAATTGCATCCGGACAGAAGGCAACAGCTTGAATACTTTGTTGATTTGATGCAAGAAAGTCGCTTGGTCCCGTCGCCAGACATGAATAGCGCCGATGTCCATGCAGTAAGTGCTTCCGGACCGGAAGGAAGAATCCTTGCTGCAATGGGCGAGCAACTCAGTACAGTCTTGAAAGATCCATCCTCGACCATTGATATGGATCCGGTATGGGAGCACTACTGGGACGCTATCCGCTCAACCCCGGTGTACGGGAAGCTGGCTAGCTATCTCGAGCTAGTCGGCTATAAAAACCCAATGATCTCGATACTTGAGGTCGAGGGTACATTTGGACAATCTTCACAAGGTCATCTTGAACGGCTCTTGAACAATAACGGGCAGGGTCCCATATGCAGTGAATACACAATCACTCATCAAGTCGCATCAATCCCTGAGCACTTCGCCCCATTGCTTTCCAAGTGGAACCAAAGGCTGAAAGCGAAGAAATTGGATCTGAATCAGAGTCCAGAGACACAAGACTTTCCCAAATCTCAATACGACGTCATCATTGTGCCACTGGGGCTTTGTACGGTCCCAACGAAGTTGCAAGCTCTCAGGAACATACACAAGCTGCTGAAGGAGAGAGGACATTTAATTATCGTGGACCCCATCGCTGGACATAATGATCTAGTCAACTCTGTTATCTTTGCGAATTCTCCAGGATGCTGGTCTGAAGGTCGCTTTGGTTTTACCTTCGGAGAATGGAATGTCGCGCTCTCAGCGGCTGGATTTTCCGAAGCAGAAGATTCAAGCACTTCACGAGAAGGGCCCTTCATGATCATCACTCGTCCATCGCAGGAGCATTCAATTCCCAAACGAAGTATTCTAATCATATCCGAAGATGATAATGGCATAGACATGTCCGCTCTGCAAGACTGCCTCAGCCCCGTGTCGTCTGATATCGAAATCGCAGATTTCACACATGCCAAGCCAGAAGGAAGAGTTTGCATTGTTCTCAGTGGCCTTAGGCGGCCACTGATGGCAGACCCTACTCCAGAGGAACTGGAAGTATTGAAGCGAATCTTCTTGAAGGCATCGGGCGTCTTGTGGGTGACCAGAGGAGCGGCAATTTCCCCCCTGACGCCGGACGGTGCTCTGGCAATTGGGTTTGTACGAAGTTCGCGCTCTGAATCCGGAATTGAAAGAATCGTCACGTTGGACCTGGACGGGCAGAACCCGCTCTCAAGTTATTGCGCTGTCGAGGTTATATGTACAGTGGTGCGCGAGCGAATTCTGGCCGAGGGAGACGGTCAAAGCGACACAGAGTATGCTGAGCGAAACGGCGTGCTTCTCATTCCCCGAGTTGTCGAAAACAAGGCCTTCAACAGTTCTCTTGCGTTATCGCGTGAGACACAGACAACGAGCCTTGAAAAGTTCCGCCAGGATGGTAGACTCCTCAAAGCGACATTTCCTGGTGCCTCTCAGGCAGATGAGGTGCTCTTCGTGAACGATTCCAGGATGAATGACTTACCCGCGGACCATATCCGAGTTCAAACCTATGCAGTATGCATAGATAAACAAGCCGTAAATGCTCTGGAAGAGCAGGACATGTCGCAAGAACCAGCGATGAGCTTCGGAGCCAGCGGGATTGTTCACAGTGTCGGAGAAGCTGTCCATGGTTTCGCCCCGGGTGAACGAGTGGCTTGCCTTGCGCAAGGAGCAGTAGCCAATTACCAGCAAGAAAAGGTGTTCGCATTCCAAAAGTTACCGTCGGATTTATCTTTTGAAGCAGCAGCGGCCTTGCCTGTGGCTTATTGCACAGCATTATATGCTCTTCAGAACCTTGGGCGGGTTGTCTCCGCTGACAGGGTTCTAGTATACGGAGCCACAGGAACAGTTGGCCAAGCTCTAGCAGAACTATGCCTTCATACTGGAGTAGATGTGCTCTTTGTCGTGCGAGCTGAGAAAGAAAAGCATTCTCTTAGCTGTACAGTTGCTGTGCCTGATGACCGGATTATCGTCGATGAGAACGGAGCTCATGTCAGAAAGCTTCTGAGGATGAAGCAGCATCGGCTTTTTGATATGGTAATCAATTTCGAATGTTCGGACAACGAGATGCTACAGACGCTATGCAGGCTGGTCGGTACAGGCGGCAAATTCATACACCTTTACCACGAAAATCGCTGGAGTCAGCGCAAATGGGCAATTCCACAGCTGGATAATGACATCTCCTTCGCAACACTGGACATCAATAAGGTCTTGAGAGACAAGCCAACGTTGCTGTATAGAACATGGGGCGATGTAAAGCGCATGTTCCGAGCAGGACACATCCGTGGCTCCAATGCCTTGACAAATTATAGTATTTCAGACATGCTGGGCGCATTGAACGCATTGGAATCGGAAGATATGGATTCCGTAGTACTCTCGGCTCAACCAGAGGACGTTGTGAAGGTAACATCGGAGAAAGAATCTCCGGATCCTTGCTAACAAAACGCAGGTCATCACTCCGAAGCCACAAGCTGCCCTACTCCATCCAGATGCATCTTATATACTCGTTGGCGGTTTAGGAGGCATTGGACGAGCCACGGCTCTCTGGATGGCCGATAACGGGGCTCGAACGTTGATCTTCGTCAATAGAAGCGGACTGTCGAACGAGGCAGCGCAGGAAACAGCACGAGACCTGAAGAAAAAGGGAGTCCGCGTGGTTGTACACGCCTGCGATATATCTGATAGACCACAAGTCGAGAAGATGGTGAGCGATCTTGCGCGGGATGCGCCTCCAATTCGAGGAGTCATTCAGGCTGCCATGGTCCTCCGGGTACGTCTAATCAATCAACGTAGACCATACCCTCCGGAAGCTGACGCGGTGACAGGATATCCATATCGAAAAATTGACCATCCAGGATTACCTGTCCGTGCTGCACCCGAAATACGCAGGAACCTGGAATCTGCACCGCTATCTCCCAGACAACCTCGACTTCTTCGTCATGCTCTCTTCCATTAGCGGAATCATCGGAAACGCCACCCAGGCCGCCTACGCCGCCGGCTCAACCTTCCTGGACGCATTCGCGGCATACCGCAACTCCCTCGGTCTTCCAGCCGTCTCACTAGACCTCGGCGTGATAACCGACGTAGGGTACCTGGCCGGTAACCGCGATCTAGCGGCCAAGATGGCCCAGCAAGGTTTCCACGGCACAGACACAGCGACGCTGATGTCTCTGATTGCTGCCTCAATCAGAGCGCCGTTCGGTGAAGGCGGGACCTCACAGATCATTACGGGATTGGGCGAGTGGAAAGAAGGGCAGTCGCTCAGCAACTTTGACGCTCCCCTCTTTGCACACTTCCGCCGACAGTTTCAGCAGAAGCGGGGAGAAGACCAGTCTGATGAGTTTATTGGCAAGTTACGCGAGAAGCTCCGAGACAACAAAAACCTCGAAGAGGCTTCCGGGGTTATCTACGGTGCCCTGAGCGGGAAGATTGCGGCGCATCTGTCTGTTCCGATCGAGAGCATCGATGCCTCGCGTCCCATTACGGAGTACGGGATCGACTCGCACATGGCGGTGGAGTTGCGAAACTGGATCTCGAAGACGATGGAGAGTACGGTGCCGATTTTGGATATTCTGGCTAGTAGTACATTGTTGGATCTGGCGGGCAAGATTGCATCCAAGTCTAGATTGGTTCATGTGGAAGAATAGGGATAGTTGGGATTTCCTTTCTAAGCAACAAAATTACTAAATCTAAGCAAGTCTATTATTGTGGATCTTGGTATAAAACAAGAGATCTCAGGAACCGGTAGCACAAGATACGAGTAAAAAGTGAGATAGAGAGGGAAGTAGGCGCTTGACTGACGACACCGAGACCGTCAAGTCCAAAGCTCAGATTCCTGGTTCTCTCCGAGAGAAACAATAGTGAGGCAACCCAAAGAACAATCACTCCGCCTTCTTGGAAGCCTTGGTCCGCAGCTTCATCAGTGCGTACACCAGGGCGTACGAACTGAGCACGAAAATGCAAACAATGGCAGAATCCCGCCAGCCGTAGTAGTAATCCTTCAAGTTGATATTGTACAGGTAGTCGCTTCCATACCGATACTGGCAAACGCGACAGCCAGACGTCGCCTCGGGATTGACGAGATTCGCACGGGAACCGAAGCCCTGCAAATACGTCGACAGGTAGTCCGCACAAGTCGTGCCATTCGGCGTGTCGAAGACGGCGAACTCGCCGTCCTTGCATTTGACGTCTGTGTCGAACACGGCGAAGACCAGCATGCTGCCCATGAGGTAGTTGAAGGGGTTGAGCCAGTAGATCCAGTACCGCCAGAAAGCCTGAATTTGGGCGTATGGGACGAGCACACCGCAGAAGGAGACCAGGGTACCGAGGATGAGGGGGTTAGTTAGGGCGGCGAAGGTCGCGTTGGGTGCGTAGGCGGCGATAAATTGTCCGATTCCCTGGTAGCATGTTAGATAGTGAACCAAGATGACTGCAGGAGGAGGATAAACAAACCGTGTAGAGGAATTCGTAGCAGAGCATGACGAAGAACATCGCGCCGGCCTTGTTGGAGTCTGTGGGGAATCCGACGGTGTAGTACCAGCAGACAAAGTACAGAACAGCGCATATGCAGAGGTAAGGGAATTCAGAGACGATCAGGGCAGTGACGAAAGCTTTCCACGAGTACATCTTGGACTTCTTCTCTCTTGCATCGTAGATGTCGCGGCGTTCAATGAATAGAGGCTGAAGCTGGTTGATGACACCGGGGGCGACGAAGATGAAGTTGAAAATGGTGAAGAGTTTAAGTTGCATATCCGCGACACCGTCACCGATCATCCAGAAGGAGAAGCCGTTAAATAAGGCTGATCCGATGTGCAGTGCGATCTTGTTCATGATGTAGTCGCAATTTCTGTACAGCGAGGTTGACATTCTCTGTGTGACGATCTTTGTTTGTTGCCAAAGCGGCATGGCAAATTCATAGCCATCGTCGACAGTACCGGGAGGCTTGGAGGCTGCTTCGCTGATAATACTGTCTAGTTCCCGAGCCGCACTGGTGTGCTCTGGGGACTCGAGCCACACCTGGTTCCAATCGCGTCCCTGGGACAAATGACCGGAGACGACGTCGATCATATGCTCAGCAGGATTAACATTGGCAGGGCATGGAACACCATATCGAGCGAAATAGTCCTTGACTGTTTGAGCGTTGTCGCCGATGTCACCAAAGTAGACCATCTTGCCGCCTTTGGCCAAAAGCAACAGGGTATCGAATTCAGCGAACAACTGAGCCGAGGGTTGATGAATGGTCACAAGAACCGCCTGGCCGACATCGGCGAGCTTCCGTAAGAAGCGGACGGTGTTGTATGCAGATTGGCCGTCGAGACCAGAGGTAGGTTCATCCAGGAAGATCAGAATGCTAGGCTTCGAGACAAGCTCTACACCAATAGTGACTCGCTTGCGCTGCTCGACGCTCAATCCTGCGCCCACTCGACCAATAAGAGTATGCTCAAGATCGTGCAATTCAAGGAGATCGATGATGACGTCCACATATTTCAGCTTCTCCTCTCTTGGAATATGGCGTGGTTGACGAAGCAAGGCGGAGAACTCCAGAGCCTCCCGAACAGTAGCGAATGGTTCGTGCACATCGAGTTGCTCACAGTAACCGGCGGATCTTTGGAAAGAAACAGGCAACGGACGCCCGTCAACCATGATCGACCCTCGAATGGTACCGTCGGTTTTACGCTGAGCCAAGACATCCAAAAGAGTGGTTTTGCCGGCGCCAGAGGATCCCATCAAAGCGCCCAGCATGCCGGGCTTGACCCAACCGTAAACGTTGTCCAGCAAAACACGATCACCCGACGGGGTCTTGACCGTATAAGTAAGATCCTTCCATGTAAAGACCGAAGTGTTCCGAACCAGATGCTGATCGACTCCGCCCTGGTCTTCAGTGTCGGCGCTGGTGCCTTTGCCAGCAGCCTTCTCATCGACCTGTGCTTCTTCGTCCTTGCGAGTCACAGCGTGGTGTTTCGCCACCGTTTCACGGGGGATCAGTAGCGTGTTGCCAGCCTCAGCGGCAGACTTCCAGCGTGATGTGGCGAAGATGGTCGCAGCGACGAAAAGTGCCCACCAGGCCCAGAGAATACCAAAGTTCCTCCAGACATGCGAGTAGGAGTATGTTAGGGAAGACAAGTATTGGTCGCCAGTCACATAGTTCATTCCCTGAACTGCACCACTTACACCGGCGCAAGACTGGAACGCAGAATCCTCATAGCCAGGTCCGAACGGTACCAGGTTATTGCCGACGCAGGGAATGATCTTGTCGTGGAACTCGATGGAGAGCAACGCATCAAAGGCATATGCCATCGGATTAATCCAATATATCCAGATGAACCATGGATGCATCGCATGGTAGGGTTCCAAATAGCCGCAGTACATAATTAAAGCGCTGATCAAGAAACCAGACACTTTCGACGCTCCGTCAAAGGTAGAGAAAAGCGCTCCGATGGCACGGAACAATGCGGTCATGACCTATACAGCGTCTATCAGCACATGGTGTATCTCATATGAACTCGATGTTAGATGAAAGCAATCAAGCGCGACTTACCATAGTAGCCACAAAGATGATAACCCAGTAAGAGAAAAAAGCTGCAGCTGAGGTGGTAAGGCCAACCATGAAGTAGACGACGATCGCAAATATACTGATCTGGAACAGAAGAACCGGGATATCGGCAGCAATCTGGGCAATACAGAACGCGGCTGGATGAAAGAAAGCGAAATACTTGTGCTTAATCAGGACTGGTCGACCGCTGAAGGAATCCGTAACCTCCGACATGGCGAGGAGGCTGTTGTATAGCAACGAGAAGAACAGAGCACCTGACTTGATGAACAAGCCACCAGAGTTGTCTGGGGCATTATAAAAGAGAGAACCGGCGACGAGTGCTTGAATCAGAGTAGAAATTTGCTTGATGGCAAACGTTGCCTTATCAGTCCAAATGATCTGGTACTGACGGACAATGCATGCTTTGACCTGTTGCACAAAGTCGACTGTGAAGGGGCTGTTCTTCGACAGCCGCTTAGCTTTCTCATCAGCAACTCCAAGCTTGAATTCTTCCGTCCTCTCCCGGGTCGAGTCAGTATCAGGGTAGTCATATTCAAGTGCCATCTGGGCTCGGATCGGCGACTTCTCATAAGCGGCCAGAAGCTCATCCGCATTGCGTGGGAAGCGATTCTCATATCCAGGGCGGATTTTGCGCTCGGTCGGCACGGTAACACCGGTCAGGAAGTCTGCCACGTTCGATCCTTCACGGCAAACAAAGCCTAGCTCCTCCATGAAAGGCCGTGCCTGGGACATTGGACCATAGTAGATTTGCTTGCCTTCATCAAGAACCAGAACTTTATCGAAAAGATCATAGATGCCATTTCCTGCTTGATAAAGGGTCACAATTGATGACAATCCAAACACGTCAGTCATCGCACGGACAGCTTTCGCCCACCCAAGAGCAGTACTAGCGTCCAGTCCCCGAGTACTGTTATCCCAGCAGAAGACGGAGCCACGAGTGGCAAGGCATTCGATGATAGACACACGTTTCCGCTCACCACCACTGACGCCTCTCACGTACTCATTGCCAACTTTTGTATCCGAAGTATGAGAGATGCCCATGGAGTTGAGCAAAAATTCCCTGGTTTCCTGCTGAAAAGCTTCCTGTGAAGTGACGCCCTCGGGAAGGTTGAAGGGAACTTTTAATCGGGTTGCAAAATCCATGGTCTGTCCAACAGTCAAGGTAGGAAAGAACAGTTCCTCCTCGGTGTTCATAACAATTTGACCGCGGTATTTGGAGGCCTCCTCGGGAGTAAGCGATCCGAAGCGAACATCTCCCTGAATCGACTTGTAGCCGAGTCGGTGGTTGGAAAGCATCCTGAGCAGAGTTGTACAGCCGGAGCCAGGACGACCGAGAACAAGAAGCATCTCTCCCGGTTTGACGCAGCCATGGCTTTCGTGAAGAATGGTCCGCAAAGGGGCCTTGTTACGAGACTCCCGAATGTGCTGAGGAATGTTGAATTGGGACAAAACGTTCTCATTGATGGCGGCATCTGCGCCGACGACTTCCACACTCAGATTCTTCCAGGTCACGCCAAGTTCGCGACGTCTGAGGCCCGACGCTAGATTCCGGTCACGTTGTTTCTTGATATCCGGCATCAAACTCCAGTCCTCGGCGTGAGAGGTGTCTTGAGGACGAGGAGTAGGCGACTGATCGGTTTCATCAAGAACGGTGTTCGTGCTGTCTGTGTCATCTCGCCTGTCAAATAGCACTGTCGGCTCAATAAACGGTGGGTGGCCGTGGTCCTCCATGGCTGAGCAGGCACCAAGTTCAGCGGCCAGAAGGGCAAAAATACTCCAACTCGAGCTTGGAGAGAGGTCGAGAGAAGCGCAGGAGCCATTGAAGGTATATATTAGCTTGCCATTTTGCAGAATGATTCTGCCTGGTGGGTCAGCGGTCGAAACAGACCCGGGCCCCGTCTCACAGCTTCATAAAAAAATTACAAGACTCAAGGCTGTGTTCGCCAATCATCATGGTTGCTGCCATTGTGATCGATAATCAATGGTAAGCTTGTTGTTACAGGAGGGGCCTTCTCCCCTGGGTGGCCCCGTCGCCATAATGCCGAATCCGAGCCGAAATTCCGAATAAGATCTCAATGGATGAAAAATCAAGGATGATCCTGATAATATTGACCGATTCTGCAAAGGCAGGGGTGCAAGACGAACGTGTCGTTGTCTTTTGTCTTCCCCGATCTGCCATTTTGATTCGTTCACACAGCAGGAGTGGCTTTGAGTGGGTTGGCGTCGGCGTCGGGCGCCCCTTAGTCCGACTTATTTTTGAGCCTTCCGCTGAGTCAACCCGACAGAACCAATCAGTGGGCTTCTGCGCTTCGGCCAAGAACAAGCCGGAATCAGAAGAGCGTCTTCCTTCCGCTGACGCAGCGGCTGCGGACCAATCTGTCATCATTTTTTACTCGGCATCTCGATGGTTCGTTTCAATTGACTCACCTTTCTAGAACACGTTTGTTCTGGACCTTTGATACACTGATTGCATATGAGTAATACCGCTGGAGAATTGTCCAATCCAGCCTGGACCAAGTTCTTGATTACCGATCATCGACGGTCTTACCTCGATAGCCGCAGCTTTGCCCATGGGGCGGAGATCTCGGAAGTTGTCGACATGGAGATAAGGACTACCAACGGATATTGAGTTCGACTCCTTGAGATGTGGTGACGTCTGTGGATCTAGTCACTAGCAATTTGCATCTGGATACGCATGGCACGCTAGGAAGCCTCGGTTTTCTTCTCTGCAATTTCCTTCGTTATGTCTTCCTCTGCGTAGTGAGAGATTTCTTACGCCATATCCAGCACTTTACGACGCTGGCCTCGACGCACGTATCCCACAGGCTAGGATCTTTCTCTTTCCGTGTGCTCCCCTCCGCGTCATGCCCCCCTGGAAGAGTTCACATGTCGCAGACCCGGACCTGGGCTAACACTTATACGAGCTCAGCCTTCTTGTGCATGCAGTCCATGCAAGATGTGTCAGCTTAGGACAAGGATGAAGTAGCTCTTGCTGACAGGATCGCCTGCACCTACCTGTGGCGCATTTCCTTGAGTTGGCAAGACCGTCGCGGCCTTGTTGACAACCTAACTGTTTTCGCTATTGCATGAAATGCCAATATGGCCATATCTACGTAAAGCGCAGAGTGATGATTCAGGGCCACTAACCATCCCAGAGGCTGCGGTTATTAAGAGAAGACTTTAGAGAGCAAATAATGTTATTTTGCTCATAGATGATAATGTGTTTTAATATGCTCATCCATTGTCGTTGAGGTACAGTTTCTGGCAGCTTCGTGTAACCTCGCCTGCAATATACGGCTAAGTGTTGAGATACTTTTCCAAGCAATCCAAATGGCGTCTCTCCGATCCACCTCTGACTCCCTCTGTCAGTTCTGTCACTATAAGTCAAGCCCTTATAATCTACTTTAGATTGGCTTGCTGGAATACGTGCTTACATTCTATATTTCGTACATCACTGTGCCGTAAGGTGCTGATAAATTGAGAGCTATAAACACTTAATTAGGATATTTTGCCCTCAGTCTATAGAATCTAAGATATGCGAAGTTTACAAAGCTAGAGTTTTAACATGCTTTAGACTGGATATGAGTTGCAGGAGAACTCCGAATTGGGTTTCAAACAAGGGAATAATGTATCTTTATATAATGGTTTTAACAAAAAAGTACCTTCGTACGTAACTCCTTGTTCTTATCATTGTTACACTGACCCTGAGCCCCAGTTGTACCCCACTCCTCAGCTTTTCTGTGTTTGCTGTATTATCGCACGCAAGAATCAGTATGAGAGAGTAAGGTTCAAATGAGGATAAAGGGAAACAGAACATGATGTCCCGTCGTGTAGTACGACAACCAGCTGTTTCTACGGCTATGGGACGGATGCAGAACGAGTTCTGTATATCGACGTCACATCTTACTCCCCACCTCGTTCTCCAAGAATGATCTCCTTAATTAGAGACTTCTCCCCACTGTTGCTCACTAGATTGCAGAACACGCCGTCCTGGATGTGCAGTAATTCGCGCGGAGTTCCAAACTCCACGGCTCTGCCCGCGTCCAAAACAAGGATCTTGTCAAAATCCGCAACCGTACTGAGCCGGTGCGCGATAACGAGTAACGAGGAGCCGTGGCGGCAGAATTCCTCGCGGATGGAGCGCTGAATCAACGCATCTGTCTGCGCGTCAATGGCCGAGGTCGCCTCGTCCAGGATCAGGATTTTCGGGCGTGAAGCAATCGCCCGCGCCAGACATAGAAGTTGACGCTGGCCTTGGGACAGATTTGAACCCCCTTCCGCAATGGGGAAGGAAAGGGAGGCAAAGCACAAGTTGTCGTTGTGACTAGGCGAGGTTCCGTCCTCGGGGGGGATGAGATGGACACATTCTAGGGCACGATAAAGCTCCCAATCAGAGTATTCGCCCCGCAGGTCGAGATTGGACCGGACGGTCCCGGAGAAAAAGATAGGATTCTGCGGAATCATGGCGATACGGCTGCGTAGGGCACAAAGTTTGATCGTGGAAATATCGATTCCGTCAATGAAGACGCTACCTCGAGGCGTTTCCAGAAAGCGGAAGAGGGCCATGGTCAGCGAGGATTTCCCCGCCCCTGTGCGGCCGACTATTCCAACCCGCTCGCCTGGTCTCACAGTGAAGCTCACGCGGTTCAAAACGGGAGGAAGGTTCGGAGCATAACTGACCGACAGATTGGCCACCTCGATATGGCCACGGGCGGGCCACGCGGCCGGGGGGTCTTCGCCGCCCTGATCTTCAGTCTCGTTCGCCGTGTACTCGAGCACCCGTTCCGCGGCGTTCATATCCATTTCCAGGTTGGCGTAGGACCGAAGGCACATGGAGACGGCGGAATTGTACTGCAGCGCGAAACTCATGGCGAAGCCGGCGAGTGCGGCAGAAACGTTGGCAGAATAATGCACCACCAATGCTGCCGTCGCCGTGGTGAAGAATGCGCCCACCATGCTCACTCGGAATCCCAGCCAGTGATTGAAAAGCCAAAGGTGCCAGGACGCCTGCGCATGCCGGTCAATCTTGGAGTACATTTGGTGGAGATACAACTCCTCCCTGCCGAAGGCACGGATGGTGGATAGTCCCACAAGGCTGGAAGAAAAATGTTCTAGGACGGGACTTTTCGCAACACTCTCGAGTCGCTTCAATTCCCTCGCGCCAGTAATGTATACCTGGGCAATGCGAAGGCAGACAAGGAACAGGGCAGCCGCGAAAGCCAGCAAAGTCGGTGACACCAGCCCTCCAGCCACAATGATACCGGCCAGTTCCATGTCTTTGTACATAAAGTTGCCGAGATCATAGCCCAGCCTCCAGTCTAGGAGTTGAATATCTGAGGTGAATCTGTTGAGAAGGGTACCTACTGGTACAGTGTCGAGCCATCGCATCGGGGCAGCCAGGATACTCATGAGGAGATCTTGGAACATATGTCGGGAAGTATAGAGGGAGCTATAGGATAAGGCCAGGTACTTCAAGACACCCACTGCACAGGCGGTAATAGAGATGCCAACGTAGACACTCAAGAAGAAGATGGTGTCGTTACTGATGGAAGACTGGCCAATGCGCATTATCGCCGGGAGCCATCGAGAAGAAGGTTCGGACTCGTTTGACGAATCGGACGAACCGGTCCACAGCTTGAGCCACCATGACTAGACAGGTTTCATTATTAGCCGATATGTCCTGTGCTGCATCCGAGTGTGGGAAAGCTCTCTGAACTAACTCGACCAACCAGAAGACCCATGAAGGTTGCATATGCTACAAAGGTCAATGCCCAAAGCGGCAGTCCGCCCCCCTTGACTAGATACGCCTTGTAGACCGCCCAAGAGACTGAGCCGGTCTGGCGGTTCTCCTCTTGAGCGAATTTCGTGGGAACATGGGTGCTGAGAGGGGGGGTTATTGGACGTGCATGATCTGCTTCATCCTGCAGGCCGACTGTAAATGCCCGTTTGTTCTTCAGATGTTCTGTCATCCCGGCATGCACCATGCCCCCGTCTTCCAACAGGACGCAGTAATCTGTCTGCGGCAGGCATAAGCCTAGATGATGCGTGACGAGAATCCTGGTCCGTCCCCGGCCCAATTCGCTAATCAACGCATGGGTGTAGATGTGTCGAGCCGTCCCCGGGTCCAGGGCGCTGAAGATATCATCCATGACCAGGATTCCAGCTCTGGAGTACAAGGCCCGAGCGAAGGCGATTCGCCAACGCTGACCACCGCTGAGGTTGACCCCATTTCTCCCAATGTCCGTCCTATCTCCGTCTGGCATGGTTTCCAAGTCCTTTTCCAGCCCGGTCGCGAACAGGACCTGATGGTAGCGAGGCTGTTGGTACGGAAGGTCAAAGACGATGTTTTCCTTAATACTTCCGTTCTCGATCCACGGATTCTGTCCTACGTACGCGACCGAAGTCTCCATGACCCACGCTCCTGGGATCGCTCTGTCGTCGAGCTGTGCTTCCATAGAAGGTGGAGTGGGCACTGCAACAGTGCCGCGCAGGATATCACATTCACCCAGGATCGAGGCGAGCAGCAGGGTTTTTCCTGACCCAGACTTGCCCGTTATCACGCTCAGTCCTCCGCGAGGGAACTGTAAATTCAATGGACCAAGCTTGAATCGATCCTCGTTAGCTGAGTCCGGTTCTGCTGTCCAGGCGATTGTAGCGTCTTCAAAGGAAATCTTATCCGCCTGACTGCTTGTGTGGACGGGTTTATCCGCCGTGACAAGGTAGTTTTCTATCCGATTAGCGCTGACCCTGGCATCCATCCCTCTTGAGAGCATATCGGGCAGACCGCTCAGGGTGTTTTCCAGGCTCCCAAAGACGGACAGTGCAGTAAAGGCCACCGAGGCAGGAAGCTCTCCGTTTTGCAGGGCATACACCGTCAAGCACGTCGCGGAAAACAGGATCGGTCCGAAGATCCAGACAGATTCCATAATGATAATATGAACCAAAGCCTTCCAGAGCGACCTGAGCTGCGCATGCCGCCGTTCAGCGATCCGATTGTGCCACAGTGGCTCTAGTGCGTCAGATTTCACTTGACGAATCCCTCGAAGCATCTCGCTCACGATCGTGATATACTTGTCGCTGGTTTCCATGTACTCCTCCTGCGACGCGGCGTAGCGTTTCGTGAAATACCAACTCGCTGGGACAAATACGAAGGCTACAAGCACGCCGGCCAGCATGCTTTGCCATCCGACCAGGTGAAGTAGGAGGCCGCCGGCGATGAGGAGCCTCATCAAAGACGAGGGGAGGAGGTTGACGACGGTCGCGAAATCAGAGATGCGTTTGATATCCACGGCGGCCATGTTGATAATACTCTGCTGACTTTGATCTTCTTCGTCGCTCTCACCCACCTGGGTGGGTTGTTTTTGGGAGTTTCTGGTATGGCTAAATGTCCTGCAGCGCAGTGATTTGGCGAAGACCAGCGCAGACAGGCCCGCGTAGGTAGGAATCCACAGCCGCGAATACATCGTCCACGATACCCACGAGTTCAAGCCCAGCAACAGGGGTGATACGAGTCCCAGTGCCATAACGCAAGACCATGCTCGCGTGCCATCCCGCTGAGAAGCATCCTCCATTGACTTGAGCATGCCGTACATGGCCACTTGTCGGCTTAATTCCAGAAGAGACGTCAACACGCTAAGAAGCAGCTGCAACACTAACAGGTGTAATTTGCAGCGGATAAGAATGACCCACAGCCGCTGCGATGTGCTGGTCATCATCGTCTGCAAGCGTTCGTGGAGGGGTTTGGCGCGTGCAAGGTAGGGCTGTTTTGGGAGGCCGTCGATGTCAAGGCCTCGGTTCTTCCCAACGTACTGAAGAACTGGCGTGGCCCAGGAGAATGAGATGCGGCTGTACAAGCTGACCGTGCGTTCTCTGTCGACGGCGAGACCCTCGTGATAGACATTTGGGCGACGAGGTATATGAATAGAAGACAAGCCGCGGGCAAAGGCTGACGCGACGATGACGACAAGTAGGCGGACTGGCACCAGATCAACTACAGTAGAGTAACTTGAATTGCGCAGTAGACCTATCTGAATGCTGGGCACTGCGATGGCGACGCTGCTGGTGGCGAGGACATGGAGACCAAGTCGGTAGCACTCAACTGGGGAAGCCGGCACAAAAAGAGTTGCAGATTCTATACTCATAAGAATCTGTGCTTGTTCAGTATATGACTCGATGTCTTGCCTTTGTAGGTATGGTACTCACCCAAGTACCGGACTGTAGCCACGAGGGGAGAAGGAGAGGACTGTGTCTGGACCGGGTGGTCACAATCAACAATGCCAGCGCAGACGCCAGCCCGATCGCTGAAAAGAGGGAAATGGCCATTCTCTGTCCTAGACTCGAATACGTTTTCTGGGAACCCTCTGCTGCCTCACCATCTTCGTCTTGAAACCACTTCTTTCCGGGAATTTCATCGTCGAGTCGAATACGTTGAACGGGGTCTCGGCAGAGGATTCTCAACACTGCAGGCGAGGAATACAATCCGACCGCAAAGAGCCCCAGAGCGCTCGACGCCACGGACCAGGTATCTACGTCGGGTGCCATTTCTCATGGGTTAATAAATGAATACGCATCGGCAAGATAGGTAGGCGAGGCCACTGACGAGCGAACGCCGTATCGGACAGCTGGGCTCCTTATAGCCCTGCGCTACAAAAAGCTGCTACAATCCGATTGGCTTTCCTGCATTCTCTGTGTTATTATTCTCCTCGCTGTCATGAGGAGCTATTCATTATATTTTAACTCGCGTTTGGGATTGTTTGGTCTGATCGCGTTATCGCGTCTCAGGAATGCCACAAGTTGGGGGGAGATTGAAAACAGGCTGATAAGGGCCAGATGGGTTTTACAATTGACGCTCTGTTTAATATAGTACAAAGATAGAGACAGAGACAGAGAAAGAGCAAGTGTGCTTACTAAAAATTAGCTATTGCCTTCCAATCTATTGGTGGATCTCTTATCTATACTCGTCGAGGTGTGCCAGAATCACGAGTCTCATTACCATGCTGGCCAACATTGCGCGTAAGAGGGCCAGAATTAGACAACATATTAGAGAATTTGATAATTTTTCCTCGCAATGTGTTATTTTCATGGTTCGCAACGGGTCTTTATTACCCGGACAAGTCCCTCTGGCAATAGATCACATACAGAGAACAAGGAATGCCGTCTCGCATCTGCACCTATGGACAAATATCCTTGGGACCAGCATTCTCGCAGGGCGGTCTAGGAAGAGTCAAATCCTCGGATGTCTTCATGACCTTCTCCGTGAGGAGATGTCGCTGGGTATAATCATTCAAGGGCTGGAATTTGCGGCATTTATGCCAGCTGTTAAAATCAGGATATGGATCAGGAAAGCCTGCCACCCAGCTGCTGGTGACGATGCCAACATCTCCTTGGCACTGCACTACCTGCCGGAGCATGTCGATGCAATGGTCTAGGGTGCGTTAAACATGAAAGGGTCGAATTATCAGGGCGTGCAAAGGGCAGGATTTCGACTTACCAATGTGCAGACGAAGAGTATGGTTGGAATCCGTAAATGAAGGTGGTCGATTCTCGGGACGGTAATAATAGTCAAGGTACGTATATTGCCGGATCAGATTCACGCAGTGTAACTGCAGAATTAGCCTATCACCTCGTTCGCACCTCAAGTTTGGGAGGACAGGCCGTTGCAACGCACCTGATGGAATACTTCCAAGCCACCAGTATACCACTCTTCATCGGCGGTGCGCAACTTGGCTTGGGTCAGGGGCTTTTTCAAGTGCCTCAGATCGCCCGAATGGACTTTGATTTGGCCCACTAGAGATCTGTTAGACCAACTAAGTTCATTGATGAAGTCATGAGGTATCCAGGGAACCCACTGTTTACGATCTCATCCCATGCAGCGTCTAGTTCTGGGCTCGGTTCACCTTTGTAGGGGTTCTTATCGAGCAGCGCTCCTTGGAAGCGGACCATCTCATACTCCACAGCCTCCAAGGCCGGTGCTAGGAGGGAAACGGTTAAAGCTCAACGCTGGAAGATGGGATTGTGCCCCACAAGTTTTCACAGAGGAAGGCCGCGGGGACTTACAGTAGGCAGACAGTTGAGCCGCACACTGCTGTTCTGTCGGGTACCTCTGCTGCTGAAGTCCCACAATGAAGAAGGAGAGCGATAATAGCAAGAATATAATTTGGGCTGCCCAAATGTAGTAGGACCTCCTTAGTTCCCACCATCCATGTCGCCATCGGAGCACTTGCTTTCTCTCCAGGAGATTCTCCGAGTCTTCACACGCAGTCGAAGACGAGCTGGCGAGGCTCGAACGTGGTTTGATCACCTTGTAGATGACGTTTCTGGCATCCATGGCGTCCTGCGATAGATTCGAAGGCAAAACACAGCAGGACGAAAAATGAGCATGAAAGGACATATTATAATATGTCATCTCGACAGATAAGTTCTGAAATGGATCCAGAGGGGAAATGCGCTCAGAGTGAACTGACCTTGCGTCCTAAATTCTCAGCGCTGCGGGTAGATAAGTGCCTTGCTTTCTTTTGTAGCAGGCATCATTGCCGGAACAGCAGGTTGATTGCATCAGAAGACCTAGGACAAGTGGGGAATAATACATTATCATGTATGGCGACAGAAGCAGTGAAATCTCGACATGTTGAGTGACCACTCTCCAGGTGCAGGCCCTATCAGGGCAATGGAAGTTGAACCCTGACATTGACATGGTTACACCGACTGTACCTGCCTCGAACTGATCTGCATCCCACAGGAGATAAGGCAAGGTCCAGGCTTGCATAACATCCTTCTTGGGTATCGTGTGCCACATGGAAATAAATAGAACGGGTTGAAGTGTCTCACCGGAACGGACGGAATCAGTCGGCTGTTGTTAAAGTTCCTCTCTCTTTTGCGCAGGTTCTGTTTCGGGGGACAGTCATCCTACAGGCTGGATTTGCTTTCCCTTGGGGGATCCATTCCTATCCAGGTCAACCTACATTTACTGCTCTTACAATATTAGTCGGTGAGGATGCGGTCCCTCATTGACGTCACATTGTGCAACTCAGGATCTTGGAGAATTGCCTGGCATTCAGTCCATACCCTGTACATAGGAGATTAGAAGAATGAGTGGTGTGAATGTTGAATCAAATTCAGCATCTACCTGATGGCCCTCATAAATCCATTCCATGCTTTCTCATCCCTCACCGAACCCCGCTGTTGCTGCTCATGAAACCTTGAAATACGGCCCTCCTCGACTGCATTGCATAACCACCTTAGATCCAGCCCCCAATAGCGGTCAGCTCATCAGGCACACCAAGGGAGGGTCTAGTGTACTTTTGCAGCGGTGAGTAGACAAGGCGCACGAGGTGATATTGTTGCAGCTAAGTGCAGTTGGAAGCGAATCTTCTAATGACCTGGCCCATCCTGGCCTGAGAACCGTCCTTGAACGTCTATACCATCAAGCTATATAAGCCTTCCATTTCTCTTACCGTGGACTAAAATCAGCAACTCAAGCTACAATCATCTGGAAAAAACAGTTACACTCAAAATCGCCTAGCAAACCATCTGTCCACCCCTGGTCGATTCATCTGTTCCTCGCCACCGATTAATCTCACCATGAAATTCCTTCCCTCCTTGGTCTTTGCCTCCATGATTGCAGCTGTTGCTGCTGGCCCTATGGGACAGTGAGAGAACTCTTATGGTTTATTCACTTCCTCTATTTTGGCTAACTTTTCCAGGGCTCCGAAGGGCATTGCTCCGACGGACACCAAGGTCAAATACGACATCTACGACGGTCCTCAGAAGCGCAGTGATGCCAAGGTCAAGTACGATGTCTACGACGGCCCTCAGAAGCGCGGAGATGCCAAGGTCAAATATGACATCTACGATGGCCCTCAGAAGCGCAGTGATGCCAAGGTCAAATACGACATCTACGACGGCCCTCAGAAGCGCAGTGATGCCAAGGTCAAGTACGATGTCTACGACGGCCCTCAGAAGCGCRGTGATGCCAAGGTCAAATATGACATCTACGACGGACCTCAGTAGAGCAGAAACGAAGCCTTGACGTGCAACTCCTCCACATCTCGGCATGTCCATGACAGTCTCGTCACTGGAGCGGGGATCGAGCTAAACAAGTAGGGACCAACTAAGTTTCTTCAGGGGCTACAGTGAGTTCCAAATTCAAAAGAAAACGAAGTTAGCGGGAGGGATTCGCTCTTTAATGACGTGGCAGCATCGAGTCATTCGTAATTTGGAAGGGGAGAATTGGACTGCATTGCCTCTACTTTCGGATATTGAATCCGCCTTGACGCTCCTTAACTCAACATTCAACACCAGTATGATTCCTTTAATAGTATTTTGGCTGCTTTACCGCCATCATCTTATCCGATTCTAGGAATCTCGAAGCTTGTTTAACTTGGAGTGTGCCACTTTGTAAGCTTGCAATTTTATAATGAATAATGTCATCACGTCAGAACCAACTACTGCGTCTGGTTGAGGCCGGAAAAAAAATTGCAGTTGGATGGACCATAAACCCACCTAGCAACGAACAGACGACAAACTACAAGAATAGACCACAATACGACAGAACTACGAGTACGTATACGAAAGTCGTCTTTAGGAAATCCGATTCGTGCATCTGATGAGCCTCCCCTTCCATCCGTTCGCACGGCCGGTATGTGCATAGTTGGCCTCCTGACGGGCTATATGATCATGCGAAGGATCCCAACCAGCTGCTCATGGTCTTCGCTTTCTTTCCGGGGCCCAGAGAACCTACTGCGGCTTGGACAGACTCCACCAATGCCTCTGCAAATCTCCTTCGGCCTTCCTCAGGTTCGGTTGCAATTGCCATACGACATTCCTCGGAGAGAACAGCGTCAACTTCTCTCCTACCATCCAAAGCGTCGGGATGATTGTCCACGTAGCTCTCCTTTTGCATCTTCCAGCCTGCCTGGGATACGGCTTTCTTGATGCTTTTCGGGGTATGCAATGAGAAAATGTTAGTCTCCTGAATTGCCCGGGCCACTCGGCTGGATATTTCCGCCTGTGAAAGAGCAGCGAGCAGATGAGGAAGAGTTGTCGGATCCCCGCGCGCGTCCAGTGAGAACTCTGCGATTAGCAGATTCCGTGCTCGCCCACGGAGGCTGGCCAACATGGGACGAAGGCCGTCGGGAGACTCAAAATACCAGAGGCAATGCATGAACACGGCGTAGTCGAATTTAGCATCTGGGTTGGATTGGAGAAATTCTTGCAAAGTAGCTTGGTGAAAGGTGATTCTGGAACCCAGAGGGGACGATTTCAGGTTTGCGTGGACTTGAGCGAAAGAAAAAGGGCTCCCTTTAGCGATGATATTTTAGTTAGCACATATCTGTAGGTAAATTCTGAAGAAGGTAACGTGGCGGAAAATACCATGGTCTAGCGGTGCCGGGTCGATGCCCGTAACGTGGCCATCCGCCCCCACGAGATCGGCCAGGATCACGGTGCTGTCGCCCTGTCCGCAGCCGATTTCGAGGACTCTAGAGCCGGGCTCAATGCACCATTGTGAGATGACATCGAGTCGTTGTTGCAACTCGGCTTTGACAAGGCGGATATACTTCTCTTGGGGCATATACATGCGGGCGAGATCCTCGATGGAGCACGTCATGGCGGATGGATAGATGTTCGGGAATTCACAAAATTCGATGAGCCTCTCAGAGAGACTTTGCTTTGTCACAACGATTTTAGACAATAGGGAAATCTCTATCTATTCCGGCTGATGAGGAGTATGGTCTACAAGGAAGGGAGTATATGGAGTAGATACCGCCGGCCTTATCAGGTAACTCTCCAACCGCGTTCTTTCACCGCTATCAATGTATATGCTCCGGAGTGAAGAGAATTGGTACATGCTTCATTCTTCGACTGTGTGTCCATCCACTGGGGCTATGGTTGGTGTAACAGAAAGCGTTCCCAGAAGTGGGACGGAGGGGGATGCTGCACGAACTATGCCTAAACCGACACACCCCTTGCGTACAAGCCAGTCGGACAGGGAAATCTGGGCCTCTGGAAGAAAATAGTGGCTCATATACTTTACCATAAGCGTTGTCGAGTCTGACTACTCGAAGGGCTCTTCCTGCTGCCGACCGGAACCGGCGTCACGCAACTAATAATGGGTCACGGCGAATGAAAGAAAGATTTGGAAACTTTCCTGAACCCAGCCAGTTTGTGGGCAGTTGAACGGCTTGTCTCTCTCGCTCTACTTCTTTTTCAGTGGAATCTGCAACTGACGGTTGTTTCATATGTAGCAGCCCGACCACAGAAGATGTCTCTCATTCATGCCATCGTTGAACGCTCTCCAAAATCCATTTGCGGCCATCGTTTCACATGATGGAACCCTCGAAAGTCGAGGGAATCTCAGGTTGCGTGACGGAAATTGCTCCGGTGAGTCAGTACTCCTTGGAATGTTGCAAGTGCCTAGCTGATGCTTGGGATGTTGCCTCTCTCGTTAAGGTCCAGAAAAGTCATGATCGATTTGAGGAAGTTCTTGCCCAATTTAATCCTGCGTAAGTGAATTAGATACTGGACACACTACTCATAAGTAGCCACTGACAGTCAACATGTAGTGAGTTTGGCTTGACAGAAGAAGACTTGGCAGTTGCAAAGGAGAGGGTGGATGAATTGTCTGATTCGCAAGTCAGAGAAGTATGTGAACACGAAATGGCATATCGGCGGCCACAGACTTTGAGTACATTTCTAAAAAATGCTTCCCCGCCCAGACTGTACAGAATGTGCTACAATTTCACGCAAACGATTCCAACTTCCCCTCTGCAATTCTGCGCCGGTTTGCTGAGTTTGCCCGGACTCCAGACGTGGACCAGTCAGACAAGCCGGCGTCTGTCCTGCTGCGCGGGCAGGTTCACTTACTGGTGGCCCTGATCTCGACGAACAGTCCATACCCCGAAGTGCGTGCCATCGTCAGCAACAAGGATGACCCGGAGATGCCCTGCTCGACGATCCGGTCATGGGCCATCGGTCTCTTCTTCGTTGTCGGCGCATCTGCGGTGAATCAGCTGTTCAGCGTTCGTCAGCCACCCGTCGGTGTCGAGGCCGTGACGATCCAGCTGTTGTCGTACCCCTTGGGAAAGGTGGCAGAGCGGATCCTGCCTGATGTGGGATTCACCCTCTACGGCGTGCGCCACAGCCTCAACCCCGGGCGGTTCAGCCAGAAGGAGCATTTGCTGATTACTATCATGGCAAATGTGGGAACGAGTCGGCCGTACTCGAATTACACTAGTTGAGTCAATCCCGTTCCTCTCCATCCGCGCTTCCCCCGTTCAGAGCTTACTTGCGGCTCTCTAGTCTGGAGTCAGGTCCTCCCCCAGTACTACAGTCAGTCCTATGCTTCAAGCTTCAGCTACCAGCTCCTGCTTTCCCTGTCATCGGATTTGATGGGTAGGCTCTGCTCATTCGACTTCATTCGGATCCTTACCTAACATTCCCAAGGATACGGCCTTGCCGGCCTATGCCGCAGGTTCCTCATATATCCGTCTCTCTGCCTATTCCCGCAGTGCCTGACCACGCTCGCGCTCTCTAACTCCCTCCATGGTGGTAAGTACGGACAGCTCAGAAACACCCGAGCCCGTCTAATTTTCATCATAATGATTAGTTGAGAATCCGCCAGCCCTTGGACCGTTCCGGCAGATGTACAACACGTCACGTTTCCGGTTCTTCCTGTATGCGTTCGTGGGAATGTTCTGTTACGCGTGGTTCCCCGGCTACCTGTTCGAAAAATTGAGTATCTTCAACTGGCTGAGTTGGATTTCACCCAGCAACGTGAACCTTGTCGCGATCACTGGTATCCAGACCGGATTGGGCCTCAACCCTCTTCCAACATTCGATTGGAATATGGTCACCACAGCACTTGATCCGCTTGTGGTGCCTTTGGTGGCCACCCTGAATGTATTCGCCGGCGTCGTCATCAGCGGGGTCGTCATCGCAATCTTCTGGTTCAGAAACACATACTGGGCCTCTTACCTGCCCATTAATACGAACAGGCTCTTTAATCGCTGGGGTACGGCATATAATGTCTCGGAAATTCTAGACTCCCACGCGGTCCTCGTCCAGGCCAAATACCAACAGTATTCGACCACCTTTCTGGCGCCGAGCAGCCTGGTCCAGTATACTTTCTACTTCGCGACCTATTCCGCGACGATCTCGTATGCCATCCTTTATCAAGGTCAGGCGATCATGGCCGGATTCCGGAATCTGATCCGTAAAACTGGCCGGAAGACGGCCAGCGTTCACGACGTCCATTCCAGGCTTATGTGCACGTATAGAGAGGGTGAGCATGCCGTATTCTAAAGAGCTAGCGAATAGTCAGGTTGCTAATGTAATATTATGCTCAGTTTCCGAGATATGGTATGCTGCGCTGAATGTGCTTGCGCTCGGCCTTGCTGTCGTCGTGATCACAGCCTGGCCAACATCCGTAAGTTGTTGTCACAATATCTACTTGAATCCAAGTCATAGAGATTGATCTTGTCCTTTGACATGTAGACAAATGTCGGAGTCATCTTTGTGGCATTCAGTGTTGCAGCGGCCTTCCTGGTTCCAGTCGGTCAAATCTACGCCATTACGGGGATTAGTATCAATCTAAAGTAGGACCATCTCTCCGCTGCCTCGTTTCAATGAAGATCATAGGAAATCTGATCCTCGGACGCGCATAGTGTGCTGTCGGAATTTTTAGGGGGTCTATGGACTCCCGGCAATCCGCTTTCAGTCAACTTTTTCAAGCTTTATGGGTATGTACCGAAACTGTGCTGCTTCAGAAGTCAATGCGCTGATGTGGCCGAACCCTTCCTGACTATTAGATATACCACCCTTGCCAATGCGCTGCCATTTATCAGCGATCTCAAACTGGCCCACTATGCTAAAATTCCACCCTGGCATACCTTTTCGGCCCAGATCGTCGCCACGATCGTATCGGCGGTTGTGTGCACCGCCATGCTGAACTATCAGATCAATAAGATTCCAGATATTTGCCAAAGGTTTGATCTAACTCCCCCAGGTATCATTTCTCTAACTCTCATCGTCCATGCCAACAGCACTCAGAAGGATCGCTTTACCTGCCCTGGAGTCAATACCTATTTCAGTGCCTCGGTAGTCTTTGGTAGCATCGGCCCTCGCAGGATGTTTGGTCCCAGAGGTCCATACTCGGCTTTACTCGCTGCCTTCCCGATCGGTCTCGCCCTGCCGGTGATGCTCTACTTTGCACAAAGACGGATATTCTGGTTGCGCAACATCAACCCGGTGATGCTACTGCACGGGGGAACCACTTGGTCTCCAGTATGTACAATCGAGAGGCCCACATGGCTTTTTATTATCCTTCCCTGTCTTTTGACCACCGTGGCTTCACAGTTTAACTTGGCCTACATCTGGCCCGCGGTTCCACTTTCATTGTTGTCCATGGCCTACCTCAAGAGCCGATATTTGGCATTTTGGGCCAAGTACAACTATATCGCATCCGCAGCATTCTCATCGGCAATTGCCATTGCCAGCTTGCTGATATACTTTGCGTTGCAATCTAATGGCATTGAACTGCCCTGGTGGGGCAATTATGCGGATTCAGGATGCGAGAAACACGCATGTCCTCGCCTGAGATTGACAGGGGAAGAGTACTTTGGGCCGCGGGAGGGCGAGTGGGTATAACCTGTAACGGGCCAACTGCTCGATGGGAAAAAGAGCGCGTTCTGGACAGCATAACATAAATAAGAGAGTACATCCCGTATTCTATGCCTCTTCTGGGTTCCGGGAAACATCGTACACCATAAAGTAGGCACCGTATTCGCCCTGTCCGCCATATTTGGTGTCATCCTGTATGACGCGCTCCACCTCCTTGAATCCCAATCGCTCATAGATTCCTCGGCCTGCCTTGAACGCCAGAGTAAAGATAGGAAGCCCGATTTTCTCCGCACGCTGGATTCCACTCTCCACGAGCGCCGTGGCAATCCCCTTGCCTTTATTTTCCGGATGGACCGCTAGATAATCCAATGCTAAGCGAACGTCAGGTTCAGTACTTGGCCTGGGCGGGGCTCTCGGGCCCAAGTGAAGGGTACGGACTGATATACGGCCTCTCGGCCAAGATGCGTTCCATCACCAACTCATTCTTCGCATCAATCTCGCCCATGCCCTCTCTCGGATTCCACCATGCAGATGCCGCCAGTTCCTCGTAGTGTTTCCGCTCCTCCTCGCCGACGTCAGGAACTTGCGCCTCGGCCCACATGGGCCCCCCGTCCGCAGCAGTCACATGGCCCGGTGGCAGGATCCAGCGCGCATACCCGACTACCGCACCGGTGACGGGATCGACGGCCTTCTGGTGGCGAGTATCCTCTCGCGAGCGGAGGAGGTTGCGTGCCTGCCGTTTCGTGGACTGTTCGATAAGGAACTCCAGTGTGATGTCTTTGGGCCACAGGACGATCCACGTCGGGTCCTCCCAAAAGGCGGCCATGTTATTGCGCGCCAGGGCAGCGGCGTCGGCCACCGTACAATATTCGATTTTCCAGCCGATCATGGCTGCGTTAGGACGTCGTCGTAGATAGAGTAATGGCAGGAATCGAATTTACTTGGTGTTAGGTTTCGGAATATATTAGTATATGCCGGGGGTTGTTTGACGGTAAGTCGATCCGCAGGTGGCGGCTGGAGGCCCTTGATATGGTGTTCGCTTGCGGAAGTCTTGGCTTTCGGGGAGAACCATTCTGTGAATCGACTGCTGGTTGTCTGCGGCTTGCGGGCTTTTCTACTTAGAAAGGCAATTTCAAGAAGACCAATAATTTATTTAATCTTATTTTAGATAACTTCAGTTATTCCCTTTCGGATATGTTTGTCTGCAGAGACTGTAAAGTCCGTCTAAGAATCCCAAGGATTAATAATGATTCACTTATTACTCCAGAGGGCTTCTAGATATATATAAGTGGCTTTCTTGAATAAGGTTTTAGTACTCTATCATATATATATAGATATAACCTAATGTACTAATAAGTATTGGTGGTATCTCTTTAAGTTATCAAAGTAGCCAAAAATAACATGGATGAGGTCTAATCCTTCAAGTGTAGTGGTACCACATGATATGATACTGCGAATTTGGACCAGAGTATGATAGAATCAGCCAGTATTGTATCTCACTTAGCAAGTTCGTCAGCCTTTTTTGCAAGATTCAGCAATTTCGCAAGATGGACAGTTATCGTTACAAAGCTTTTCCGCCTGCTCCATCAAGGCTGATATGGCGCCTGCACTGAAAGCATGTCTCATTGTTGTCGCGCAGAAGGCCAGTCTCACTGAAACAAATTCACAAATCGAAAACAAAAGGTTTGCTCAAGACCTAGACTAGAAATTGATCCCCAATGACGGGGCGCAATGTCGGACTTACATCACATTGAAGTTACGTCAAGGGACGGGATAAAACAAGCATTTCTATTGGGTTATGTTCCAGAATCCAGATTGAGCTTCGCTGTACCTGGCGCCCTGATTACTTCACGAATACACTGACACAGACAACAAAGATCTGTTACTATTATCCTTCAAACAGGAACTGAAGAGTCGTCAATAATAGCTCGCTGGTATCGAGGACTTTGAGGAAGATTCGATCTAGATTGTCAGTATACCGCTTTATTGCTTCTCGCCAAGTCATCTCTCTGTCAGTGGACAAAGTGTACCCGCAATGACATATATTTGTGCGCAACTGCTGAGACGTGTGTGCTTTTCAAAGCAATCCAAATGCTGGACTCCCTCACTATTCTGTTACTGTAAAACTGCCCTTATCATGTGAATTAGTTAACTCCTAGGCCTTGGGGTATCCTCTATAGCAGATACGTAATTATTAGCAAGCCTTTTGTATGGTGTCTTCTATAGGAGCCTTATGAGGTCATTGAAGGAAAAGGTAATCATCAAAGTATCAGGCGATAAGAATCATTTAATCTTGTTAAAGTATCTTCCCTACTGTTCAGTTGATGATGATTGAGCGCCCAGCTAGATAATAATCATTCCCTACTGGGATCCGATGTTTTCGTCGCGACTCCACCGGAGATCCTTTAAAATTTCAGGCATAGTGGCTCTCTCGCAAATGTTAAGATTTGGGAAAGCCTCTTCCTTCCGCTGGTTAAATGGCATGCTTGGATCATCAGCTGTTGCCCCCGATAATTCCATCAAGATATAGTCCCATCTATGGTCGCCAACATGTGCTACCAGCTCAGGAGGAACAGGGCCGAAGAATGTTATCAATCGGTCCAAGGTTTCCAGCTCAGGTTTGATTTCCGCTTCCCTTAGTGCTTCGAAGTCAGGATGTAGGGTTTCCATGCCTGTTATACATCGAGGCACTGTTTGAAGGGCTTCTAAATCCTGGCTCTCGAAACTCGAAGAGGAGTAGGCCTCATGACAGCCTCTTGTCGCTTGTACATTGTTCAATCATACACGGAAGCAGAGCCCTCAAGCAAGGCACTGCATGGTTCTCACAGAAATAGAGGATGCGCTGCCATGGTCCGCATCAACTATTTAGCTGCAATATGGCACAGTCGCATCTCGGCCAATAAACTACGTTATGTTGTTGTTGTTGGAAAGTAGGTGCTGTTGGAACGGAATGGGAAACAGGCTTACATAAGCCCACCTGCTTATGACGGAACCACGTCGCATGCATGGCCAATTGACCACAAAACTTCCAGCCGATTCCCTCCTGTATCTAGCATCCTTCTAGTTATCATCGAGAACACACAATCTAATTCGTTTCCCATCAATTTGACTTATGGTCAGACAGTACCTACGTAGTCACTGTAGAAACCAAAGGCGGTCGGGGTGTAGCCTCACAAGGCCGAGCGACAATCTCACCGCCGAGTGGCACCATGTAAGCTCCGAGCGAGGGTCAGCTGTCATTTGGCGGATACTCGGCCGAGATGTTGTGATCTCTTTGGTAAGACTTCCACGGCCTTACGCCGGCTCCTGCGATTGTGGCTGAAAGGAACCGAACTTCGGGCGGAAGCCACGAGGCCATCTCAACCCGATGCAATGAACACCCTTCCGTCGAATGTCCGACTGACAGGTGCTCCAGTAAACAAAACCGCTTCTGCTCCAGAATATTCTGAATATTGATGAGCTACCTATTCCGCCAAGGAGGTCTGATACGAGGTAGCAGGTCCCTTCTGACTCTACTAGCTCCTTTGCTGGGCAATCATCAACTCCACAGGAAAGACATTTCTCTGCATTTTGTCTAGAGGAGGCTGTTCCAAATATTCTCATTGTGTGCCACGCTCTAGCCATCAAAAGACAGTAGGAACCGAAAGCCGCAGCTCTTAAGCTTCGCCGATGATTCATCAGTGCCCGATACATATTGATTAGGTCGATGACGAGGGTCAACCTGCTAGCTCAGGATTGTTGAACGGCTTCACTCACGATAGGCTGGGATGGACGCGACCTTGGCTAGTCGCAATGTTGAATCAGCTAAACGGGGCAAATCTTCGGTGATCGTGGAAAGTCCGAGCCACTGATTGATGGGCCATAGCCAAGAGACCAAGCCATGTGCAGACATCGGAGATGCTGCGAGGCCAGCCAGCCCCAACTCTAAAACTAGTCAATGGGAGTCGCAGGCAAATACCCTTGTTTTGGTACGGCAGAGCTTCCAAAAGCATACTAGATTCGCTGGCGGCAATAGACAAGGCACATGATATAGTTGTTCGATAAGAACTGTTGGCAATTCGACTCATATGCAGAGCTTAGATAAGCTGCAAAACTATCTACCTCGATATTCCGGACTTCTTAGTGATCGACAATAGTCTTGCTGGAAATATGCCAGTTTAAGAGAAGCACAGGGTATCCAGTTCCTCTGCCAACGGCAACCTGTGAAGCACCAGCATTGTACAGGTCTAACAAGCACAAGAGCTCCCAGGACCCAGATCCAACAATGCGAAGTTTAATGCTGTGGCATTACTTGCGCCACCGGACAACCTCCGACTTCAACCAGATCGCTTTGGGCAACATCCAGTATGGGGAAGCAAACGGCATAATCAGCACGGGCCCTGAAACGTGGGGGAACCCACAAAATTCCAGGCTCGTGTGGCAGTATGAAGCAAGCCAGCCAACGGCAAGTGGCTACGGGGGTCAAGATGGAGTGGGGACATTTTAGCCTGTAGTCTAAACCATCTCAGTCGTCTTATTGGGAGTTCTCCGCATTTGTCAGAATTACTTCTGGGTCATCATCACCTAAGCAACCAATCAGTAATTACCCCGCGTTTCCCCAGAAAAGCCACGCTCCAGCAAAATCCCGTGTCCCTCTACTCCAGAGCTCTCTCACTCCGCTGCCCAATCCCGCGCTTTCACAGTCTCTCCGTCCCCGTGGGGGTTCCCCATCAGGTAGGACTGCTTAGCTTGCACGCCTCATGGTGTAATCGTGCAGTACCGCGGCAGTTCGAGCGCGTAGTATATAAAAGATAGCCGATCCCTTTCTTCTTCTGCAAGTTCCACAGCACAGACTCTGTCGCTTCTCTAACTAGTTTTCTTCCCTTTTTTGAGAAAACCCTTTTGTTATCGGCCGGCTCGATCAACATGGGTGAGGAAATCACCAACAAAGACCTTCTGGGGGAGAAGGCTGAGATGAGCCACGAGGAGGTCATCCAGCTGGCTCAGTTGACCGAAGATGAGAAGAGAGTTGAGAAAAAGTTGCGGCGACGTATTGATTCTCTCATTATGCCGCTTGTCATTCTCGTTTATCTCATGAACTATATTGATCGGTAAGAATGCCTTCGTGCGATTGCGTCGAGCTGTTTGCTTGCTCTGTGCCGGTCACCGGTCGCATAGTTTTTTCTTCAACCTTTCTCCATTGTAACACGGTTGTGCCACCAGAACTGATCTCTTTGAAGGAACAATTACCCGGCTGCTCGTCTACAAGGTCTCGAACGCGATCTGAAGCTCAGCGATGCCGACTATCAAACCGGTCTTTCCATTCTGTTCGTCGGATACATTCTTATGCAAGTGCCGTCCAACCTCATCTTGAACTATATGGGGCGGCCATCGCTATATCTGGGATTTTTCACCGCCGCATGGGGCCTGGTCTCGCTGCTGACGAGCCAAGTCAAGAGCTTCGGTGGAATCGTCGCCTGCCGGTTCATCCTGGGTCTGGTCGAGGCTCCATTCTTCGCTGGTGTGCTCTTCTACCTCTCCAAGTGGTACACCAAGAAGGAGCTGGCTTTGCGCATGAGTATCTTCTACTCCGGCTCCCTCCTCAGCGGAGCATTTGGAAATCTCATCGCGGCCGGTATCCTAAAGGGACTCGATGGGAAACGCGGCCTCGCAGCCTGGAAATGGCTGTACATTATTGAGGGCTCCATCACCATAGCCGTCGGCCTTGCGGTCATGGTATTCCTGCCCGACTTCCCCTCCACCTGGAAGCTCCTCTCCGAAGAGGAACGCCACGTCGCCAACCGCCGCCTGGCCATCGAAGCCGCCGATGCTGACGTGGATGAAGCCGGCAAGATGAGCCAGGTCAAGGGTCTCAAGCTCGCCTTCAGCGACATCAAGACCTACGTTCTCGCCATCGCCTACATGTCCATCACCGGCGCCAGCGGCTTCCAGAACTTCTTCCCCACCCTCACATCAACACTCGGCTACAACCACTTCATCTCCCTCCTGCTCGTCGCACCGCCCTACATCTTCGTCGTCTTCTACAGCCTGGTGCACTCGCACCTCTCCGACCGCTTCGGCAAACGCTTCTGGTTCTTCTTCTACCCCATCCCCGTCACCATCATCGGCTTCATCATCTTCATGACAACCGACAGCTTCGGACCAAAGTACTTCTCCTTCTTCCTGATGAACATCATCTTCGCCCAGAATGGCACCATCTACGCCTGGATCGGAAACGCCATCCCCCGTCCCCCGGCTAAGCGCGCCGCCGCCTATGCCTTCATCAACTCCATCGGCAACTCCGCCAGTATCTGGACCCCCTTCACCTACCGCAAGCAGGACGCCCCGCACTACCGTCCCGCGCTGGGAGTGTGTATCGGGCTGCAGACCCTCGGTGGCGTCATGGCCATTATCATGTACTTCCATCTGAACTCCTTGAACAAGCGCCTGGAGCGGCTGGAGGATAGCGAGGTGACGCTCACGGATAAAGAGATGCGGCGGTTGGAGCGCACGGCGGAGATCGAAGGGATCGACATTGCGGCTGCGCGTCGGCTGCAGGAAGGATTCAGATATATCTTGTAATCTTGCTAAGCTGCGGCTCCGCCGTATGGATTCAGGGGCATTGGACCATGACCTGGAGGAAGAGACATCTGTCTTACATGAATCAATCAACTTTTGCTTTTGCATAAACACTGTCCACTTAACTGTGTACACAGTACCTAGCTGGTGATACCAACAGAAATGTTTATCAACTTCTCCGGCTGTTTCGCTCTCAGTTCTAGTATCCGCGTATAGGATTAGGTTGACGGGGGAGATTCCTTATTTCAGACTGGCCCTGGAAGGTTACTGGCTGTTATTGGTTTAACCCCATTTCAATGTGGGTCAACTCTATACGCGTATATGCACTGCCGATCTATCGAAGATTAAAAAGCTAAAAAAAAGGTTCTTTTTCAACTCGACACAGTAAAATCTGTGCTTTATAAAGGTGTTCTGATTGATCTTTTATCGGAGCAAGCTGAGATAGGGCTAGTAATCCTCTTGGACGAATAGGCAACGAGGTACGAGCAAGCGGAACCAATTCGAGATGATTGAGTTGATTGATTGAAGAAAAGAACGAATATGATGGGGCAGGTTGAAATACCCCATAGATGGTCAAGGTACACGGTGTTACGACATCCGTAATGCCAAAGATACCAAATTACTATACAAAACACAGATGAAAGTGGGTCACTCAGTATAACCCCTGTCTAGGCGGTAAGTTACCGCTCCATGTCTCGACACAATCTAAATCCAACTGGTGACGCAAAATAAATCCAACGGGTGAGGTAGTAATATACCGGTCAACCGATTGCTTGAGCCTAAAGGACTCCAGACCAGTCTTCCTCCTTGATATACTCCTCGACAGTATAGACCGGGACTGGCACGCCAAGCTATATTGAATGTAAGAAAGGGTTCAGGACAGATGTAGCGAAAAGACCTACTTCTTTCGGGTGGACAACACTTGGATCACCACCATCATAGCCGAAGTCTCCGATATAACCGAACATATCGGCCAGTTCCTCGCCTATGCCACCAGGGACCGCATTTTCAAGTACAGTGCGGTCAAGACGTTGGAAGCGACACGTCACGCCATGAATCTTACCCCACAAGGCAGCGAACTCATTCCAGCTCAACATGCTAGAATAGCCAAGGAGGTTTTTGCCCGGCTCAACCTGCAATAGAGCGTTGACGAAGTTGCCTAGAGCGATATCAGCCAGTGGAGCATAAAAATGCATATAGTGGGACTAACCGGTGTCGTGGCGCGCCTCGACCATGGGAACCGGGGCATCGCCATCTGTGGGAAGGCTCAGCAGGAAGGTACCGTCGGATTGCTTATACGATGTCAGCTTTTGCCCCTATTTAGGCAGAAGATACTGCGTTAGAAATATCTCCAGAGATCCAGACTCGCCTTGACTGGCCCACCCAATGGCATAACTTTCCAGTTAGTCATATAGAGCCCTACTTGCAGGAATGATGTCTTCTTTGCCAGTACCGGATAGGAGGCCTTCAAGTATTCAACGACTTCCCACTTCCCGTCGAAGTGAAGATTGTGGGTATACTTTCCCTTGCTCCATTTGTTCGTGGCGGAGAGCGTTGAGAACACGAATCGATCCAAGGTGTCCACGGTTGCATTTGCGGCGTCTACAATATTCCGACCTTGCTGCACCTCAACCTCGTGAGCGACCACGTTCGCTGGGCGGCCTGTGGCCTGAGCGCGCTCCTGGACTTCGGGGCTGGCCACGGCGGTCCAGAAGTCAGTAACGCCAAAGATGACTGTTGATCCTGCAAAGGCCGTCTTCAGGGAGGCGGCATCATTCATGTCGGCTGTGACGAGTTCGACACCCTTGTCTGCCCAAGCTCGGCTTGCGGGCTTGCTTGGGTCGCGCGTAAGGCCACGAACATGCCACTCTGGCTTGCCAACAAACACTTCGGCAACGGAGGCACCCTTGCGTCTGGTAAGAAAATATGCTTCTGAGGCCTATGACCTTAAAGTAAAGTTAGGTTTGACTTACCTGCTTGCCCGTAACTCCCACGATAGTAATAATCTTTTTAGCCATATTGACAGCACGTTGAATGGCCTGCTGTATCAAAGTTTGATAGTTATAATATGATGACTGACTTAGATCTGTCTGAATCCATGTAGGGAGGGAGCAAGACATTAAATAGTCATCGCCATCTTCAAATGGTGATGTAATCAATTTGCCCTCCCAAGGACGTATAGACGGATCAGTCAGCCTCTCTACAAATTTGTCAGTCTTCTCTACAAATTTGTCAGTCTTCTCTACAAGATAACTGGGTTGGTAAATCTGAGTAATCAATTATGCTACGTGTAGGAGCGGAATAGAAGTGTATCCGTCGGAAAGTTGAGTAATCGTCTATTCTTTAGTAGATCTTAGTAGATCTAATGGAGATCATTCGGGGGAAGCAATGAAAGCGCGCTCTCTGAACCCGCCGACACTAATAGAAGATTATGAAGAGCAACAAATATTAAACTCTGCGGATCCGCCACAGCTTCTGGCGTAAAGCTTATACTGTACCCCTCGGGTGATTTTGTTAGTATGTTTTTTATTCACACGCTTTACAGGGATCATGTAATTGGTGTATTGGTTTCTGGCCAATAACTTGCTCCTGATCTTCGGAATAGTTAAGAATTCTACCTATCAGAGCAGGCAGTCATTTATAAAAAACCTCGTTAACTATTATGGGATAGCTGCGAGTCCCACTGTACTAACAAAATCACCGGGGTCAACCGGAGTAGTTCCACGCCACCGTCACTAACATCTTGTCAAGGGTGGAAATTGGTATATGCTACCACATAGTAAAATGTTCGGAGCACGTAATGTGTATACACAAAATATGACATCCGACTACTCTATGCGGTGTAATCCTGCCGAGGGCAATCGCTAACTGATGTGCAAACCTTAATCAGCGGGTTTTGGGGAGGGTCCGGTTACCGAGTGTAAACTATTCATACGGCTTGATGGTTCTCCCGGGTCGGAGGGTTGAGTTCTCCCGGGTCGGAGGGTCGAGTAATCATGCATTCTTTAACGGAATTCCCAGCCGACCGGGCCGAACCGCCTACTCCGGCACCGTCGTGAACACCGTCTACAGCACTGTTGACGCCCTTGGCGCCATAGAGACGTCGACATTCTCGCGTATCGTCGTCTCCCAAACCGCGACCACTGTTACCGGCACCCAACCCGCCACAGCTACCACAGCGACCAACTGCCCCCTCCAAACACAAGTCTCCTGCTTCATGATCACTGCCAGTGGACCCGAGCACGTCAATGGCAAACAGCTCTTCCTGTCCAACAACAGCTCTTCCCCCGTCTGGGGTGGTTGGGGTGCTGGCTACGAGATCGGTGTCTTCTACCTGACCTGCGCAGGCGATCTCGTCGCGTTGCCCTCTATGAACGTGCTCGCCCCCGTGCGGGATAAGTGGGTCGAATTTGACAGCTTCTCTTCCGCAACTTCCAAGCAAAGTTGTTCAAAGGATACTTCCTCTGGTATTGTCAGCTGTGGAAGTGGTTGGTATGCCACCTCGCCTGTGGCACTGCGCTACACAGATTTCCGCGCGTACAGTGGAGACTGGCAACCTGTTTGGAATGACGGGACGAGTGAAGATACACTGACGCCGGTCGTGCTGACTTACGAGACTGTGGATTGTCCTTGCCAATATTAGGCGACGAGGTTTTGTTCCTCTTCTACCATTCTTTTTATATATTCACTTTTCTCCTGATTTAGTTGAAACCTGTATAAGTCTATTTGCCCTTTTTATTCTGCCCACAAGAAGTGCAGCCGCACCCGCTCGGCCTGCGGCATGAAGTGTTCAATTAGAGATGCCCCTAAGGATAAATACACGCCATAGTCAGATTCTTTAAGATTATCAAAATCCGAAGTCCCGCAGTGCAACTTGCGTGCCTTCCATCCAGAACAATTGGCACGGACAGTGTCTCAGTACGTATGAACCTTGACTTGCAGGCTAGGGGGTTTTTCTTTTGCTGATAGGGAGACAGAACTGATGGGTCAGTTCCAGTCGAACTGGAAGAAGCTCGGTCCTGATCCGCCGTCCGACGACGAACGCGAGGACTATTGGGTTAAGTGGAACGCAGACCGTACGGTTTTCCCTGCCTCCATCTCATCTTTCTGCTCTCGCTGATCATACTGACTATCGCATTACTAGGCTGGACCTCCCTAGGCGAGTACGGACCACAAGGCTCGAAGTACTCCCAGAAGCTCATGGAATATCCCAATACACAGCCACTTCCCGATGGTGTGTCGGTCCGGTACGTATCTTGGGAGCAGGTGCCGTGTTTGCAAGAAAGATGGACTCATGATTTCCACATGATAATGACAAATTGTCTTGGGTTTACAAACGCGACTATCGTGTGTCGTGGGTTCACCAGGACCCGACCACTATCACGGGAAGTACCTGGTGGGACGCCACGGGCTAGACGCTGAAGAACGGCAGCCGTGGACCCTCGGGAATGGATGCGATTCTTTGTGCAGTGAATATCTTTGGCCAGGATGACACATACAAGCTTCCCGAAGGCCGGAAAGGAACTTATAACGCCTACTGCCGGAAGGACTCGAATGAGATCAAATACTGGTCTGTGGGCTACAGCATGGGTACCTGCTTGGTTACGTTCGCCGACGGGAGCACTAACACCAACACCAAGAGAGAAACAAATAGCTTTGCTGGATGGGAGATTGAGAGTAGGTCATTTGCTCAGTCTGACTCTTTGGGCCATCAGCGACTGACTGCGTTGGCAGGTGTGGAAATGGTGGACGAGATTGCCGGAGATCTAGAGGAAGATCTCGAACGAGCGGAAAAGACGGCCAGGCTGAATCGGAGTACTTAGTGGTCTGAGTGATATCCAGCCCTGATAGTCTTGCGTTTCTGAGAGGTTTAAACGTTATAGGGCTCGTTGCCGCACGCTATGACCCTTCTCAGATAACAGTCTGTGTACCTAGGCAAAGTTACGAAATGTCGTATTATTGGATATTGACCAGTAGACTGGGGGGAAGTGTGCTCAAGTGACTAGTCGCCAACATATCATATCACAACTTCTGTAAGGTGGGGAGCTGACCGTGCAAATCAATTCAGATCCCACCCCACTTCGAAGATTACTTTGTCTGCCCCTCACCATGTCAAACGACGACGATCTAGGATATTTGCCAAAATGGGGCGAGCTGCCCATCGAGCAATACATGATCGCACGTTTCTCCCATAGCATAGGCTCCTAAGGAAGACCGCTAATATTCTGCAGAGACACTGGGACTTCGCCGCCGCAGAGTCCCCTGACCAACAACGCCTCCGCCTAATTCGGCAATTTATCGATGTGGATGAGATCCCCCGCGAATGGGATCCGGTCAACTACGGCGCACCGCCGCCCCGTATGCCCACCGTGGAAGAAATTGACCTGATCCTCCGTCCCTGGCGGTCGGACGAGCTACGCAAGAAAGCATGGCAGATGTTAGAGTCTGGCGCCCTTGCCCCGATCTTTCTCCGCACGCACTACGACCCGAAGGACGACGAGACGATGGAGGAGTGGATCAGTGCATCAGAGGAGTTCGAGAACCAAGCCTGGTGGGCGTGTCTGAATGATGCCACTCTTTTCAACTTTGGCTCGGATTGGCAGCGCGTCTACGAAATCATGCCCGAGGTTGCGGGTCCGTTGAATGGTGCCAGGTACAAGCGATCTCCGGCATCGGAACTCGTGGACATGCCACGAGCACGGTTCAAGACCTGGCTGGCCAAGGCAAAGCAGAATGAGCCTGAACGCTGGCGAGAGGACCCGCATGCCTTTATCGAAGTAGAGGTGGCCAGCCTCCTCCGCACAGTCGCAGCAGCCAACTTTCTAGTGGCAGATCAAACGGCCTTCGAGACCGGCCACCTGCGTCTGATGTATGTGGATTGGAAGCGGAATGTCATTCGGGAGACTCGCATCTGTGTAGACGGACAGACGATCACGGATGTGATCATGGACTGGGACCAGTTGGGTCTGGCTCCTGAATTTTGGGAGGAAGGCACTATCGGGGACAGGTACCGCGTCACTGGGGATTTGGGAAGGGAATTGTATCAATTGAGCGAGGCAGACATGAGGGATCCTTAAGCTACGTGTGACTCTCTCCTGCTGGCATGGCTTTTACCAAGCCACATTTCCCTTAATGAAAAGTATGCCCGGTGATGGAGTTGCTGACAACGGACAGCGCTTGGCTCATGCCCACCGCGAAATAGAACTTTACACTCCAAATATCCTACTTTCTCCCAAATGCGTGTGAGCGTTCTTCTCCCGCAGTTCTTCCTTCCTCCGTCCGCTATTAAGCTAGGACGTTTCGTCACCAATATTGATGAGCCTCACCGAGATTACCTCGATCCGAGACAAGGGAAGGGTTTCAACATCATCGAAAAAGTTGCAACCCAGTACGACAGCGCCGACTCCCTTGGTGCCCAACGTAACTTTGGTTCTGACCTTACCGCCTTCCTCTCCTCATCCGTGTCAAGCCATGCGAATGCATCGATTCATATCACCACCAAGCAAGTGAAGACCTACTATTTGGACAACAATGGGCAGTGGTTCCGGGAAAATCGTGAAATCGGAAGATGTCCGGAAGTGGATTGAGCGTACTATCGATGAGGGAGAGGATATATACGTTGTGGTTGGCTACCATACTGTCTTGGATGCTCGTATCGCCGAGCAATCGCGAGAACAGAAAGTTGTGGATGGCAGTCTAGCTATGCCAATCTCGAGTGCGCTTTTGGCATCAGGAGTTGTTGTGCCATTTGGTGAACTAGCCGATCCCAGACTGGCCGGGTCTAGTGGGCGTGCGGAAGACTTGCAACGGCAATTTGTGGCCCAAGGCGAGCAAATCATCGCGGTGCAGTATCGCAAAATCAGATTTCGGTTCCTGTCAAGCAAAAGCGTTGACAGCGATGCCTTCTAAAGTCTTTGGCTTAAAGTTTGGAGGGAGCCATCCAAGACTGCGAAAATGTTCCAGCCTGGCTCGAGTTTCCTCGCAAAGAATGGGATCGGTCCAGTATTGGTGCTCATCGGTTGGAGCCGGATGTACAGGCGTAGGTGCCATGGAGGAGATCAGATACAAAGACCAGGGTGGAATTTTGCGTTGTGGAAAACGATAACGTCGAAGTCGGCGTGAGGCGTGGGCAACGAGGATGAGAGAACGGGACGTGCAAGGACACCGGAAGGGAGGGAAGGCGAAGCATCTTATAGGCGCTCACTAGGGGACGTATATTTAGCTGAAGGGGAGCCATTTTCGGCGTCGTTTTGGTCGCCAGTGGAAACGAGGGGAACAACTGTGCAAGTCGAGCGTCAACATCAGGACCGGAGGATGACTAACAGTGCTGGGTGGGTGCAGAATAGTGGTGTTACGGGGCAGTGGGCGGTCAAGGGGCGGCTGGACAGCCAAAGTTACGGGTGGAAAGGAAGCCGTTTCTGGCGTCAGAAGTGGTCATTTTCGGCGTCAATCCCACAGGTCCTCATATTCTATATATCTTGTAATATAGGGAGCTGTGAATTACTATATGTGGTTAGTTTTGCCGTTGCCGGCTTAGCTCCCTAATACACTGTTTTGTCACCTCTTCCTCCATAGCCTTGACATAAAAGACCCGACCTCGCTCTTTCGACCACTTTTCTCCTTCTTCTCCTCCCTTCAACTCAATGGATGGGTGTTGAAGGTTATCCCATCAGCATAGACGGGTTGAGGCGCGAGATAAGAGTAGAGCATAGATCCAATTAAGAGAGCGGCAGCAGCTAGAGATTAAGCGATTGCCTAAATCAATGAAGAAGGATAAGACCAGAATGGTTATAACCCGCACACCTAAAGAATGTACCAAATCGCCAAGATCAGAATGACGGGAATAGAAAACAATGCTAATGGACTAGACAAGAAAACACTGCAAACAGTCGTTTGGCCTTGCGGTCAGCAGAGTCCCCCTCTTAATATGAAAGGTTGAATTCATTCATTAAACTCCAGAAGCTTGTATCCGCGAATGTTCCTTCAAAGTCCCACCCATCTGTAAGATCCGCAGTAAGAGGGTTGAACGGAAGATTTTTCGGTGCTTCAGGTCTCGTGGTTTGTGAGATAGATAGATGGTCATAAAATAGGTCATGGACGGGGTTGGGTGGTGAAACGTTGTTGAAAGACAACTCTGACGGCATTCCCATAAGGTCATCGGCATGGCCATTGAGAGAAGCCAAGTCTGTGTTGCTGAATTGGTCTCTGGAGCTTCCTGCGGTCCCAGAGGTACTGAGGCGGTGTTGAAGCTGGCGATAGAGGTTCCAGGCCACTGCATGGGCTGATCTAGCCATGGGATTGAACTGGCCGATGGCTTCTAACCTTTTCACGCCCCTTTCAAGGACCTGAATACATTCTGCTAACTGTTCTAAACCCTGGTTGAAAAAGGCAATGCAAATGGCAGCAATGAGAACAATTGCATCAAATGAAGCATAGACAGGGTTGAATATCTTGCATGACTGTAGCTCCGGGCGCTGAAACAATCGTTCTTGGGCACGGAGAATGGCAATTCCAGCTTTGAGAGCCTCTGTGCGACTGTTGGCTGTTGTAAATATGTAAGGCCGATGGAGGGTGAGAAACACGAGGTGAATGAGCGAAGACAATCCTTCGCGTGCGAGAGGTAGCCAGTGACAACCAGGCATTTGATCAAACGTTGTATCCGGGTCCTCTAAATGGCACCAAGATGGCAGAAGCTCCAGATTCTTCTTCAATGCAGTATGAATACTTTCAACCACGGGGTAGTCTTGAGCCCTAGCCCCATTTTGCCCTAGACGATGAATCTGCGGGAAATATCGATAAGCCACATTATAGCCGGCGAGGATGACATCGAATGCCCGAGGGGGCTCAATTTCCTTTTGCCAATGTGAGAATAATTCTCGTCGTTTCTCATCGTTCGTCACGGTGCGGGTGAAATTGTCCAGGTCAAGACTAGTGACAATTGGTCGGCCGAGAACGACGGCCATATGAATGTCCCAGATGTGCAAAACTACCCAAATCTTGTGCCCAATGTAAGACTCCCGGGCATTGATTGCGCCATTTTCCGATAAATCCGACGACTGGTCGGACATAAGTCGTCCAGTGTGGAGACCGATTTCTTGCGCATCGCGGATTGTTGCACCGAGCGTATGCCAAGCTTCAATCACTTTGCCACTGCTTTTCAAGAATGAGGCACGTAGTAAGCCTGCTTGCACCGTACCTATTGTGATGCCTCTTTTACCCAAAAGCGTTAGGATTTCGGCACCCACGTCGCTGAATTCCACACCGAGATCGTAGAATGTCATTTCAGCCATGGTCAACAAGATCTTAATTCTCTCATCTTGAGGAGGATGAAACAATAGAGCCTGGGCAAGGACTTGAAAGAGCAGAGCGGGAAACACACGCATTTCGGGGGCCAACTTTTCACACCCCGCTTGAAGAGCGGAATACGACACTTTGCCCCATGCTTCCAGCTGTTCTCGGAAATGCTCCTCGTCAATTAGATCGTACTGCCAGTTGACGCCATAGAAGAATGTCTGGATAAGAACCTCGATGCACGGTTGTGAAGGCAAATGGCGGACTAGTTCTTTAAATTTTCTGTCGGCGTCGCTTTGGAAGATTCCCCGTGAAGGGTTATAATGTGTACCAGATGAGCCAGTTGACGTGTGCTTGTGATCTGTATGTTGCTCCGTGACCCTCAATAAGGCCAGGGTATGGTGACTGCTCTGACTGGAGTATCCAAAGTTGGAAATTTCGCTCTGGTCCTTGCTGGCCCATTCGGACGCCAGGCTAGTTTGTGGGGTCGGGAGCACCGTGTTGGTGCTGCTGCTGCTCGCCGAAGGACCACGGTCGATAGGATGAGCGCATGGCGACTGATGGTACTTATCCCGCTCGTAATTATAATGGCAGAGTTCCTACTTCCCTGGATCAGCCTACAATCCAAAGTAGACACATCAAGTATCGGTACCTGATATCCCCGTTTGATACAATTACAACACGGACATTGGCGGTTGCACTGACCATTGTGTTAGATGACAACTACAAATGGACACCAAGCACGAGTCTTACTTTCTGCTTTCGCCTGTGGCATTCAGTGCAAGATATAACAGCCCTTCTTCTCTTTTGAGGCCTGATTTGCCCTCCAACCATTCCAGCAGTAGCTAAGTCTTGTTAATTTTGACTCAATAAAAAGGTCTAAAGGTGGATGTCATGGAGACGTGTGTTCGAGAACGTAATCGTCTGCCGAAGCTCTTCACTTTTTGCCGTTTGCAGCTTTTGCAGCGCCGCGCCCTTGTAATTGGGCGATGGCCAGCAGATTAGAGTTCTCGCAAGCGCTCTGTCATTGGTCCATCGGCGATAAGAACTTGGCACGACCCACCTATATCGGCGATAGCTTAAATGCTTTCCTCGAAAGCGGAGACCACGAGCAGGAAATGTAATATGACTGGGGATATGCCGCACTTGTGTGTTAGTAGAATACGTCAGAGATGAAGTCCTTTGCTTGTAAACCCGAAAGATCGCCGATGCGCTGTGTGCATTATATACCCAAAAAACACTATATAACCCCTGCACATGAAGTCGTTTGAGCAGGATCTCGGAATCTAAACCACTCCTCTTCTACTAAATCTCTCTTGATACACTTTTGTCCCATCCTTCCAAGATGCCTTTCCATGGCCAATACACCACCGAGAAGGTCCAGTATCCTTCACATGGTGAGACGATTGGTGGAATCCTCTACCGTCCTACCAATGTCAAGAACCCACCAGGTGTTGTTGTCACCGGCCCGTACTCCTTCATGAAAGAGCAAGCACCTCTTCAGTATGCAACTCGCCTTGCAGATGAAGGCTACGCAGCTTTGATATTCGACCCTCGCACCGTCGGAGAAAGCACAGGCCAACCCAGAAGATTGGAAAACCCCAAAATGAAAAACGAGGATATAGTTGCAGGACTTAACTACCTCTCTGCACGTGGCGATATCGATGTGTCTCGGCTCTTCCTAGTCGGAATCTGCCAGGGCGGCCCCGAGTCCCTGGATGTGGCATCTTATGATACCCGGGTTGCAGGTGTGGCCTCAGTCTCGGGATACTACCGCGACCGCGAAACCGACATCTACATGATTTGTGCTGGGTGTGTTGCCTGGGAGCCTGGCATGGATATCGGAGAGTTGAAGATGCCCACTGCCGAACAGGGAGAAGCCCTATATCATGCGCGTCTTGAGCGAGCCAAACAGGCTCGTGAACTGTATGAAAAGACCGGGGAAGTGGTGTACCAACCGTTGGTTGATCCGAAGGCTGCTGATCCCAATACCGGTTCCTTGGCTGGTCTTCCCGGTCCGGTTGTTTGGTCCTGGTATGGCCCTTGGACATTGAAAGGATTCGAAAACCGATATGCGGTGATGAGCGATCTGGACCACTTTGACTATACCACAGTCCCGGGCGTGGCGAAGCTGCAAAAGCCCGCGCTGTTGATCCACGGTGACAACTGCATGAATGCAGCGGCTGCTAAGCGTCACTACGAGTCCATTCCCACGGATCAGAAAAAGTTGATCTGGGACAACGAGGTTTCCCACTTTCAGCACTACGACCAGCCGGACTGTGTTGATCGCAATGTGGGAAACATTGCCGCATGGTTTGCTGGTATTAAATAGGGACGCTACTTTCGTGTACATCTTGACATAAGATGGAAAGTCCTTCAGAAGGTCGCTGAGCGGACAGAGAATGCATTAGATTTTGATCTAATGAGGAGACACGCTCGTAGATATCGTACGAACTTATTCTTTCCAAACTTGGTACAGGCTGCCTAGTATCATAGCTCTGAACTATTACATACAAACGCAAAGAGCAACCAATGAGACAGTGTTTTGAATGTGTTTTGAGTATCCATTTCTGTCAATAATACGCCTTCTGTTCATTTGTCCTCTGTCCACTGACAGAGAGATGACTTGGCGAGAAGCAATAAAGCGGTATAATGACAAACTAGGTTGAATATTTCTCAAAGTCCTCGATGTGGCACAGCTGTTGATGACTTTGAGTCCCTATTCGGCGATGGACAGCGACGCAATGCCTGTCTCGGTTCTGCATGGATCTGTCCCATGCACCATGCTCCCAGCTACGTTCATAATATGCTGGTCAGTGGATGACATGTACTTGCCCAGTGCAAGATCAAGCGATGGATGAGGTGGCACACCAACTCAATAATCAGCGATGTAAGACGAACAAGGAAGCAATATATGGATAGATGCGAAGTGGGGGGTGGCTCAAACCATGAAACATAATTAAGAGAGCGTGTTGTTCGCGATAGAAGTTCTTCACGCAGGACTACGACCTTGTGTGTACAAAATCCATCGCTTGGCTGTCATAGTGTATGTGTCTAGAGATTTGTTTGAACACAATTAGCGAGGACATTGATTAATGTAAAGCTTGGGTGACGAGAACCTACTGTATATAGAGCGGACAATAAATGTTCTAGGATATCCAGGGTCTGGTAGGTGAGATTCGTCTCAGTGTGGATGCTGCTGTTCTGCATATTATATAGGTCCATCTTACAAGCTGAGAGCCACAGTTGCCGTTATATGAAGGGTTATAGTTGGCATCTGCCACACGCATCGCCACCGACAATGTACCTCAGCCCGGTATTACTATAAGTGTATAACGAGGAATATATAAGAGAGGGCGGTAAAGGGGGCATATAGGAGATTGAGAATGATGGACAGGGAAGGGAGATGGCGATATTTATGCTTCTGCCGCCTCATTGATAGAGAGGCAGAGGGAGAGCAAAATGAGGACTACAAAGAGATCATTTTCTCAGTTGGAAATGTGAGAGTGAGACTCAACACCTTCAGGCCGTCAAAGAAATCGACACTAGGGCCAGACATCTCAGAGGTAAGTGAAGTATTGAGAGTATTGAACCAATGCCTGCCTGCCCGCTTACCTGGCTCCAGATGCATTTACCCAGGTATCTTTTGCTCCTTCACGCTGCGATCTGAAGGGGGCTGATAACAGTGCAAACAGTGGCTGTTCCTTATAGATGTCAAAGACTGTCAATTACATGGCAAACATGTGGGTTGGAGGACTGTTAACTTGAAATAGATATTCATTTTGTCTGTGCAAAACTACTACGGGCAAGGCAATCACCGACTGAATATTAATGACTTCGCCTGGATTAATCACGTACACCGTCCGCATCAGCCATCGGAATATCTGCCTGTTGAGATTTTTCAACGAGATTATGTCCGTCACTAGCTTTCAATCAGCACTGGTCCAAGGCGTATTCAGATAGATGGCACGTACCCTAAGCACTTGTCAGGTAGCGCCAAGGTAAGAAGAACAACGGGAATAGAGACCGCCAGGGCCGCATAACAAATATAGCTGTCCGTGCCGTTAGCTGTATTCCACTTCTAAGTAAAGGCAACGGACCCCATGACATCAGAGTACTAGTCAAACAAATCAGCAGACGAAAGGCAGCAAAAGAACCTGGAAGGCTTACTGCATGATTCACTGCGGTCCGCTCTGATGTTCCCCACACGGGTACAGTTCCCGTGATGGAATTATACACCTGATCCAACTGCACCTCACCAATTCCACTACCTAAGCGAATGTGCAGTCGCTCGCGGAGTTCCCCAGTATAGATTCCGCCAGCGACGGCAGACCCGATCGCATTACCCACGAATGAGCCCAGCATAACCAGCGATGTCACCTGAGCGAGTTCCGAATGCGTTACGGAGATCTGGGCTGCAACTATCGCGACTGTCTCGATGATCCCGCTGCCTAGCCCCTGTATCAGTTGGACGATGAAGAGTTCCGCCAATGAGCTTGTGTTTGTACGAAGGCGAATCATCAGCCCGTAGCCAATCAGCCGAACAATAGCACCGGCTACAGCGATCCATTTGTACCTTCGCAGGCGGACCATAACCAGGCCGATGCACATCCCAGCGAGCGCCTGCGTGACGCCACTTGTCCATGAAAGAAACTGGGCATTGCGAGGGGAAAAGTTATGTGAGACCATCGACCAGGCATAGAGGTAGGTGTGAGTGGTGCCGAACCCAATGTTGTCGATGCAAGCCAGTGCCACCGGCACGAGCACCGACAACGTATGGAAGTAGCGCTCAGGAATCACCGGATGTTGAGCAATGTACTTCTCGTAAGGATAGAGACAAGCTAGACAGACGGCACCCAGGACAATAAGGGCTTCTATCCATGGTGTCTTCCATCGACTTGTTGTGGTGGCCGCCAAGGTGATAGGAATCAACAGCGAGGAAAACCCGCAAGTCAGGATCGCAATACCTCCTAGGTCAATCCCCGAGCAGAAACTATACAGACTCGGACGATGGCAAACCACAGAACCGGCCTTCTTTGCGCGATGTTGAAAGACAAGTAAACTGATGATTATGATACTGGCGCAAGACGGCATTAAAATAGCAAACATGCCGATTCCCCAGCGCCATCCGATGCCATTGACGACGCTGTCAATGATAAATGCTGAGATCCAGGGGGTGACGAGGAATGGAAGGTATAGTATATTATAAACAAACCCTCTCCATCGCATAGGAGAGATATCAGAAACGACAATCGCGTTGAGTATCGAAGTTCCAGATTGGCCAAGAGCGTAAAGGACGCAGCCGCCGGCATAGGTGTCGAAGGACCTAGCTGAGGCACATAGAATATAAGCGAGTATGTAGCAGGTAACCGTGATGATGTACGCTTCCGCTCTCCCCAGGACGTCTGACAATTTGGCAATCGGTGGTTTGCTGACAGCAGAAACTATGCTCGTGACAGTGTTCAATGTCGCCAACATCGAAAGCTGGCCGAACTCGGACGCTGCAAAGTTACGATAGGTACTCATCGTGGAATTGTCCAGTTCACTGCATCAACGTGGTTAACACTCATCGCCAAATTCTCAGGTCAAAGAAGGTATGTACAAAACGATCATCACCATTACCAGCCTAGGTCATATCAGTAATCTTTTTAGTTATACAAGCCTCATATGGCGTACCCAGCATACAGAACATATCTGCTTCTCGGACTGCTCACTGCGTCAATGACTTCGATCCTAGTGACGCTGGCGCCCTTTGGACATTCATCGTTTGACTCAACAACATCGTTATGAGTGTTGTCTTGTCCATTTTCCGAGGTCGACAAATGATCGTCGATCTGGCCCATCTTCCGAGTGATATCTGTATTGAGGCCCATTGATACCCGGACCTAGAGTCTTCAAACTATGTCTTTACTTGTAGAATGACCCGCTTGCCGGCAGTCAGAGTGGATCTGGAGGAGAAGACCTTAAAATGTGGATGTACCCGAACCATAGAAGTTGAGCCGATGCGGACTATCCGAAAATAAGGAATAAAACCAAATGGTAACCCGGGCCAGATATGCGCAAACAACGAATTGGGATCACAGTGTTAACGGCTGGTAAGTATACCACCGCGACGGCATGCAATTACGGTATTGATAATGATCAGTTTGAAGGAAGAGAAGAAGGGAATTCTAGCGAGGGATCTGCGACATTCCACCCACAGATCGCAACCTCATCTGTCCGAATTTTATCCAGAGTGGTGAGCGGTCAGTCCAGTAAGGAGTTGCGGATGGAAGGAAGCCATCATATGCCGAAAGGAGCAAGTGAAGCTGAGGATCGACATGAACTATCGATACATTAAGTAGCAGCGCAGAATCAAAGCAGTCCTTGAAGATAGATCGACAAATAGTCGATTCGGACCCCGGCAGCACATCGTTTATTCACGGGAGAATCATACAGTGCCTTGCTTGAGGGCTCTGCTTCCGTTTATGATGGAACAATGCACAAGCGACAAGAGGCTGTCCTGAGACCCACTGCGTCTAAGAGGTTCGAGAGCCAGGATTAAGATGCCCTTCAAACCCAGGATCTTCTCATCAGTCCATGCTAACTACATGTGGTTTTGAAGTGAGCCACAGCTATCCGTCAAGGCCACTTTCAAGCTCAGCTCGAAGCTGACTGCGGAGGGATCACATGACCGACGCGGTACGCGTCACAGTAATAGGGAGTAAGCAAATGATGATTTTGTGCCATGCTTTCACTAACAAAGTCCTGCCCCTGATAGCACTTTTCTTATCAATTGAGATATGTTCACCATGACACGAATATGCCTGACTTTGGAGGAAACCAATAAAAATTTGTTGTCAATGAAAAGGCCACTTCATGAGGGTGGGACAGGATCGATAACTTCAGTTACTCGATCCAAGTGAGACACAATAACCCCACTTAGGTCGATCAGTGTCTCTCTTATTGGCCTCCGAACTGCATTCCTTCTAGCCCAATTTGCATTTCACTGATCCAGTCAGATTTTTGGGGTGACTGCCGCCTCTTCCTCATCCCAATTCATCGTGCTATGATTCGCTGTTGCTTGGTGTTCATGCCGATGATGGTCAGTACACCTCAGCCCCGCAAAGTGCGCCATCCCTGTGGTTAGGGAAATGATTCCTTGTTAAAAAAAAAAGAATAAATTAAGGACTCAGGCGCAATGATCACTTAAATAGCAATACTGGCCCTCAATTTTACAGTCTTCAGTCTTGTTTTCACGCGCTTTGCCTGAAGAGAGTATAGTGGAAGGCTTAGGTCGTCCTCCAGGTCAAAATCCTCGAAATGTCCCTGTAGAGATTATGGATACATCCTCGCTCCATACCGTCAAGGGGAATTCCGACGCACCCATGGTGCTGGAAAAGCAGAATGGGTCTTCCCGACCGTCTCCGCCTAATCCAGGTCGGCGGAACAAGGCTCGTCCCATTGCGGTGGCGTTGATGGGATTGGTCGTTTTTTTGTGGTTAATGCTGCCTGACAGACTCCATCAGTCAACAGCAAAGAAAGAGAAGAACACACTACCGCCGGCATTCAGTTGGGAGCAGGTACGACAGGAGATCTATTTCGATAAGCTTCTATCTAACAGCATACACAGATTACACCTTCCAAATCTCTGGAATACCATGACTGTTTCGACGGCTTTCAGTGCGCCCGACTTGAGGTGCCCATGGACTATCATCGAGAGGATGGTCAGGGCCGCCAGATGGCTATTGGCATTGCGCGCTTACCTGCGAAGGTCCCGGTGACGGACTCCCGCTATGGTGGTGCAGTTCTAATCAATCCCGGTATTCTCGACTTTCCCCTTCTTTCCACATAAGACTCTGATGAAAGCAGGGGGTCCTGGCGGCTCTGGTGTCGGACAGGCTCTGTTGTCCGGTCGGGACATGCAGATGATCGTTGATGCGGAAGCTGATCCTGCATTGCCCACGAAAACTGCGTACTCATCGGCTCGATACTTTGATATCATCGGCTTCGATCCACGTGGCGTTAACAACACAACTCCCGGCTTTAGCTGTTTTCCCAATTCATTTTCGCAGAGGAACTGGGAGCTCCAGGTGGAGGCAGATGGCATGCTGGGTAGCTCTGACGATTCCCTTATGCGCAGTTGGCAGCGTGCCATTGCTCTTGGCGCTGCTTGTTCCCAGGCACTACAGTCCGCGCCGGCGGGAACAGATGAAGCTCTCGGGGAGCATCTTAATACACCGGCTGTCGCGAGGGATATGCTCGAAATCATTGAGCGACATGGTGAATGGCGGGAAAGGCAGGGTCAGGTTGAACAAAGGGAGTACGATCGCACACACGGGTATGACCTACAACAGAGAATCGTGACACGAACCAAGTGGAAGAGAGGACACGAGAAGCTCCTGTACTGGGGCCGTTCGTACGGAACTGTGCTCGGAAGCACCTTTGCGATGATGTTTCCTGATCGGATCGAGCGTCTTTTACTGGACGCCGTGGTTGATGTCGACAAGTACTACACTGGTGAAGGACCTGACTCGATTGTTGATGCTGACGCAATCTTCGACCGTTTTGCATTCTACTGCGACGCATCTGGGCTAGATGGCTGTCCCTTCTATAGGCAAGGAGGCCCTGCAGCCATCAAAGCCGCATATCTGGAACTAGAAGCGGCGCTGCACAACGCATCAGTGCCAGCAGCACCGTCAGCCACGCGGGGTCCTGAAGTCGTTACGTGGACCGATCTGAAATCTGTTCTTCGCTTCTCGGTGTACCAACCTCTACTGGGATTTCCTCTGCTAGCACGCTACGCAAAGTCACTGGCCGAGGGCGATGGGTCTCCGATGGCGGACTTCAAACAGCAATCTCGCTCGCCTTCGTGCCCATCTAACCAATGCGTGCAAACAGGGCCGTGGTCTGACGAGTGTCTTGAGAAGGGAGCGAATGAACTCTATGCTATGTCGGCAATCTTATGCTCCGACGCCCCATATCTACGTAACATGGACCAAGCACGTTTCCAAGAAGCATGGGCGTCTCAGAAAGCTCTGAGTTTTACCATGGGGGATTATTGGGCTGGTGTCACTGCACTAGGGTGCGTTGGACACAAGTCGAGGCCGAAATGGCAGTTGACAGGTATACTGGCCATCAATCTAATACGCCCCTTTCTCACCAAATCTTGATAGGGCCGTACACGGGCAATACATCTCATCCAATTCTCCTTGTGAGCAATACTCTGGATCCAGTCACTCCGTTGAGAAGGCAGGTCTCCGATCTCATGCTCTCTCCCCAATTCCACCACGATGCTGACTGTTAGTGATTTGCAGTGCGAAGAAGATGTCTCAAAGTTTTCCTGGGTCTGTCGTACTCCAACAAGACTCGGAAGGAGTAAGCATTATCCCTCCTACCATTCGATCACCTTACATTGTCAGAGAATGTCGTCAATTGCAAATCTAACCTGCAGTAGCACACCACTTTAGCCGCACCATCGCTGTGCGTGAGCAAGGCCATCCGCGCTTACTTCCAGAGCGGCGTGCTGCCCGATCCGGGAACGGTCTGCGCTGCGGACTTGAAGCCCTTCTTGGGAGAGTCAGGGTCCGTTCACGCAATGAACGCTCCAGACAGAGCCATGTACGACGCATTGATGAATATGGCTGCCCAAGCCAACCAACTGAGTCGAAGACTGCCGTTCACCTGAGAACCCCTTGTCTTTAGGAGAGAATACTACTTTTAACGATGAAACAGTTAGCCAGCGGCCAAAAACAGTTACACTTGACGCTGTTTTGCGAGTCCAACTAACACTCAACGTCCTTAGCATCACATCCAATAATCACATGCCTAACAGGTTTACCACCACAGCCAACTCTATTTAGTTTTCTCCCATTGCTTGTGTTCCCGGTCCCTGATGTTCAACCATCATGCTGCCGCCCACCTGAGGGCTAGCTCATTACTTAACCATACCTCATTTTCCTTAAGGAGGGAGCTATTTTTAGCTCCCCTCATAACCATCTTATTCACTTTAATTCTATAAAAGCTATAATAACCATGGCGCTCTTATACTTCTCTCCCTTTACTTTCAAGTAACTTACATTCACACCACCTATAAATCTATCTCTCACTGCCTATTTCCAAATAGCTAAAGAAGCTAGACTTCTATCATCCTTAACCTTTCTATATTTAAGCAACCCCTTTCCTATGTACTCTTTCATCTATTATATAGAACTTACCTCAGCCAATCAGGTCTAATGATGACAGTAGCATAAGCAGTAATGTTCTAGATATCTTCTTAGATAGCACTGCTGATAATATCTCAAAGAGTGCATCTGAGCTAGCTAGTAGTGGTGATAATTCTGATGATTCTGATAATAAATTTGGTCTTAGATAATAATGAGGAAGGACAGGAGCTTTCTATATTACACTACCTTCAACAGGCTAAATCTCTTGATATCTCACAGCTCTGACAAAATATGATAGGCTGAAGACCCAGGTGTTACGACACCAACACAGCCGCACTAGTGCAGGGCAGATGTGATAGGCAGAGCCTAAGGGATCACCAGTTACTTATATAAGAAAAATAGTTTAGTTATGCCCTACTGCGTGGTTTTGAGGCAAAGGTCTGTCCCCTGTCAACGTTACATTCTCAGGCGACCTTTGGTATATTAGAGCCATTTACCTCTTTTTCCCCCCTGCTCCCTCCATTCTCTTCTAGCCAGTCTCCTTACTCCAGGCAGCCTACCCATCATGAGTTTCATCTCCAGTGACATACTTTTGAACAAAAAATACAATGAGGAGGATTGCCTTCTTGCGGTACGTGGTCAACGGATCCCGAAAGCTCTTGGAGAAGAAATCACTCAACTATGTGTCGTGCGCGGAATCCGGTACCACCCGGGTTTTGCCACGGAACTTCGCGGATTATTGCCCAAATTTACTCGTGCTTTGAATGCCAGGGACATTATGAGTGATAAGATCCCTGAGATGAGCGACCCTGATGAGTTCCCTTACTGCATCTGGTACCCGGAGACCGCGAAGGAGGAAACCTACCGGGTTCTCGCCAGCCGCTATCCGCAGATGAAGTATCTAGTTGGCCGAGCATGTGCTGTAGCTAGTTATGTGAACCTTTTCAAAGAATTGGACCTCTTACCTGAAGCGCACATTGCGGAAGAGGCACGCGAGAACCAACAGTGGGAGATCTACGAAGCCATCATGGCGGCAGATCTGCGCTACAATGCTATGGATGACTACACGAGGACTGTATTCCTTAAGCCAGTTCCAGGATACCTAAATGCGGACACTGCAGTACGGTCGTACCTGGATGTCAAGTCCAAATTTCGGAGGCCGCCTCGGACCCTCTACGACAGCGACACAGATGAGGACGAAGGTGATTTTTTGATTTCGTCCTCGCAGTCAGAGAGCATGGCGTTTTTGACATCACAGAAGATGACCGTATTGATGAGTTCACTTCCGAGCCACCACCCCAGCAAAACGACGACGTGAGTCACCTTCTGTACACGCCGCTGCCTACCGATTTGCCGACGATGAACAAGGATCTTCTGATCCTCATGGCGGCATATTACCGTAATATCGAACGGTACGCCCGCCTGCGTCGTCCTAATAACTGGGTCACTACTGAGGTAGAATGTGTCGTACGCGGCATCTACCACAACTCCATGTTCGCCAAATGGTGGTCCTTTCAACCGGGAGAAGCACCAATTTCTATTGAAAAAGCCATCAATGCACGCTTCATCATGAATAACGACCTTTCTCGTATCACGCCAGAGACCAAATTCCTCCCATACTGCATATGGTACCCTTCTTTCCCTCACGTCGCGACCTGCAAAGAGCTTCTTCGGCGCTTGCCGTCCATGAAGCCGGCTGTGGCGAGAGTCTGCATCCTGTGTGATTACAGCGACTACTGGGACGAGCTTGATGCTGACCCAGATGTCAATCTGATGGAGGACGCTCGCGAAAGTCCCAGCCCAAAGTATCTCCGTGATCTGGAAGGAAGGATTCCAGAGCGCGGTTGCCGAGACTTCAGACGCGATTCGACGTATTCAATTGTGCCCCGGAAGTATATGTTCGAGCATACTCCCACCCTTGTCTTTAAAAAAATGCCCGATAAACCATACGCGGAAATTCAGATGGGGGTGCCCTACAATGGGAGAGGTGCCAGTATGGCTTACTATGAGCTCTGTGTCTCGGTACTGGATGATGTGAAGAAGCTTGCCATTGAAGAGCTCGGGGAATCTAGTGGATTCGACATTGCCGAGTATTATGACTTTCTAGGAATGAAGAGACAATCCAATCAATCCTCTCTATCTTAGAGTCACCATTGATTGCTGGTAATGTTTATGGAAGCAATGGTGCACTATTAGCAGGGCGCTGCAAACGGCCCTCATTGAACCGCTGCTCTGCCGCCTACCACGCCATAGGGTTTGCTCTGGCTCTCGCCGCTTTTACAAGTTTCTTCTGCCACCTCGAAACAATCCTCGTACGCCAAAAACCTGAGCAAGTCGTAAACTTTCGTACCCCTGGGCGTCACTTTGTGTTGACATTCATGTGATACCATATCCGAAAGACATGCGAGTCAAATGCAGCACCTGCAGGGAAGAGCTAGGAGAGTAGATTAGCATTGATGAACCATGCTGAGAGAGTGTATGGACTACTTTTTCAAATATTGTTCATCACCACAAGCCTGTAGGTAGTCAGGTTATCTCCACTTTTGTCCACCTGCGGGGTCCTTTTGCGCCTTGTTGTCATTCCTGCTTACATAACACTTTACCCCTCGTCTCTTTTAAGCAGCTCTTTGCTGCTGACTGGGAAAACACGCAATATTTATTCAGCGTCGCATCAAGTGAACCGTTTCTATAAAATTAATTAGACGGTAGAAACATACAACTGGAATCGATATCTAGTCAATATGTCTGCAAAGTCCTATACAGGCACCTGCCTCTGCAACGCTGTGACGTACCGGATCGATCTCCCCGACTCCACCACTCCCAAGGTCCTTATTGCCATCCTGCAGTCTCCAAGCTCTCACCAATCATTCACTGACCTGCAACTCGTCTGATAGGTTATCCTCTGCCATTGCGTTAACTGCAAACGCTACACTGGCTCCGGCTTCTCCGCCAACATTGCCGTCCCCAAGACAAGCCTCCACTGGACCAAGGGCCAGCCGAAACTTTACATCGATCAGAGTGAGCACGGCGCAGCTGTTCCCCGGATGTTCTGCGGGGAGTGTGGGACGCCCTTCACGTCTGAGCCGAGTGGGCAGGACAAAGTTATTATTATCAAAACGGGGACGCTGGATGATCCGTACAGGGATGAATGTGGGGAGTTGGCGATGGAGATCTGGTGTGTTCGCAAGGATAAATGGGTTGAGCAGATGAAGGATGAGAAGATCACGCGACTGGACAAATCTATGAGCTAGTGGACGGTCTTTCCCTGTGGTGGTTTTTGCGATAGATGTATAGACCGGTTGAATAACTTAGATATATATAGTCACCTTGTAGTTCGATTTGGGCTCTTAAGTGTGAAAAGAATAAAGGTACGCGGTCGCCCATATGATCGAAGCTATCTCATAGTCACGAGTAGAAACCACGGCCTTGTAATGATAGCTATGGTCCATGATTCGGTTGATATGGTACTCTGTTCTAAACCTCGGATGCTGACCGGCAATGCAGGGAGCAACGAACTTTACCCCGCTTAGAAGGATAAAACTCCACATAATCCGGGGTTGATGTCACCACCTGAATAAACCTTGTCTTCAATTTTTCGCTGATATTTAACATAAAACAACTATCCTATAATCCTTGCCAAATCAAAAAGAGTGTATTGATAATTAAAATAGCACTGTCGAAATGGCCCCTCCAACCGCGACAGAAACTGTCTCCACCAATGTCACCCTCCAATCCCCAGAGTCTTCCCAAGCAGCCGGTGCGGAAAAAGCAAAGGTCAAGATGACTATGCCCAAGCGACCAGTCTTCGAGGACAAAATGGAGGAGCGCGAGTACCTCAAGGGACGTCTAGCGGCCGCCTTTCGCATTTTTGGCAAGTATGGATACGACGAGGGTAGGACCACCATAGTCCCCGGATTGTATATTTCCACTGATTGACAATGATAGGTGTGGCCGGCCACATCACGCTGCGCGACCCGGTCGAACCGGACACTTTCTGGGTCAATCCGTTCGGCGTAGCCTTCTCGCAGATCAAGGCGTCTGATCTGATCCGCGTGAATCACGAAGGCCAGGTCATCGACGGAGGCGAGGTTCGTATGCTCAACGCAGCGGCGTTCATGATCCATTCCGCAATCCACGCTGCGCGACCCGATGTCGTGTGTGCGGCGCACAGCCACAGCCTCCATGGCCGAGCGTTCTGCACGCTGGGTCGACCGCTGGATATTATCACGCAGGATTCGTGCGCATTCTACAATGTACGCGTGCCTTCACGAGCTATGTGTATATCAGCTGACGGTTACAGGACCACATTGTCTACAAGCAATTCAACGGCGTCGTGCTCGCCGAGGAAGAAGGCAAGAATATTGCTCAAGCGCTTGGGGATAAGAAAGCGGCTTTGCTGCAGAACCATGGGCTGCTGACGGTTGGTCGGTCGGTGGAAGAGACAGTCTTCTGGTTTGTTTCGCTGGAAAAGTGCTGCTATGCGCAGCTTTTGGCAGATGCTGCGGCTGCGGGACGCGGCGGGCAGACTATCAAGATTGATGATGCGGATGCTGCATTTACTTACAAGACCGTGGGGACACCGATGGCTGGGTGGTTCAGTGCGAAGCCCATGTTCGACGTGATTCATCAGGAGACGAACGGCGACTATTTGAAGTAGACAGATAATTTCATTCTGCTGGCAAGTACAGCGCGGGCGCGTTTCCCAATCTGACTATGATGCTTGATCTCGTCACAGTATGTACATCCTAGCGACAATAAGCTATATCCAATGCGTATGACAGTAATCTACATGCTCGCCACCCAAGATCTATTTGATGCACCGTTGAGCGATAGCCGCCAGATGCTCTTCGTCGGTACCGCAGCAGCCCCCAATAACCTTGACATTAGGAACCAACGGCAACACGCCCTCAAACCCATCCCTAAAGACAGATATATCCCCCCGATCAAGCGTCTCACTATTGTCCAGCTCATCATGACCCTTCAGACTCGCATTACCCTTGATCAACCCGATACGCCCCCGCACATCCTTCGGCACATCGCGCAGCGCCGCAGAAATCCGCACCGGATGCGCACAGTTAACACCATAGTACGCCACATACCCGCCCGTCCTCTCATCAACAGTGCGAATCGCGCTCTCCAAACTCCTCCCACCAAGCAACCGCCCATCGGACTCGATACTAAAAGCCACAACAACCGGCAACCGCACCTCCTTCGCTAACTCCACCACCGCAATCGCCTCATTCAAGTTCGTCACCGTCATGATCGCCAGCAAATCCACCCCCGCATCGGCAAGCACCTCCACCTGCTCCCTGTATCCCTCGCGCGCATCCTCCAGCGAGATCGACCCACTCGTGTCCTTGTACGCGTCCCGCAGGGGCCCCATCGTCCCGCTGATCACGACGGGGATATTGGTCTCCCCGCCCATGGCGTTATTCCGAGCTTCCTTGGCTAGCCGTACTGCGGCGCGATTAAGGTCGAGGAGCTTGTCGGTAGAGACCCCCATGGGTTGCGCCCAGGGTGTGGCGCCGCGCCAGGTGCGGGTGTCTAGGACGATACCTGTGCCACTGGTGGCGGCGATAGAGATGTATGAGTTGTAGTAGTGGGAGATGAGTCTGCGGCCGGTCTCAGAGTCGACTAGAGGCAGGGAAGAGAAGCAGGGGAGGTGGACTTTGTCTTTGTAGACGAGGCATGTTTCCATGCCGCATTCTGTGAGGAAGGGTTTGGGGGAGACGAGTTGTGGAAGCGTCATGTTGAGTGTGTGATGTTGTTTAGTTGCGGTTGAATGAGACAGAAAAACGTGTAAGAGCAGGGATGTAGAATGCTTGAACGACGAGGATAGAACAATTGTGGTTGGAATAAAGTCTCGACTGCCTGGCCGCTGGGCGGATATTGATGGATCCCCGCAGTGGGGATGGCCACGTAAATCCGAAGAAAATCATTGTAGGTTCAGGTTAAGACCATAGTCATAGTACATCAACCACATACCCCTGGTCCTCTCATCACCATCCGCATAGAACTCTCCAAGCTTCCCCACCAAGCAATCACCCACCAACTCAACACTAACGCAAGATCATCAGCATCGAAACAAGCCGCCTGCCAACCGTCTTTCTCACTGTTTCTGCTGTATATTTCTGAGAATAACTCTAGACTCTCTGAGAATTCTCATGCTTAGAACCCTCTTAACTCATTTGGCAAGCATCCAGCATGTTTGTGAAGAGCTTCAGCAACAAGCCTTTCTGACTGATAAGTGCCGCACCGCTTGAGGAAACAGGCATTGCTCTCGAATGCGGATGCTGTGGTAGTCCACAGTAGGGGTGTTTGTGTTACTGCCCTAAGTCAAACTTTTCTGGATGCAAGGTGGTGAGTTACGTTTTATTTCCAACAGGGACTATGGGGTATTGGTATCTGCGTCACTGGTCCTCCACTCTGAGCTGCCTTACTGCTCTGCCGTACAGATTTGTGTTCCAATAAATGCCTGAGTGGATTACGAGAAACGCGAAATCTAGGAAACAGGACCTATGCGCTGGTGGGATGGTTCAATGCAAATCCAACATGAGACTCATTAGATTGGCAAAGCATTGTTGAAGGGATCAACGTGCTTAAATGCGAATGTGCTTGCTATATAAGAAAGGTCATCATCAACAAGAACAGCGCTCTGTCCCAGCCAGGAGGCATAAGTACGTCGGAATACGCTAACGCTCCACCAGCCACTACCGGCTTACTCGAATCTACTGCGTCGCTGTCCATTCAACTCCACCTGGACGGAAGCAAAGCGACGATAAACCTGTGGGATAAAGTACGCGGTGATGTCTAGCTCCTCCTTCTTGACTGCAACCGAGTAGAAGGCTTGGGCAGCCACGCGCGTCTCCAGCTCCTCAGCCGGCACGATGTCCCGGAGGACGTTCAGGTACGCCCTCGGATTGTGGTGTCCCTGGCCGTGACGCTCCAGGAAGCCGATCACTGTCTCCGCGGCAGACAGATCACTCTTGGCATGCTTGCGCACGTTAATGAACGCCTTGACATCGGGAAGTGCAAGGCTCGGCTGGATATCGTAATAGAAGCCTACACCGTGGTGACCCGATGGGAGCTCTACCGAGCCTGCTGGCACCTGCTCTGACGTGGGGAAATCAGCCGGCAGTCCGTTC